CTTATTTTGGAAAAAGTGTTTCAGTTGCTATGTTAGGGTCTTCTTTCTGGTGTTTTCAGTGGGTATTTGGCTTTCGGCAATTGCTATGTTAGGCTGTTACTTGGGGTGTTTTTCACTTTAAATTTGAATGTCATTCCCTGATGTAAAAAGCGTTTCCTATTGCTAGGTGCATTTTGGGGATTTCTGGCCTGGAATCGTTTACAATTGCCATGTTAGTGGACGCAAAAAAGGTTTACAATTAACACGTTAGTTCACCGGAGAGTAGCTATGTTAAATCACCAGTAGGTGATATCAGGTGATGAATCCCACACCAGGGAATTCCATAGAGCTGGGAGCATTGGTTGTGTTGGAAATCTGGGGAGATTTGGAGATCAGCAAAATTCCCATGGTCGTAACTCAGCCCCTAACTTTTGGTTTTGTTCAGCACCAATTTCTGTTCATTGGCATTTGTTAGGGCCAATTCCTGCAACCTTGGCAACCTTGGATTTATCAACATTGGTTGATACGGGGTGCTAAAAAATCGATCTGTTTATATTGATGAAAAAATACCGCCAAGTGATGGCCAAGGGGTCAACATCCACCGGGCATTTCTTGCTCCGCCCAGATCGAGCTCTCCACCAAGAGCCGCGCTATGAAACGGTAGCGAAGCAAAAGTTTCACCCAGCCGGGAGATGGGACAGGAACAGCACTTCGCAGGAAATGGGATGAAGTTGGGTTCATCTAATTTGAATAGGGCAAACCCACTAGTAAACAATCCTCAAGATATCTCAAGATCAGAAATGGATGGGAAAAACTCCCTCCAAAATTGGAGGTTTACTGTACTGTTAGGTTTAGCACATGAATCATCATTGACCGGCGTTTTATTCATGAAATCAATCAATAGTCCCAGGCTTAGATTCCAATTGAGTGTCAGAAGTAACCCGCTTTGGTAAGAACACAGTCACATACTGCATCACATAGCTGTTGATGGTTTGGGACATTTTGATTTGTTTTTCCATATATTGGGAACATCATCATCCCAACTGACAAAGTCCATCATTTTTCAGAGGGGTAGGTCAACCACCAACCAGAAGATATGGCCCATGCGCTACTCAACTGGGATGGGTCAAGTGGTCTACGCAGCAACTGTTCTGTTTTAAGGTGTCTGAGATTGCCCATGTCAGAAACCCATGAAATACACAGCTTGCACTTAAGGATACTTGAGCAGTGTTCAAACATGTTCAAACTATGTTGGTTGATGATTCTACGGAGTTGTGCTAATGTACCCAATATATTCAAAATTAGAAGAATCCGTTATGGGAACCCCTATTTACCAACCAGCAACGTGGAATGACGTTGTGGTTTTTCTAACCCATCTCCAGTGCACAACCACCACAGCAGCCAGGTAGAGCTGCGCCCGTCGTGTCACGGTCCGAGACGAGGGAGTTACCCTGACACAACCGAATCCTTGAAATGCCAGCGTGAAACCAGAGGAAACAGGCGATACTATATTATTGTGGATTTGCATGGAGTTTCAACGTATTGATAATACATGATTATGCTATGTATATATGCAGGTATATATTTATATTGTATGATTCATTATGACTTGTATATCAATGTGATCCTATGCATATATATATATATATAATATATAGATATGATATAGGTATGATATGATTTGATACAATATGATTTGATATAAGTGAAAGTTTGAGAAAGTCTGATGTGTCACTCACTGAGATTTCGGACCTTAGCTTTCCGCCTGTTTTTTTTTGCCCGGTGTTTGGCCATAGTGGTTGGATGATCATTTGGTCGGTTTGTTGCCTCAGAACAGCTGGGAAAAGTTCTCCCGAATATAAACAGAACAGGCCACTGTGGGAGTGCGCAAATTGCAGCATTTCCTGGGCAAAGATCCAACAGCATATGGCGCAACCGGACAAAATTGAATTCCATTCCTCTCTGCTGTTCATTGGCTGAATGCACTATGTCATAGCAAACATTGCTGTACTGTAGTGTATCGACTTTGCTTCTAGTGCAACCACTGACAGTGCCTGGCAATCTCTGCTTGGCACATCTGCAATGGCTATCCACACACAAACCAAAAAACCAAAAAACCAAAAAAACAAAAAAAACAAAAAACAAAAAACCAAAAAACAAAAAAAAACAAAAAAAAACAAAAAAAACAAAAAGACAAGACCCAACACTCTGCATCTGACCCCCTCCCCTTGGGGTGTGCAATCTTGGTTTTTTTGGTGTTTTTGGTTTTTTGGTTTTTTGGTTTCTTGGTTTTTTGTTTTTTTGTTTTTTTGTTTTTTTGGTTTGTGTGTGGATAGCCCAGACCTTGCCCATGGGTCTGAACTTTTTGTTTTTTTTTTGTGTTCTCGAGGTTTTGGCCAAATTGCAAAAAACCATGGAAAAACCAAAAAAACAAAAAAAAACAAAAAGTTCAGACCCATGTCCCCTGCCAGGCCTCTCCCCAGACCTTGCCCATGGGTCTGAACTTTTTGTTTTTTTTGTTTTTTTCCATTGTTGTTTTGAATGTTTTTCATGTGAAGATGCTTTCATCACAGTACCTCTCAAAAAAATGCACGTCTCTACAATTTGCACACCTGCGCCCCCCAGGCCAAACTGCAAAAAAAACCATGGAAAAAACAAAATTCATTTAATGACTAATATAATGATTAATATAATGATTAATGTAATGATTTATGTAATGGCTGATATAGTTATTAATTTATTGACTAACATAATGAATAATATCATGATTCATAGAATGATAAATATACTGATTAATATAATGATTCATTTAATGATAAATATAATTATTCATTTCATGATTCATTTAATGGCTTTTATAATGACTAGTATCATGATTATATTTAAAGACTGATTAATATAATGATTACTATTATGATGAATACAATGATTGATATCATAAGTAAAATACTGACCAATTTCATGAGTTTATGTATAATGAGTAATGTAATGATTAATAAAATGATTAATCTAATGACTAGTATAATGATTAATTTAATGACTAATATAATGATAAATACAATGGCTAATATAATGAATGTTATAATGATTTGTATAATGATTGATAAACTGATTAACATACAGATTAATATAATGATTAAAATAATAATTCATACAATGACTAATTTAATGATCAATATAATGATTAATAAAATGATCAACATCATGATTGTTATAATGATTAATACTATGATTTATATAATGATTAATTTAATGATTATTAAAATGAAGAATTTAATGATTAATATCATGATTATTATCATGATTCATATAATGATTAATGGAATGGTTCATATAATGCCTAATGCAATGACTAATATAATCAATAAAATGATTAATATAATGATTCATTTCATGATTCATTTCATGACTCTTATAATGACTAAGATAATTAATAATGATTAATATAATGATTTTTGTAATGGCTGATATAATTATTAATTTATTGACTAATATAATGATTAATATAACGATATATATATATAATGACTAATATAATGATTAATAAAATGATTAATATAATGAATTATATAATGACTGATATAATGATGATTCATTTAATGATTCATTTAATGATTAATACAATGATTCATATAATGATTCATATAATGACAAAAAATCATTTAATGACTTATATAATGACTAATATAATGACTAATATAATGATTAATGTAATGACTGCATGGAAAAAAGTGCACTCCCACAGCGGCCAGCTCTCAATATAAATGATTAATGTGGTTAAAACAATGTCATAAACCACCCATTTGGGAATCCATATTATAGGCCCTATAGGCTTAGGATGGGTTGGGTACAAGCAGTGTAATGTGGGTAAAATAATAATAAACCATCCCCAAAATCACCATAAATGGGTTGTATAAACCTTTCTTTCTGGTTCTTGTCGATGATGTGAATTGGCCTGGTGGGCATGGTGCAAGAGCGAACTGGCGAAGGCTGAGAACAAAAGTTGCGATGGTTGGTTGGTGGTATTCCACTGGGATTTTGCCAAGCACTATGGTCAGTAAGCATTACCATCCATCCCACTAACATAGACTATCATGATATATCAGCAATGAGACGGTTCCTGGTTGGTAGTTCTTCTTTGGGTATTAGACTAGTATTTGAAACGGGCATTTTCAAGAAAACCACAATCAGAATCGGAATACTGTACTGTAAGTTGGCTGGGCATCAACTCCAGGATTCGAATCAATTCTTCCACAGCGTTCCCAGGGTAAGCCCCTGTTTTGTTGATCATGCGATGCCGTGAACGTTGTAGGGTCCTGGGTTTCTATGGGTTTCTGCCTGAAGCTGTCATGGAATTTGGAAGAACAGCTTGCGGACAGGGTTTCAAGGATTCAAGGGTTTGAATGGTATGCAAGATCTCAGTGACTTTGAGTGCGCTGTCAAGGAAATAGGGCCTATTATAGGGGGACCATGGTAATCCCTTAGCCCAATCAACCTTGATTTCATGTGGCCATACTTGGTGCTTCATCCCACGTAGAAAGTCGGTTGTATCCCTGGTTGTAAGTGCTATACTGATTGGTGGTTTGGAACCATGGAATTTTATGACTTCCATATAGTGGGAATAATTATCCCAACTGACGAACTCATATTTTTCAGAGGGGTTGAAACCACCAACCAGGTAAAGTCAATCCACTGGTAAATGAGGTGAAATGTGATCAACTAAGCTACGGGTCTGTCGAAAAACGCCGGGAGAAACGGATGTTCTGGTGTTATTTCTTGCCGCTGAAGTTTTTCCAGGAGCCAGCTTGATGAAGATATGAGTCATGGATGATCATCCAATCTACTAAGTGGCTAGTAGCTGCATGGTTAGCTTATGGCATAATATCTGAGTGCACCAAAACATGGCCGGATAGCTCACTATGTTCAGACTCGTTACCAGGAACTAAACATTGCCAACACCGAAAGCAGATCTCTTTGGGACAGCCAGTTGACTTACACAGCACTTAGAGTGTGACAGCGCCGGCGGTTTTTGGAGCGATGGTATCCTGGGGGGCTGATGGCCGGTGATGGCTAGTGGTTTGGTGGGATGCACGTATACGATGAGTCCATTCCAAGCCTCGCTCCGCAATGGTTGCAACATACGAGGAACATTCAAGTCACCAATGCCCCATGAAAAGAGTTTAAGCCAGCATCACATTCGACTAAAATGTCTCAATTCATGGAATGGTGTTCCGATTTTCGGCATTTTTCCGTAGAACAGAATTCGAGCTCTAGAAAGACCCAGAAGCCTGTTGGTACCAAATAATGTGAACAAAAAATCAAGCTGCTAAGTGCTAATCAAGCTGCCCCAATTTTACCAGAATCGATGATGTCAACTTTATCCCCACTTGGTTCAGTAAATTTCACTGGAAGTTGCGTTTGTTTTTTTCCGCAGCCCCTTGGCTCAAGGGGCTGTCATTTGGTTGACCGTACCTTGCCTAGCAAGGTGGGGTAGTCTCTGGAGCGGTTTGTCATGGAAAATGGGACATGGAAATATATGAGGTAAATCATCTAGAAATTGGTCATTTTCCATGGTGATGTTGAACTACCAGCGGGGACCGGCGGGGGATCCAGATTTGGGCAAACCTGGGACATGGTCATTCTGAGATGCATCAAAATGTTTCAGCTGTTGTTTGGTAGAATTCTGCTTGCAGCTTGTGAGCCATCCAGGAATCTCCTTCCGCCAGGCCGGAGCAGAGCCCCAGCAATGCACGGAACTGATGAACATTTGCATTTCGAGGGGGAGGCAGAAAAGGAAGTAGAAGAAGGCCACGGCTGTCCCGTGCCGTGGCTACTAAAAAATAGGTGGAGCATGGTGGAGCGGATGCGATGACATAGGGTGCTGTGGCATGGGAACCCCAGCCAATGCCACATGCGTAAGGTTTAAGGGTCTAAGGGTATAATGTTCCCATTCGGTCTGTATACACATGGAATTCTGATAAACTTGCGTGTATATATTATATACATATCATTACATATCCATTTAGAAATAGATATACATATATATATATATACATATAATTACATATATATACATATAATTATATATATATATAGGTTTCAACACATGTCATGCTTAAAAAATATGTTCGAGTTTTTTTGGTTAAGTGGAGACGCATAATGTTCTAGAGATTCTTCCTTCAAAATAAACTGAAAAAAAGGTGATGTTTGTGTCTTTTGGTTCTACATGGTTCTACTTCCTTTAGGTGCATAGTGAGAGAGAGAGAGGGAGATATGTATATATACAACTAACTACATACATATATATATATATATCATAATATATCACTATTTAACACTATATACATGTCTTTTCTTTGTCCCCTCGATTTGTAAATTTCTCACCACGCCGGCAACGCCGATCTCTGGAGATCAGGTGGAAGGGCCAGTGACCTGCTCGTTCTTCAAGAACCTTTGCGACGCCTTCGGCTGGAAGTTGCTGTTGCTGGTGGGTCTCGCCGAGATCACGCTGAAGGCTGAAGGATGACTTTGCGCGGCTGGTTAGATGGCTTAGCTATGATATGATATGTGATTCTTATGTGTTGTTTGATGTTGTGATGGTTTAATGTGTATGAATATACATATATATATATATATATAATGTTCGTAAATCACACACACACGCATATATATGTATATATATACGCATATATATATATATATATTATACATACACAGTGTGCACTTCTCGTTTTTTCCCTCTAAATCTCATTGAAGTTCCTGCAATTACCAAAACTCTCATATTTTGAACTCTTAGTCGGGGTTGGAAACTGATGTTCCTACTGAAAATCTATGTTGCTGAGTTCCATGTTAGCTTTCAGGGGTGTAGGGGAAGCAATCATACTGCATCCTCAAGATTCCTGCAGTCACTCTTCCGGCTTGCAATACATCAATAGAACCCCAAAACCATGTTCAATTGCAACTGCACAGTCCCATCCAAGTCGATCTGGGCATATCTGGATCTAATGTGATAAACATTGACAAAATCATATAATTCGAACCATCCCAAGGTCTAAGGTTACCAAATGGATCCAAATGGTCAAGTCCCCTGATGGTTAATAAGCCATAATAGCCCTTAATCAACATGAATCATAATCATCAACCATGATTTATCAACTATATCCCCATATTTTCATGCGATTTTGATTGTACCAATCCAAACTGCCGCCAGGGCTTTGTGGCAGGTGGTGGTAGTGGAGGCCTTGTGGGGACCCCCATCGAATTCTTGCTGAAGGAGTATGAAGTGAAGCGTGGCCGAATATCATGAGATCTGGGTAAATTGTAACGAACTCATACCGAACCGTGGAGTCGTGATTAGATGTGATTAATTGGTAAGTAGAAACTAGACTATATGTAACTATCCCCAAATGGCCCAAAATTTCAGGTTAGTGAACTAGTATCATTTACCCATGTGAAGATATCATGGGATTGTGATCGGTTGTGGACTTGATATGTGTCTGTTTGAAGTTCATGATGTTTCATGGAATGTCCATTGCCATGCTGGATTGCTGTGAGGGCCTGTAAGGGATTCAAGTTTCAAAGAACCATGGAAGAAACCTCCAAGTTTCAGATGAACACGTCGTTATGCATCAGGGCCGGGAAATCAGATGAAAATCATATACATCGGTACATCCAAAGATATTCTAGTGTATTTGCATGGTTTACCACCAGAATGGCCATCAACTCAATCACTATCAACCTTTATATCTGACTTGCGAAGCTCCAAAATTGGTCTCTTAAAAAAAAAAAAACATAAACATCTATGATTATAACTATGAAAACAAGGTTCATTCCAACCCCATCGGTGGATTTTTACATAGATGAATCACATGCCGTGACCCAAAGCCTTTTGGCTACAGTGATGCTGTCCCCGGTGTAGAAAAGGCGTTTGGTTGGTTTTGCATGGACCTCCGCTGTCATTGACTGGCAGCGGAGCCCGGTTACGATCCAGGGCTTGCGCGATTGGGGCAATCAGCGCAGGTGGTTTTTTCTTGTGGTTGAGGCTTGGGCCTACTGGGAACAACATCACTGATGAGTTCGTACTATGGAGGCGGATGGGCAGTGTATGAAGTAGAAGTGGAAGAGTCAGCTGAACAAGAGCTGCCGCAGGAGACAAGCAGAGGCTGGTCTCATAGTGCGGGTACGTGGAGGAGCCCATCAGGTGGGCCATGGGTACGAACTGAGGGACAAAGGCATGACCGTCAGGCCGAGATGTGTGACATGGCTTCCAACGCCTCGTCGAATGACTCATGGTGGCAGGGCAGAACATGGTCGAGTGACTCATGGGATGGGTCATCTGGTAGCGGCCGTGCGAACTGGGTCTACGTGAGTCACTCAGGGGAACGAGGTCAGTGGGAGCATTCAGATCCTTGGCACTGGTGGCATGGTGGCAGTGGTTGAGATCAATGGCGAGTTCACCAAGGAAGCCATGAATGTGATGCGGTTCAAAGAGACGAAGACGTTGGAGACCAACCGCATTCTGCAGAATCTGATGGTGACGATCATGCAAGAGGGGGCCTACCTTCCGGAAAGGTGCAGTGCGTCCACGAGAAGAATGACAAAGATGAGGAGAAGAAGACCAATGGGAAGGTCTCTAGCAGCTATCCCCCTGTCTTCAAGGCCAAGCAAGGGGAAAGCTACAGGGATTGGAAACGTGCAGTGAAGTTTTGGCTACGAGGAGAAGGACACCAACTACCTACTACCCCATCATCTGGTGGGTCCCCGGGTCATGGTGCAATTGCGAGAGAGAGAGCAGCTCAGTTGGTCAAGCACCTGGAGCTTGAGGATGTGGATGGCAAGACGGGTCTCGAGCTTATCTTTCAGACGCTTGAGAAAAGTCCACTGATCCGTCAAAGTGAAAAACATAGAGTAGATTGGCATCGAAAACGGTTGCTCAATTTGAATCGGTTGCCTGGAGAGAGTTTGGAAAGCTACATCACCAGAGCTGGTTTGTATCGTAGCCAATTGGAAGGACTGGATGAATCATTGAGCATGGGAGAACGGTTTTTCATTGGCCATTTGTTGGATCATGCGAAGCTCACCAGGAGAGATAAAGCTATGATCACAAACTCATGCAGGTGCCGAAAATGAGTCAGCCATCACAGGTGCCATGATGGAACTTGCGGCTGAGCTGGAGGGTGAGGCCGGATATCCGATTGGCCAAGCTGAAGGTCAACTTGGAGGAGCACAAGGTGAAGAACATCTCGTGCAGAGAGGCTTCGTGGGGATGCGCTTCAACAAGAAGGACAAGCCAGTCCTGGCGGCCGAGATCCCGGAAGAGGAGGAGACCCTGACGTCGTTGGAGGGCATCCCAGAAGAGGCCCCAGGCGATGAGAGCTTGGATGATTTGGAGAGCTTGCCCAACGATGTCCTACACGCGGAACATGAGGCTTTAGCCTTACAATTCAAAGCTCGTCAGAAAATGGCTGAGGTGCGAAAAATGCGGAACTTCTACAAGAAGGAGGGCGACCCACGAAAGTCTCGCACTGGGAAGTGCTTTGTATGTGATGAACCTGGGCATTTTGCCAAGGACTGCCCGAAGGTCAAGATGGCCATGGAGAAGGGCAACCAAGGGCTGGTGACTGCTACCCCGTCCAAGGAAAAGCCCTGTGACGAAGGGAACGAGTGGTCTCTTTTAGCATCGTTGTGCAAGGACACTATCGTGATGTCCGCGTCCGAGCGTGCAGCATACATGGTGCTAGGGCCGATGGGACAGGGTTCAGAAGTAGTTTCAGTGGAATCAATAGGTCATCAAACAGGGAATGTGGCTTTCGAAACATGGTGGAGTATGAAAGAATTGGCAAGAAAAGTCATTTTGGACTTGGGCTGCATGCGGAATGTGGTAGGCATTGACTGTGCAAACGATGTCATCAAGGAATGGCAACAACAGGGTCGATGGTTGAGGGTTTTGCCAGAAGAGGAGACTTTTAGATTTGGAGATGGCAACACCTTGAGAAGCAAATATCGTTTACAATTGGAATCAACTTTTGGTGGGAAGAGAGTTTTGCTTGCGTTCAGTGTGGTTGTCCTCCTCTTTTATCCAAACAATCTCATACAGCTTTGGGAGTGCAATTGGATACAGAGAAGCATGTTTTGACGTCACGAAAACTCAAGATAAAGAGCTATGGTTTGAGTGAGAACAATGCAGGACATTACACTGTGCGTATTGATGAGTTTCATTTATTAGATGTTTTGGACGTGGATGAACGCAAGGGTTGGAAGATGGACACACATGCAGAAGTGGCCTTGTTTGATGAACTTTGTGAACGTGAAGTTTTTGGCTCACAAGTGGATCAAGACCATCGACCCACCGAGCCTACGTTGAATGTCCTCGAGTCCGCTCCAAAACCCAGCCATTTGCCGGCTATGCGGCGGTGTGGGCCACCGGACATCACAATGTCCGGAGAGGAGATGTCGGATCCGGAGGAGGGGAGGTCCTTTCTCGAGGTGAATCCCCTCACAGAGGAGAACCTTCGTCAGAAGATGCAAGAGGAGGAGATTCACCTGTCGGAAGTGCGAGAAAGGGGACGAAAAGACCCGCCTCGAGCGATGGACGTCGAAGTGGCACACCTGACTGTGGAGAACCAGGGCAAGGGTCGTGGCAAGGGCCCCAGCACCGAGCCAAAGCAGCAACGACACCGTTGCCGAAAGCGACATCGCCCCCGCAGCCTTCGAGACGAACTATGGCACGGGGCTCCATGGACGACCACACGCTGGAAGACGAGAAGATTGCGGTGACCGAGATCAAGGACTTGACCTTCGAGGAGTTGCAGATGGTGCACAAGAGACGCCAGAAGGCGGAGGTGGCGGCCCAAAAGAAGGTGGAGACTGCAGCTTTGACGGGATGGGGAGCCAAGTATCCATCCCTGAGCAACGTCTGGAGCGACGACTTGGCGTTCAACATCCTGGCCAGCATGAGGAGCAGGATGCGCACCTATCTGTGGAAGAAGCTGGTATGGCAGCTACGAATTCGAGAAGCAGTCCACCAGGAGTCACGTGGCCGGGCCCAATGGAAGAGGAACACCAAGTGGCTCAACTACCTCTTGAGCTACGAGGTGGCAGCGATGTGGGGGCACTTCGGGGCGATGAGGCAGAGATTGAGGAGCAGCGACTTCGTGGGTCCGAGGTATGGGGAAGAACGAACCCCCAACGAGGGCTGATGCAAAGCTTGAAGAATGGGATGAAGCTGGCCCGGAAGAACCATGCCTTCCTGGCAACAGTCTGCCGGATCAAGGAGAAGTACACCGTCATGGAGATCTTTGCGGGCCATGCCGTCCTCACGGAAGTAGCTACTCTTCGTGCTGGTTGGGTCGCCCTGAATCCCATTGACCTGGTCTATGGCCACAACTTGAAGAATGCGCACGCCCGTCATCAAGTGTTGGAGGAGATCCGGACGAAGAAGCCGGATTTGGTGACTCTCAGTCCGAGATGTGGCCCTTGGAGTCAGTTCCAACGCCTGAACCCCAACCTTGACCAGATCATGAACGACCGAGAGGAGGACATCCCGCTATGGAGGTTCGTGCGAGAAGTGCGGGATGAACAGACCAAAAATGGCAGGTTGGTGATGACGGAGAATCCTTGGCAGTCAGAAGCCTTGCACTTGGACTTCATGGAGGCGAGGCCACAACTGCATCGAGCCAAGGTTCCTCAATGTGTTTTTGGCCTGAAGGACGTGATCAGCGAGAAGCCACACCAGAACTACTACATGTGTGAGGGCTTGATGATTGGTGCGACTTGTAACCATGGTCCAGGAGAGCATCAACCCATTGAAGGAAGTGTCTTTTTCCAAGGTCGCTCTCAACGACGATCAGCGTTGGCGGCAAGATGGCCGATTGAACTATGTGAGATTATGTGGGCACATCCTGGAGGCGGCAGAATATGCATGGGAGAAGTGTGAAGATGAAGCCCCTCGGAAGCTGACAGAAGGGCGACCACCCAATGCACTTCACTATGCCCTACCTGTGGAGCCGTTGCCAACGCCAGAGGGCGAGCTGAGAAGGCAGTTGGAGAAGGCAGATTGGAGAGGTGGCCAATACGACTATGTGTTCTTCGAGGGCAACGCAAGGCAAGGGCCATACAAAGTGAGACAGGCCCTAGCTCACCTTCATGTGGTCCTGGGGCATCCTTCAGCAGATCGACTGCAATGAATGCTACAAGTCAGTGGATGTGGGCAAGTCGTCCTGAAAACTGCTGAAGGTTTGCGGTGCCAAATCTGTCAAGCTGTACGTCCTCCTGGAGCTGAGCCGAAGGTGTCGGGACAAAGACCCACGAGATTTGGAGAGAAGCTTCTTTCGGACAGCTTCTACGTTTGGGACTTGGATGGGGAGCGCTATAACGTCACACATTTGTTGGACGGGCTCACCGAGTACCATGTGGGGATTGTCAGCAAACAACCCAATGCGACCACCACGGCCGAGCTGCTTCAACACAGATGGTGCGCCATCTTTGGACCACCTGAGGTATTCCAGACCGAAGGAGGGAAGGAATACGAGGACGTGGTGCAGAAGATCAGCCGCATCTTGGACTTCAGGCATGAGGTCGTACCAGCTGGTGCGAAGTGGCGACAAGGGCAAGTGGAACGGCATGGTGCAGTGGTGAAGCTGATGATGATGCGGACCATCACAGCCCAACAAGTTCGTGGCATGGATGACCTCAAGATGGTGGCCTCTGCCTGCTTCGGAGCGAAGAACAGGCTGTGCAACAAGATGGGCATGTCGCCTATTCAAGCAGTCACAGGACGAGATGTGGCTGTGCCTACCTCATTGATGGATCAGCTTTGCAGTGGGCATCTCAAACTGGCGATGAATGCAAGCCTGGATCAGAAGGATGCTTTGAAGAAGGCTGAGAGAATCAGAGCATCGGCCATTGACTCCTTCAATTGGATTGATTCGAATGAGGTGATCAGAAAAGGCCTGCATGCCAGATCTCGACCTCCGAAGCTGGAGATGATCAACGAAGGCACCACCGTCTACGTGCATCAACCGCCTCCTCATCGACAAGGACAACCTCGGCGGTTACAAGACCATGTCAGTTGGGATGGCCCGGGGCTTGTGGTGTGCGTGGAAAGGCAACAGAATGTGCCAAACCGCATCTGGGTGAGAATCAGGGGCAAGGTGAGGAGCTTCCTTTGGAGAAGGTGCGCTTAGCCACCACTGATGAAATGCCAGGCTCGAGCTTCATTGTGGGCTTGCTGGACCAAATGGCTGATGAGATCCGCATGGGAAAATTGCAGGTCGAAGCACCTCGAGCATTGGCGGATCAACCTCAACAACAACTTCGACGACAGGCACCCAGAATTGTGGAAGAGGAGGGGTCTGACGAGGAGATGCCACAGTCACTGCAGAGGGAGCCACCACAATTGGAAGCGGAAACCCGCATGAGACAAATGAGACGGTTGGAGCTCTTGAACGACGTGCCGCACCAATTGAGGAGTTCCTTGTCCTTGTCTTCTGGGTCAAGCGGCCCAGCCTTGGTACGTCGATTGCGGTCCGATGAACGAGCTGAGATGATGGAAGAAGACGATGAAGAGATGCCCCACTTGGAACAGCTTGAACCCAGTGGATTGGGCTTCGAGGACAAGCAGAAGATGTTCGAGGAGCTCAGCAAGAACAAGATGCGACCATCCAAGTTGACAGAGGCCGAGTTGAGAAGCACGGCATCAAGGGCAAATCAGAAGGTGAAACAGATCCGCAAGCTCATCCAGAAGTCCCGCCAGACTCCAGCATTGCAACGAGCAAGGCGTGATCGAGTAGAACGCCAAGAAGCAGAAAGTGTGGCGTTCTGGATGGAAGCTTGCCTTGATGCATGCGAGAAGGATGTCTTTGAGGTGAGCTGGCAAGAAGCCTGTGATGAATGGGCCGTTGATGAGGCCTTTTGGACGCAGCCTGAACCACAACTATGGGCTCAGACTGAGATTGTGGAGAAGGTGAAGGAGCAACAAAGAGAACATTGTCAAGCAGTTGGTGGAGCCAACGTGGTGAACAAGGAGAAGATCGAGGCAGCAGCGGATGGACAAAAGGTGGTCACAGGCAAGGCACGCCTGGAGTACCAATGGGGAATGCTGCCGGAGGACTGGAAGACGGCCTACAAGGAACCCTTGATCAAGGCGGTGAAGATTTACTTTGACCATGATGCCTTGAAGGGGGTCCCCAAGGACAAGGTCATCGATCCCAGGAGGATTCTGACCAGCCGCTTTGTCCTTACGAACAAGGGTGGCAAAACCTTGGAGGAGGCGATCTTGAAGGGGCGTCTGGTGTTGGGAGGCCATCGAGATCCTGATGCCGGCAAGTTCCCGACGTTGGCACCCACTGCTGCGGCTCTTGCCCACAACCTGATCAACTTCATCAGTGTGCAGATGGGATGGGTGGTGAAATATGAGGATGTTTCAAGTGCATTTCTCCAAGGAAAACATCTTCCACCGGAGAGAGAGGTCTACATCCGCATCCCCAAGGGCTACCCAGACTACATTGAGAAGTTCATTGAACAACAGTTGGGCTTGGACATGCGCCGAGACCTTTTGCAGCTGACCAAAGGAGGTTTTGGCCTTCCCGAGAGTCCACGTTTGTGGTACCTGGAGTACAAGGAGACGATCTGCCATTGTGGCATGCGAGAATTGGATCTTTTGCCAGGAGTCTTCGTGGCTCACCATCCTGATGGCAAACTCCGAGCGCTGGCTTGCATCCATGTGGACGACACCAGATACTGTGGAGATGCCACCAGTGAGGAGATCTGGCAGAAGGTGCACCAGTGCCTGAACTTTGGAGAAGTCAGAAAGGCCACTGATGGCAGGGTCAAATTCTGTGGCCGTTGGGAGCGTCAAGACCCCGTCATTTTTGAGTTCGAGTACAGCATGCATGGATGAGTATGCCAAGGAGCTGCAGAAGGTGAAGACGCTGGACACCTACAAGCTGGACCCCAAGGAGGTTGCAAAGGAGGAAGACTTGCTGCGCAAGGGCAAGATGACTGTGGAGGAGTTCACGCATGGTGCTGGGCCAAAGAAGCCGACCAGCCTCACTTCGGAGCTGCGACTGGCTATGTCGTCCATCCTTGGGCAGTTGAATTGGATGGCGAGACAAGGCCGTTATGACATTGCCTACGGGGTCTCCCATGTGCAACAGCTGATGACCAGGGAACCAACGGAAGCTGTGGAGTTCCTGAACAAGGTGGTCTATCGAGCCCGCCAACCCATGGTGCAGAAGATCAAGAAGTTGAAGGATTGGGAAAACTTGGTGGTGATCTCCGCCAGCGATGCAGCCTACGGAGCACAGCCTGGTGGATACAGCCAAGGTGGGCTGTTGGTGGCCCTTGCCGAACCAGAGATCCTTGAGGGCGAGGCACAGTTGGTGATCGTGGAGGCGGCAAGCATGAAGATCCAGAGGGTGGTCCGTTGCAGTATGAGCGCTGAAGTGTCAATGGCAGCTACGGCGTTTGAGCACGGCGACTTCATCAGGGCTGCCCTCAGCGAGATCATCCACGGGAAGTTTGTCCTCAAGGATTGGAAGCTTTGGGCCAACCGCTGGCGTCACTTTCTGGTGATTGATGCCAAGACGGGCTTCGATGTGCTCACCAGTGAGAGCCAGACCAGCGACAGGAAGGTGCAGATAGACCTTGCGGTCTTGAAACCTTGAAGCAATGCTTTTGCACGATGGGTTCCAGGCCACCACATGATCTCCGACGGCCTCACGAAGTGGTTTGGGAACAAGAAGCTCCAGAGGGCTTTGATCGAAGGGCTATGGTCCTTAAAGGACACAGATGAAGCCATTGGCTTACGGCAGGTGGCGGCGGACCAAAGACGTCGCCCGAAGATCAATCGCACCGATAAGGGGGGGATATGTGAAAACAAGGTCCATTCCAACCCCATCGGTGGATTTTTACATAGATGAATCACATGCCGTGACCCAAAGCCTTTTGGCTACAGTGATGCTGTCCCCGGTGTAGAAAAGGCGTTTGGTTGGTTTTGCATGGACCTCCGCTGTCATTGACTATAACATATATGTTTATAGGCAGAATACTATCAAGCTACTATCCACTCATGGCCGTCACCTTTTTTGGTGGCAGACAGCCTTCAGCTCAGGAAGGCTGCGGACCTTCAGGTCTACAAATCTGCTGTGTTGATCCCCTGGCCACTTAGTCGGAGGGAACAACTTCCTGAAGTTTGATGCTAAATGAATCAATGTTGATCATGAACATGGCTATTTTTCCCTCTGAACATGATTCAACATTGTCATTTGGAGGTATAAACATGTATAAACGGTATAATGGCGCATAGCAGGTTCGCACAGTGTCACTGAAACACCAAAGAATCACAATTTTGCGCCTCCTCCCGGGCCCTTTTTCAATGGTGTTCACTCACATGGGGTTGGGCATATCATGGTGACAATGCTCGTTGTTTCCTTTGGAAAATAGGAAGGCAGTTGGTTGCCCGGTGCTTTTCCAATGCAGCGGCTTCCAACGTCTTGGACCTCCCTCCGTTCCCATTCAAACCTCCAGGGGATTTTCCAGCTAGCCATGTTTGATGACCGGAGGGTATATAAACTCTCGGAAAAAGCAGGTAGCCAAAAAAAGTTCCCCATGTTGGAGCGCACATCATCACTTTGGCATGGTGATATTGGCTGATTTTTCTGGAAAAGTGATACAGGAAAGGACTCATTCAAACTGAGAAGCACTGCAACCCACGACAACTATGTCTCCCCTAAAAAGCAGGCCGCGCTTGCATGTTGGTCTTGAAAACCCCATTTCATCCCGTTCCCAGGGCCATCAAGCCGCTCTTCGGCTTGATCGCTGACAGTATGCCCATTTTGGGCTTCAATCGAACGCCCTACTTTGCCTTGAATAGCATCTGTGGAGTGTCAGCCCTCTTCTTGATTGGCTCCCTGGCGATGGTGAAAACGTGGGGGGTCATCCGCAATAGGACTTGCCAGGTATCATTGAAGCCAGTTTTTTGTTCTGTATCAGCTGGGGGAGTTCACTTTTAACAAAAAGCATGCTTGGGAGATTGCTTTGACTTCAGCTTTTGAAGCCCATGTTTTTCTTCGGAGGTTCCCAGCAGTTCTTTGAATAATATATATATATAATCTACAAGAAGGCCAAGGTTGCTTACTTGGCTTTGGTTTCATTTTCTTTATCTTCAAAGAATAGTTGGGATGATCCTAATTGACGACTAGTTGTAAAATATTCTTGGATGGGTTGAAACCACCAATCAGAAAGGAAGCTCGCCAGTGTGATTGTTGCACTCTCACAGTCTTATGTTCTACATGACTTGTCATTGGCACTTCTTTAACAACTTTGGGCGTCATTTGGAACCCCCTGCGCAATTTGCCAGCCATGTTTCTTGATCCGTATGACATGGAGTTCATCCGAATTGTATCAAGGCTTCAATTTTCAAGTTGGAGTTGTGACTTGCTTTTCTTCACACACACAGGAAAAAAATATATATATATAATTATATATATAATTATATTAACATATATATATATATATATCGACCCCAAAAAGGATGGAACAGTAGAATTATATATATATATATATATATTTATATGTGATATATATATATAGGTATATTCTATTTGTTTGTCCGATATACATTTATATTATATATATTAATATGTGTATATATATATACATTTAGAAAGAGATAGTAATAGACGACCTTTCTCTCTATTTGGTGATTACATTTTCACTTGACCAAATTTCAGAGCGATCGCAACATCCGCAATCTGAATCGTCTGAAGCATATCTAGCGAGCTCTCACTTGGCAATTCCAACCTTGCCCCTGGAATCCCAAGTCCCAAAACTGGTTCTGGGGGAAAAAAATACCGGACCCTCCTATCTTTGCCCAATTAATGGATGACTGGTTGGTGGTTTCAAACATGTTTTTTTTCCCATAATACATGGGATAGTCCTTCCCATTGACTAATATTTTTCAAGATTGTTAAAACCACCAACCAGATAAGTTTATATGTCAAGTTTTCACACATGTTCACCTTCTTCATCCCCAACTAAGATAGTCAAGCTGCGAGAGACTCAGGTTTCTTTCCGTCGCTATCACTCCCTATCCTTCTCCTTATGTTCTTCTTGGTTTTCATGGATGCTCGGCAGCTCCTACGAACCCTGGGTGTCGCTAAGGGATAACATGCCCGGTTGCCTGGTCATGTGGGGTTTCACGGTTGAAATGTTGGAAATCCCCTAAGACATGGAGGGTAAAACGGGCAAATCAACTATAATTAAATTTGGAGATGTCCAATATTTGCCCTGCTTGCTGAATTTTGAATTATTTGGGGGTACCCTAGTTGAGGAAACACCCCAATACACAGCATAATACAGCATAGGTGTAGCTATTCTTGGGAAATTCTTCACCACTTGGTACCTGACTCCAGCTCAAGCCGCCTCTCATGGCTGGCAGACTCGACACATGTCGTGCCAGACTTCGACACATGGTCGTATCACATGGAAGAACATGTGTATATATATATATGTATGCGCTGAATATGAAGTGCATGTATTATATAATTTGCGTGTGTTTGGACCAATGCCGCAATACAGTACATGTCAGAATATGTTTGTCAGGGTTGATATCAGATTATATTTGTCACATGGAATTAGTGGGAGCAAGTGTCATTACTTTTCATAGAAATGTAGGAATGTGTACCAGAATTGATATCAGAACATGTGTCGGATGAAATTTCTTAGATCAAATGCCAGGATACTGTAAATATCATGAGATTTGCCAGATCAAGTGCCAGTATATCTTGCAGACACATGAGATTTGCCAGATCAAGCGTGACAGTTGATGTCAGGAGATTTGCCCGAATATATGTAGAATATGCATGTACAGTATGTATATGTATGTATGTATATATATGTGCACGTGCGTGTCAATTTGCATATATTTGAACATGTATATATACATATATATACACATGTCAGACTGCATATCAGAGCATATGTCAAATGTGCGTCCGGACAGATGTGGGAATACATGGAGGGGCAAACGTCCGAATTATGTGTCGGAATTTATGTCATAATGTCAGGATATGTACGTGTCAGCATGTTTGTCAGGATGTTTATACTAAGGGCGGGGATCTAAATAGCTATAGGAGGGTTTTTTTGTTGCGTTCATCTCGCAACACCGACATAAAAAAAAAACATGTAAAAACCATAGTTTCCGGCTCAGTGTTTCCCAACAAATAACCGTTTAACCATTGATCATACCGTATCATACCCATATTCCACCCTCAGAATTTTCATCCAAGTCATGGCCATGGAACCTGCATTTTCCTCCAAGGTTTGCCTATGTTGGGCTGTTTTTTTCCCGGTTGTTAACACAGTTCCTGATCTGATAACTTAAGTTCCCCAAGTCAGTCGAATCCATTTTCAGGTTTCCATTTCACCAATTCAACTTATTTTTCCTGCGATAAGTTCTCTGTAGAATCACTGGGCCAACCGGCATTAACCAGTGAAATTGGGGGAAAGCTGGTTTAAATTATCAGATACCTCAGGTGAATCACTTAAAACAATGTAATTTTCGTGAAGTAACTTTGACCAGAATGGACAGATTCCCTGATGAAATTCTGAAATTCTTCACATAATTTCCCCATGGTGTTCTTCCATGAATTCCCAGGTTTTCCCAGGTTTTTCCCATGTTTTCCCCATGTTTTCCCTACGTTTTTTGGACCAAGATCCCAGGACATCGCCTGGAGTGACTTGTTGACTGAAGCGGTCTACTCCACCCACCTGCGCGAGAAGCCGGACCAGGGGCCCAGTGCCTCGGACGCGGCGTTTTTTTTTTCCGCTGGTTGGGAAGAGGTTAGTTAGGATGGAGGTGAATATGGTATAGTTACAGTATGTCACTCATGTTTTATCATTTTTATAGATGCAGATCTAATCCTCTCTCCCTATTACTAAAACACCCCCCAGTCCCCCTCCCAAATGGTGGGCCAATGAAAACCTTAATAACAAAAATAAAACAATTCGATTTCAAATTTGATTAAATCCCTTTTACAAACCTATAATTAGAGAATATTGCTAAAAAATGGATGTTGAAGCTTTCCCCTAATATTCCAATATTTCCAATGAAAACCTTAATAATAAAAATTAAAAAACTTGATTTCAAATTTGATTAAATCCCTTATTAAAATCTACTGTACATAAAATATTGCCAAAAACTGGATTTCGAAACTCTTCCCTAATATTCCAATGAAAACCTTGATAATAGATAAAAATAAAACTTGTGAGATGGGACCCTAATAAAAAACCTCCAGGTGGCAATCTATCTTTATTAATATGGGCTTGAACTTGAACCCATTGTTTCACCATCCTGTTCTCCTATTGATTCTCAATTACCACAATTGAGAATCCAATTGTGCCCAACCAAAAAGAACGGAAGTGCCACACCAATCCTATTTTTGTTTATTTGGGGGAGTTCGAAAGGATTAGTTCCATATATATGATATATTATGATATCATATGACACCACTGTGATCCTGTTACAGTTTTTTTGATGGCCTGAAGGCCATGAATGAACTGAAACGTTGTGCAAGATTGGTCAAGAGCTATCTGGGAAGTAGCAAAAGAACCCCACCTCTGACTTGGAGTTCGAAGTGGAAAACTTGACTTAGAGCCTCACACTTACCCTCCCGTAAACTAACAAAGCTCTGGAAATCCATGTGTTTCTCAGTGGGAAATGACCCATGGCCCTGTGCAGCGTGAAAACTTGACCCTTGCTGAGGCTTGATTTCGTTCATTTGGGGAGGCGCGGAATGTCAGGAGACATTGTCATGTGTGTGTGTGTTACTTGCTCTTGGGATAAACCAGTGGGTTTGGTGGTAATTGCCCATATATGTGTTCAATTGCATGCCATCTTGAACATGTTCTGTCTTGATTGGGAAGTCAGACCTTGCAGATTTCAAGATCCCGACTTTTAGTTGATCGCACCCAATCCACTTTCTGCCTTGTTCCTAATTTTCTCGGTCGTTTCAATTCGTGAGATAAAGATAGCAAGCCCTGCAAGTCCAAGTTTTCCTGCAATGCTCGCAGGGATTGGTATCGGGAAGCTGTTTTGCATCAGCATTGTGGGATGCTCGCAGCATGTGTTTGTATTTTGTTCGCTGGCCATGGGAACATGTGCAAACTCGCACAGCCATAACTGGGGTGTTTTCCAGCCATGTTCGAGACGTAGAATATGCTGCATCATGCTGCATCCAATGCAGCAGTGCACAGCTCATGCATACAGCAAAAAGTTTCATCGATGTTAAAAGTTTTGTCAGGCTTCAATGCTGCAAATTTGCTCTTCCTTTTCTATCCACGGTTACCTGGCTGTTGGAAATATTGTTTCCCGACCCCGAGGAATTCTGATGGAGAAAGTGGGCAACCGCGCTCCATACCTCATCGCTGCACCTGCTGCAGCATTTACCTTGTTGATCACCTTCCTGAATCTACCTGAAGAGTCCGGGGGCCCAGGTGAGTCAGGTGACGTGAACGGATGTTTTGTTCGGGGGATTCCTCGTTCATTGTGGGAATCCTGGCCACCAACCAGTAGAATGCTACGAGATAGGGTGTAGTTTTCATGGCTCTGGCTCGTTCTTTTTTGTGATGAGTCGATGGGGCAGATGAAGGTGGCATGGAGCGGAAGTGGGTTTATCATCATGTGCCTTGTTAAGTGTTGCCGTTTTCGGGTAATTATTCAGACACACCCACATCTCATGTTGCTGTTTCCGCCTATTTGCTACATACATATGTATATTATTATGTGTGTATATATATACGCATGTATATATATATATTTATATATATATGCACCAGTTTTAATTCTATCCAACAAAATGTTGCGTAACATGATTGGTTCCCAAAATGAGAAATCAATCGATAAATACATACACATACATACATACATATATATATATATACATATGCAATGTTTACGTTTTTTTTTAAAAAAATATCTATATACATATATATATATATATGTATGTATGTGGTATACATATTTGATCCCATGTAAATAATATAATATATATATATATATATATATCCCGAACATATCCTAAGATTGTTGGTTTCCCCATGACCTTCGTCGGTTAGGACGAGCCGCCGGGGGCGCTGTTGCAAGAAGTTAGGTGGCTCTGCGGCTCGGCCCATAATCAACCATGATGGGGGAATATTAACCATAACCTACATGAAAAAAACATGTTTCTAGGGTAATTATGTCCAATTGGGATATACGAACAAAAACACATTAGTTGTTGTTTGGGATGAACAAGATCGATTAGTGTTGCTGCGAATGTGTCACCCTCTCTCTGAAAGTTCGTGCCTCTAGTGTAGCGTTTGCTGATGCAGTTTTGGAGCATATTGTCAACGTTCCGAGGCACATTTGGGGCTTTGCTCGTTTGAATACAAAGATCACATCTACTTTCCAAAGGTTTGAGGTGCCAGGGTGGCAGAACTGAATTCAGAAAAGGTTCACCCAGCTGGCAGCCGTGCCCCAAAAAGGATGTGAACTACATGCTGTTCGTGCTTCAGAGATGGGGATCAAAGCCTGTTATTGTCCTCACATGTTTTTTTGGATGAAGATCCAGCTGTACAACAGCTATGATGTACCAAGTTTTGACCCCAAAAAACGCCCAGGAAATGCCGTTGGCCATTGTCGCTTGGCATTGGCGGGTTGCAAGCCGGTGGTCGGGGGATGATCCCGGAGCAGGCAAACTGGTTGCCACTGACTGGATTGGTACACGCCTTCTTTGAGGATATTGGCACTTGAAAAAGCTAGAACATGTGTTGACAAAAAAAAACTCTACTTCAGACCTACTTGCAGCTGCCACCGGCTCAAAACCAAAAGAACCCAAGAAAATCCTGTTGGAACATGAATGATATTCCTCCCAATATGGGCATTGCTTGGTTCTGAGTTTGATTCTGCGGGTGCTTTGTGACCTATCCAACATCATCTTTCAAGGGGATGAACATACCAAGATCAGCCAGGGCTGATAGGTAGCACATGGGTTACACTATGTTACACTGTAGTCATCCCAGTTTTGAATCCCAATCCATATACATTTATATTAAATAATTGCATACATATAATTTTATACGTAAGTATACGTAAATATATACTGTATCTAACCTCGACAGTGATCCCAATTTATGGTTTCAAACAGGTTGCTGCGGTGATTATCATCCCAGGTGGGCTTGGTGATTGGTTTGGGCGCTCTCAGTCTGGCCTTGCTCTCCGTCTTTGGCGGCAACCTCTACACCAAGGCCACCGTGATGCTGTTGATGATCTGCCCATAGAAATAGTTGATTTACCCACTCAAAAGGGTGATTTTCCATAGCTTTTTGTATGTTTACCAGGGGGTATTTGTTGTTTTTTCCTGGTCATGTCATGTACAGGAACAACAGGAGAAATTCGGAAAGTCAACATGTTCAAGAGGAATTCGGAAAAACATTCATCACCATTCAAGTAGTCCATTAACATCCCATTATTAAATTGTTACCCCATGAACAAGTCGGGCATGTCCAATGGCCAAGTTTTTTTTGGGATGAAGCGCTCAGAGGTGACTTTCCTTTCCAGGAATTTCTCATGGCTTGCCGGAAAATCCTCCATTTCGATCAGTTTCGATCTGTTTCCGGTTAAACCTTCATTTACTCTTGGGTAAATTATAACGACCTCACTGCAACCTCACTGGAAATCATGGTTTTTATATGGGAAATCATCCCCAAATGGCCTTAATTCAGGTTAGTGAAATATAATAATCTACCCAGATTTACTTCGAGGATTTCCCAGCCATGTTTGATTACCAAAGGATTCATCGATCATTAAAATCCATCACATCCCGAGTTCGATGATTTTTCTATGATCCCATGATTTTCCCATGATCTTCTCATAAAAATCTGCTTGGTGCTTTGGAACATGTTTTTTTCCCATAGGGAATAAGGTGAACAACTGACGAAGTCCATCATTTTTCAGAGGGGTAGGTTGAAACCACCAACCAGATTATTATTAACCATCATTAACCATATAATAACCATCATTAACCATATGCCTACCATAATAACCACCATTGTCCCATGTAATCCCGGAGAAGACTTTGTCGTCGCGGACAAAAAGGTGATTTGCGCTGGCATCCTTGCAGTTGTTGCGCTGAGCCGCCCGCTGTGTTTTGAGACAGGGTCGGAAGACGGTGGCTTTTAAACAGTCATGGGGAATACCCTCTGGTAATTTATCATAACTATGGAAAATCACAATTTTTCATGGGAAAATTCACTATAAATGGTGATTTTCAATAGCTATGTTAAAATACCAGAGGGTATATATGATGGGAATTATAATATCTTAGATGGGAATTATATGGATCAAAACCCACAGTATTTTTTTTATATTTCCAGACAGGGTCTAATTCACAATTCCATCTAATATATTCCCATCTAAACATTCAGGGGGTAACAATGGGATATTACCCTCTGGTAAACTTTCATATAACTATGGAAAATCACCATTTTTAATTGGTAAATCATGGTAAATCAACTATGAATGGCCATGTTCAATAGCTTTTTGTATGTTTACCAGGCCGGGTAATGGATTTAGATGGGAATATTTGTTTTCGAAACATCATATCGAAGTCAATGGAGAGGCTGGGAAAATCATCGAACTACATGGTGGATTTCCATATGATCGGTGTAGAAAAGGGACAGGCACCTACATCACCTACAGTTTGAATGGATGCTTTTGAATTTCAAATAGCCAAGTTATAGCTAGTAGGCTGGGCCCCTTGTGGTAGCGAAGGTGCTGTGCCATGGAATATCGTGCAATGGGCATGAATGGGCTTTGTCACGACCTCACAACCACCTAACGATACACGATGGTGTGCAAGGTGGAAGTATGTTTGTTTTGTTCAGTTCAGTCTTGGATGATTCCCAAAACGATGCTTTGACAGCTTCGAACATGTTGGCAATCTCATGAACGATAATCCATCAACATGGCTTAAATTTGAAATCATAGTATGGGTTTTTGTTTACTAACCATAGAGGATTACAGTATGTTGTTTGTTGTAAGCATCTGTATACGTGCAATATTAGTACCTATGCACGCATATAAAAATGACATATAGCGCACATAGGTATATAGTGCACATACTATAATTTGCGTCAATGTATATATATATATACATTGATTTATTTATTTATATATTTTATTTATATATTTTATTTATTCATTCATGCATTCATTCATTCATTCATTAATTAATTAATTATTTTTTTTTATTTATTTACAGCGCACATATGTATATATATATATAAGTATGTATGTAGTATATTATGCATGTGTTGCCGTGTATCCTTCTGTGTTTTCTCGCATCCAATCACCAGGCTTAGTGTCGGCGGCATTAACGCCCATTGTGGCGAAAGTGAATGCCTTCTTCTTTATTCAGAGCATTTGCAGCTTCAGCATCTCAGGAGTGGATTGGGTGTTGGCTACATGTTGGTTATTGTTGGTTGATCTTACGCCAAGACTACAGTTTGATTTTGCATTTATTGCAGCAAACACCAAAGGTCAATGTAACCTAGTGAACATAGTTAACTTTTTGTCTTGGTGAACTGTTTACCAACTTAGTGATCTTTCATTGGCCACACCTTGTATTTCTAGATATTTCTATTTAATATATATATATTAATATATATATATATATGTTCCAAAAGGATTTCGTTAGATATCCGGTTTCTTTCGGTGATTTGTGACTTGGAGAGGTTTTCTGTTGCTTGGAGATAGTATGATATAGTGATATTGTACTGTATGTCTTTAGGATACATATATATATACATAGTATTTTTTTCCCGCAGGGCATCCATTATGTTTCGGGGATATATATGGATATTTCTCTAGCTTTATAGATCCTGTAGGATACACAGTATAAATTGGCCATTTCAGGAACCTAATTTCGAGGTGCCTACAATATATAAGGCCTATATAAGGCCTATGTAAGTAAGGGAATATCCCCACAAAATATGGCCTTATATGGTACAGTACCTCCATTTTAGGATCCTGAAATTCCCGTTGACAGTATACCTGGTGGATATCCAGTATATTGCATCTCAAGATCGTGCCTATCAGTGTGCCAGAATTCGATGATGGGAAAAACATGAAGGCTAACCCCCCTATTAGGTTGCTCGTGAAAACCATGGTTTCCAGGTAAAAGAAACCCTGAAACCAATCCAGGGACAGTGGGACAGTGGATAAAGTTTGCGACCTGGGATATGTGTTTCCACACTTTTTCCTTTAGTTGTTTGCCGTCAGTTTGTCATGTATTACCCTCTGGTTATTTAACATGGCCATGGAAAATGGCCCATTTATAGATGGTTTACCTATTCAAAATTATGATTTTCCATGGCTATGTTAAATAACCAGATGGTATCTCAAACTGCTACAGTCTTGCAAATATTTCAATATTGTATGCTCAGGAAGGATGGAATGAGTCTCCCAGTCTAAGATGATTAAGTGCTCCACTCCAAATCTTTGCACAGGAGCTTCTTTCTACTTCTTCACTGATGGATGCTTGGGCTGAATATGGCTGAACCAGAAAGTGGATTATCCGATGGTAGGAACCTCCCCACCATGGTTTAGACTCGGCTGACTATTAACTTGTTTTGTCTTGGGTCCTTCTGCCAAACCATAGTTTTGAGATGTTCTGATTCTTGATCCTGCCCAAATGTTGCATTTGTGTCGCCTTTTAACACCGTTGTTTCAGGAGAGTCGGATGTTTGTTTGTTCTATCGACATTTTAAGACTAGGATTTGGAGTTCTAGATGACTGTCCAGAATCGTGAGGTTCCGGAATGATCTTCATGTTGTTTGTAGTCCCTGTGCTTGTTGCTTACCGTACCGCGTGTCCATCGGTATAAGTTGGTTGACACCACCAGTCATTTTTGTACGTCCCTAAACCTTCATTTGAATTGCATTTTTTGATATTTTCCATGATGCAGAAACAATATAGCATATACGGTGTACACATTACAAGTACAATACATACGGTATATATATATATGTATATATGTGTGTGTGTGCGTGCGTGTGTGCAATACAACATTGTTTTAGATATGTTTATATATTATACAGTGTGATCATGTATTATATTAATATTATTTGATATGTTGTAGGGTGAATAATGACGAGTAAAACTATAGCCTTTTCTTAAATGGCCATCCGAAGCGTAAGAGTTGCCGTTTCTAAGGCCCTGAGGCCTATCCTGATGGACCGCATTTGTCCAAGGTCAGGTCATGGTTTTGGGCAGTTTTGGATTGGGATTGTTGGTTCATCACGTCGGCAAAAAATATGCAATTATAGGATATTATTGATATTATAATCCCAATGAATGCCACATCAATATCCAATTGGAAGCGGACATGACATGTCCGTTTAATTCCCAGAATTGCTAGAATGAACCGAACAGCATAACATCAGAATTTGATGTATTCAATCAATAGCCGCGTTGATTATGCAAGCCGCTAGCCAAAGCGGATTTATTAAAAAAAATACTTTACTTCGTGTGATCCCCACCATGACATTTATACATTTTCTTACTGGCAAATCTTCTGGCATTCTATCTGACATATCTTCTGACATTCTATTTGACATTCTATCTGGCATATCTTCTGGCATATGATCTGGCATATCTTCTGGCATATCTTCTGGCATTCTATCTGGCAAATCTTCTGGCATTCTATCTGGCATATCTTCTGGCACTCTATCTGACATATCTTCTGGCATTCTATCTGGCATATCTTCTGGCATATATTCTGACATATCTTCTGGCATTCTATCTGACATATCTTCTGGCATATATTCTGACATACCTTCTGGCATATCTTCTGGCATATCTTCTGGCATATCTTCTGACATATCTATCTGGCATATCTTCTGGCATATTTTCTGGCATTCTATCTGGCAAATCTTCTGCATTCTATCTGGCATTCTATCTGGCATATCTTCTGGCATATTATCTGGCATTCTATCTGGCATATCTTCTGGCATATCTTCTGGCATATCTTCTGACATTCTTTCTGACATTCTTTCTAACTTTCTTCTGCACATTTTTTGTCCCATATCTTCCTACATGAGGTCCGGCAGGGAACACTTGGCGTGGATACTCGCGGTTGAGGTCCGGCAGGGAACACTGGGCGTGGATGGTCGTGGTTGAGGTCCGGCAGGGAACACTGGGCGAGGATGGTCGTGGTTGAGGTCCGGCAGGGAACACTGGGCGAGGATGGTCGTGGTTGAGGTCCGGCAGGGAACATTGGGCGTGGATGGTCGTGGTTGAGGTCCGGCAGAGAACACTGTGGATCGCGGGTCGCAGTTGAGCAAGGACGACGAGGACGACGAGGAGGACGAGGAGGAGGAGGACGAGGCAGGAGGAGGCGGAGGAGGAGGAGGAGGAGCAGGAGGAGGAGGAGGAGCAGGAGGAGCAGGAGGAGGAGGAGGCAACTGACATAAAATCTAACAACCCTCACCTGGCAGGTGGGGAAAAAAACATGTTTCTTCTACCACACGAAAATTCAGATTTATATAACCGACGGGTGCAGGTTGAACCAGACAAGAGCTGTGATTTATGTAATGCAGCGAGAATGTGCATCTTGTCAGCCATCCAGCACACATGGAAGTCTAGCCAACTAGAAATAATGCATGCTGGGCATGACACCCAATTGCTCCAGGGATGTTGTGTTGCAGAGTTCGTATTTTTTCCACAAGGGGTCGTCTTCAATGACAACCTCAGGTCATGTGTTTTTATCCCGGCTTGCAATCGCAGGGAATGGCCAAAACGCTGAACCACTATCTATTGTTATTTATAGCATTATTATTCTTATGATTTTTTTACACATCACTATGATGTAATTAAATGTAATTAAGAACCTATTAGGCAGTATACTAAATCATGTGTTCATTGTATCCTGATTTAGCCTTTGCCATTGACAAGTCCACACGAAGTTGGACACTGGGTAAAACTTGGTGAAACGATGTTGGTTGTTTCATGTCTCTTCAGGCCATTTTGATATGTTGGAAGTCCATAACATAATTCCCCCGTTCATATTAAACACCCCAATTCAACGAAACCATGTTTTTTTTGTTGGGAATTTCCACATTCCATTGGGACCATGCAATTGGAAAAGGATGAATTCAACTGGTGAATGTTCCACATGCCTATGTGGATCAATACCGCTCAACACCTATAAAAACCACTGGGGGCTGAACATCCATGAATCCCATCTATTTTGATGTTTTCAAACCCAGGGGTACCGGTGTTTTTGACCCATCTGGGACAGCCTGGAACGGGTAAAGATCATCGTTAACTGCCATCCTTTTAAGTAACACCAGTAACGGCATGCGGGATTACTATACAGTCTATATACAGAAATATTATCAATATTGCTGATATTATTAATATATTGACAGCCGTTTAATAATTTACCTTAAATATAAGGGGAAGTAGCATTTGTCTTGGATGTTTCGCCGCTAGCGTCAGGTTTTTTATTCCTCCGCCATCGGCTTTGTCTCAACGGTCACTTCGACTCTTTCTGGGATGAAACGAGTCCTGGTGCAGGGCAGACAAAAGCATCTACTGTACTGATTGTTGATTAATTTGGTCGGCCAGTTAAAGATGTTTAATTACATTGCAGTACAAGTATGTACAAGTTGTATATCTAATTATATGTGGATATGAATATATACACATGCGTGTGTGTAAAAATGTAAATGTAATTACACCCGTATTCATTGGCTCTTTGTCAGTCATGGCATCATCAAAAAACAACTTTGTTGGTAGTCATAATTTCCGATCATATCGCGCATGTAAGGGGTCAGTCTTATCCCTCTTGCAATTATTTAATATAACCCTTTGCCTCCATGTATGACACATATACCAACAGATACACTGAGCCGAACATGACATCGTCATTTGGCAGCTAAAAGTACCATACACGGAGCACATATGGGTCAGGGATGGTCAGGGTGTTCACTCAACATCTCAGAATTCAAGGGAAAAATGTGAAGGAAATCATCCGAAAACCAGCTTTTTCCAGTCAATGAAACCATCATTTTTCCTACATTTCCAGGGGTTTCAACACCACCATTCTCCCAAATACATCTACAAAAAACGGGGCGTTTCATCGCCAAAGGTCTTCTCCTTGTTGGGCATGGTGATCTACAACCGTTGGATGCAGCATTGGCGCTACCCCTTTATCCTTATGGCACCTTGGCGCAGCGCCGGGAGAACATGGAGAACGGACGTGGGGACACGGCCAATTTGTGGCCATTGATATATCCAAAATTAGTGTATCTATATCATATATATATGTGTGTGTTTGTTTCTGAAACGGAATGCTGACATATGTATATACATGTTATATTTATAGAATTATGCGGGTTGCCCGTGTTGATGCATATTGCCCGTGTTGATGCATATTGAAGGATTTGTTGCTAAGTTATGCATATTATACATACATATATATATATTGTTACATCATTTATGATGTCCAACTCATGAGAGAAGCAACCCTAGCTAGCTGGAAAATCCTCTACAAATATAGGTTTCAATGGGAACATCATCGATAAATGCATGGTTGAAGCCACCCATCTCAAGGGTCAGCTAATTAGAAACTATATGATGATATGTGCAATTCGCACATGTAGTTTGAACCTAGTGCCCTGCTAAAGCTTAGCTGAACGTCGCCCACGAACATAACAACAATAATAGCAATAATAATAACAACAAACATATATGTATATATAATTATATATGTGTGTGTGTATTTCAGAACAATATTCAACTATAGTGGTAAATGGTAACTGTATGCAGACAATTCTCCCTTTGCTCCCCTCCCCAAATGCCAGATGGGGAGCTTGTTGTCTTGCGCCTGCAACTTGGTGAGCTGCATCGTCTTTACGCGAACCAACGTGAGGTGCGCCATGGGATTTTGCACCAGGGTTACCCCAACCGGTGGATATTAGCAAGGGAGCTGAAAGAATGGAGCCGTTGGAGCCTCCAACTTTCATGGCATCGTTTCAGACATCACAAATCACGGCAATTCGGTCGGATGAGACAAGAAAGGTTGGTTTGAATATGCGCCGATGGTTGCTGACTTCAGTGAAATTGACAAACATGACAGGGGCTACAATTTCTGGGCAGTGGGTAGCTACAAAATCCTGTGAAGAACGGGGCCAACAAACTCACTGGGCTTCAACCAAGCGTCATGATACTGATGGGGATGCGATGGGCATGCCAATCAGAAGGTCTGACTTTGGCATATGATCATATTTACTCTACTAGACTAGACTCTACATACTCTTATGATTCCAATGATACCTTATGCAGGGAGTCACCTACATGTGGAGTCACACAGTTCTATGCATTTGGATGTTGTTTGGTTTAGCCAAAAGCTCTCAGCAAAGTCGTTGTTTTTGTTGAGGATCAGGCCACCGAGGATACACAATATACTATACATTGATGAAATCCTAGGTATATAGGCGTTCGTTATATCTATCATGTACTATTATCACTGTAGACAAGCATGAATACATAGATACAACAGCAGATCATCAGCATATATGTCAATATAATTGTATTATTGTATATGTATTCTCTGCAGTATACGGTATATATTTATCCGTGTAATATATATATATAGTACTAGGTCGATAGATAGACAGATAGATAGATGTATAGAACTAAAGTGCGCATATGCATCAAGCCGATCAAGCTGCAGGTTCGGCATCAGCGACAAGTTTTTCGTGTTGGCCTCGGACGCGGTGCAGATGGTGGTCATGGAAATTGTTCCCTTGGTGAAAAAAGGTCGGGACTCAACCAAGTCAAGTTGGGGTGTGAAGAAAAATGGGTGACTTATATAACCCAACTTGAAAGCCCAACCCAACTTTTAAAGAAACTTAATTATATAATAATTATATAACCATAAAGAAATGGCTTGTTTGGTTCAATGATTTGGTTTGAAGGGAAAACCAATGCCCGAATTTCGTGATAGTTTCCTGCAGATTTTCCGAGCCATTCGGAATGTGCATTGCTTGGGGAAAAAACCGGCAGCCCGCAGTTGTGGCAATTGCTGACGAAGTGCGCAAGAATATGATATGAACCTTATGAATCCATGGGTGTGATTTGGTGGATTTTTTCTGGCGCAGATGTATTCAAACTGTTGAACAATGTTGGACGCTGGTTTAAGCCCCGACGATTTTCCCTGTATACATGCTGTAACTTTACTTAAAGACTTAAAATTGAGCCTTGCAATAGATCATATATTCGGATGGGAAGTGGTATTTGGTGTTAGCTGTGCTATGCTGCTATTGCTGGGATAAACCGTGTACTCTCTTCAGGGGTAGATCCCCCAATGACCACCCACTTTGTGACTGGACTTATCAGGATATCGTTGGATTCTCGTTGACTCGTTGCCCCCACTCGGTGTTGCCATGCTTTCCAAGTCCTGGGATGAATGCCCACTTCTCTGCCAACATCCAAAGGTGAACATTTAGCATTTGATATCACAATTGTCATCTTTGTTAATCAAATGTTTTTCACCCTCTACCTTTCAGGTGACCCCAAGCAAAGGGGCGGACATGTCCACAAAAGTGTTTTGCAATGTTCATTCAAACTTGGATGGTGCACTGAATTTATAGATCCCAAAAAATACCAAGCGCATGTTAAATACTGAACAAGTCCCAGTTGAAATGCTGGTAGCATTGTATTCATTGAATCCTTTCATTTTGCAGGCCCACGTAAGGGGAACAATTATCATTACTCGTGCTAGTGAGATGACAATTAGCAACTATGTCTTCGATTATCTGATAATCTGATGTTTTGAAAGTAGTCATTTCAATTTCACCATGACTGAGGAATATTTTGGGAATGTTTCTCTGTTGGTTTCAAAACCCAGTTGACTAGTTTGATATACCAACTGTTATTAGCTATTTAGGTGGTTAGTTACTTAGTTAGCTAATGAGTTCGTTCGTTGGTTAATTAAATGGGTGAGTTTGTTAAAATCATTAGCTCACCTCGGCAGTTCGTTAGTTGGCTTCGAAACTTAAATCCCTCTCCGGGACGTTGAGGCTTGGCTGCCGAATATGCTGCTGATGTCACAACTATGCCCCAAAGGCTGCGAGGTGCGGGATGACTCATGGCGGATACCCCCATGAAACGGAAAGCTCCACTTATGTCATGATGTTGATATATGTTGATATGATGTGAGATCATGCCAAGATGAATTTTACGATGTGGTAAGGGTGTGGTTTTCTGCCATTTCCAGGTGAAACTTAAGCTTCAAGTCGAATAATTACCCTCTGTAATGTAACATACTTGTAGCTATGGAAAAGCACCGCTTGTGATAGGGAATTCATCTACAAATGGGCAATTTTCGATATGTTAAAATTGTTAAATTAGTAGACATGTTTTGTTTCTGGTGTTTCAGAATCTGTTTCTGCAGCTTCATGAACGGCGAGTCATACTCTTTGTTCCGCTACAAGATGCAGAAACAGATGATTAAGGATGGCTAGGGATGCTTGTCCCTGTTCATATGCTGCTTAGACATATACATATATATTTAATTATATATATATACACATATACATATATACATATATACATGTACAGTTATATGTACATATATATTTACATATACAAAGGTGTTTACATATGTATATATATGTATGCATGTATGCATATTTACATATACACATATATACATATATACCTATTTGCATATGTAGATGCATACATATATATACACACATGTATACATATATGCATGAATTCATTTTATACATATATATATTTTTTACATTTACATATGTACGTATACACATACACACATACATACATATATACATATATACAGTTTACATATATACATATATACATATATACATTATACATATATACATATATACATATTTACATATAAACATATTTACATATTTACATATTTACATATATACATATTTACATATTTACATATATACATATACTCATATATACACATGTATACATATATACATATTTACATATTTACATATATACATATACTCATATATACACATGTATACATATATACTTATATACATATTTACATATATACATATACACATATTTACATATATACATATACACATGTATACATATATACATATATACATTCATACATATTTACAAAATATATACGTATACATAATATATATATATATATATATAGATAGATATATATATATATATACCCAAGTATATGTAATACACAAACACCGCGTATCCCCAAATCGGGCAGCAGCTCAGCTCGCACTTTATTTTTACAGAGCAGGCGACGATGTTCGCGTTGCTGGCTGGAATGGGATGCTTGGCAGGACTGGATTGATATGAACATATATGAACCATGAAATCTGTAGATATCCCTCACACATACGACTTATTGTTGTTCATTGTTCAGAAAATCAACCCATGACCAACTGGTTGGATTGGTTGGAATCTCAGGATTTTTTGACGACCTCATTGTTCTCCCGAACCCTGGAATAATGCTTAGTAAGAGAAATCATCCCAAAATGGCCGAACCTTTCAGGTTTGTGAATTATGATAATTTGCCCAAATCTACTGGTTGGTTATTACTGGGGTTCTACTGCCCGGTTTATTGGCGGTTTTATTGTAAACCATCAGAGGGATGATATCTATTATATAACCAAATAGATCCAAATAGTACATTGGGATGGAATGATTGGAATGGGGGTATATTTCATGGCTCATACGACGTATCAGGGTATACGTGCGTACTGGGGAGCAATATGCATATGTGCACTTTCTGAACTTCTGATGAGTCTTGTTTGTGCCAAGGAATCGTTTTGGAATTCCGGACTGGCATGCTGTTCAGCAAGACACATTATCAAACAATACATATCTAGTACTGGTATTGACACATATATTCATATCATACATTCATATGTATCATATGTATATATGCGTATTTGCAGATCCCTCACGCTAAACTCTGGATCACACACACACCATCGTTCTCTTTGATATTTTGTTGTTTGTTGTGGCTGAGGCAATCTGGGCGCCAACTTGGGGAACTACTTTGGTGCCTTCCTTTTGCAGCTCTTAGGCATGGCCCTGTGACCTTGTTGTTTTTTCCATAGCTGAGTTAGACGATGGACCGATGGATTGTTTGATGATGATTTCTTGATGGTCCCACGGTGGTGCCCAGTAGGGGTTTGCACCGTGGTAAACCACAGGCGTCCAGCCGACTGGCGCGGCGGGGGATGAAGAACAATTCCAAAATTTGTGGCTTGCGGCGGTAGCTGCTCAACTGCAGTCGACGGCTGGGGGACGACGTCTGCGTCGTCCGACTATCCCCTCCATGTGTTTCATTGAAAGAAGACCAAGACCCTTTGACAAAGAGGATGGTCATGGGCCTTTGGACCTATTTCAACAGGCTTCAACAGGGTCTTCAACCCCCAGTAGAAGGATGTAGAAGGAATCCGCAAAATTCCTCCTTGTGGATGACCATGCCCAGATGTTTGGTGTTGAATGGGAATGGCACATGTGTGAAAACGAGTGTGATTTCGGTGGCTTACGTGAGCAAGATGTCGCACTGGGTCCAGATTGCAAGACCTAGCAACCATGAACTTGATGTAGTAAGTCATCCCATTTGGAAAGGAGTTCAGCATATTGTCATCATTCATTATTTATATCCGACATTTGGCTGTTGAAATCCCATTTCTTTCGGTTGAAGACTCGCCCGTGCCAAGGTGTCTGCAATTGCCCCATGTATTCCTTTGGTCTTGCAACTCGGCACGGCAGGGGACTAGATTCTGTGCGAATCTCATCAAGGTCTTGAGATATTTTTGGTGGTTAACTGACTGGCCACATCTGGCCACTCTGCAGGGTGATGTTTTTGGAAGGAACATATCTCCAACCCTGTCTCCGGACCTTCAAATGTTGCAGGGAGTCGTCCCTCTCATAAGCTGAGCTAGATACATTTGGATATTTAAAAAAACTCACTGCGCCCTCAATGGAAAGATGGTGATTAGTAGGGGTAACTATTCCAAGATAGTTTTCTGGTTGGTAGCTTGGAACATGTTTTATTTTCCATAATGTATGGGAAAATATTTCCCATTGACTAATATTTTTCAAGATGGTTAAAAACAACCAACCAGATTATAATGAAAATGTTTGATGGTCACCCTGCAGGCTTGTACTGCTTACGGCATGGAGACGTGTTTGTTCAACGTGCATGGAGACACCCAGGAGAACATAAAGCGACCACCGAAAAATTCAACTTATGTACTCTATGTTGTAATTCATGGACTCCTCGTGCTGACCTTCGCCAGCTGATCATGCAACGTCAGACCTTGCCTGAGGTTTGTGGAGTAGCAAGATTAGGAACCAAGCTTGGACTTCGATGCCGGGTTGAATTTGCAGCGGCATTGTCAGCAAAGATCAGACCCGAACAGGTCTTCCTCCCACAGGGAGACAAGCTTACTTTTTTGGTTGGCCCCATGCCATATGGTACTTTGAAGTCCTCTTTGACAAAGGCCATGAGTGAGAATGGGTGAACGGTGAGACCTTTGCAGCCAGTTTCAACACGTTCCCATGTGCCAGGGTTGGTGTTTCGTGTCCAAGCCATCACAGAGCCTCCCCGCAAAGTCATGCGTATGAGCCATGGTGATGTTGTGATCACACGTGAATCTGAGACTGCCCAGCAAGGCCCTGACAAGCCTGGAGTCATTGCTACCCCATCGACGGTTTCCAAGGTCTCCACTGATGCCACAGTGGATGAACTCCAAGTGAATGACCCCTGGGCCAAGCCATCCACCAAGGCGGTTAAGACCCCGGCACCTGTCCACATTGGCAGTCCACTTGATGACATTGAACAAAAGGTCATCAATGCAGTGATGGCCCAGTTGCCCAGAGCGGCCATGGATGTTGATGCTGATGCTGAAACAAATGACAGAGTAGGCAAGTTGGAGCAGCAAGTCCAGGAACTGCACCAGCATGCACAGACTCTTCAACATGCAGTTGCGAAGCAGACAAATGATATCGACATGCAATTTCAGGAGATCCGCACTCAGGTGTCCCAGCAAGGTGCCCACTTTGAGACAGCACTTGCCAATCAAAATGTCCAGCTGCAATCGTTTCATGAATCCTTCCAAGAGCAGTTTCGACAGCAGTCAGCTCATCAACAGAGCATGTTGGATTCCATGTTCCAACAACAGATGAATTAATTTGAATCTTTGCTTGCCAAGCGTCATCGCCCAGAATGACGGTGCCCGGTTGTTTGGAAACCTTCCCTGAGCAATTGGGTGGTACTTTTGGGAGGTATTTTTGGTTTGGCCTGGTTGTGCGGTGGTCCAGTCGAATCTGGCATTTGGGCTGTTGCATTTTTGACCTTGGCCACATTTGGATTTTGGATTTTGGACTTTACATCTGGGCTTTTGGACTTTCAACATAGGTGGCCAACTGAGACGGAAGATGTCAGCAGCACTTCTCCTCACGCCACAGGTTGGATTTGGACTTGTGCCTGGGCTCTGGGGAGACCGCCAGGAAAAACCCGTAGTTCCCATCCGATTCGAAGGAGTTGGACTTTCTTTGTGTTGTTGCTTTGCCTCTTGCGCGTTGGAGAAGCTTCCCATCCAGGACCCCATTCACAGGGATGGTCACTTGGGATTGCAAACCCGTCTGGTCTGAATTCGAAGGTTGATCAGATTGCGCACATGGGTGGTCATGCTTGGATCCTGTCGGAGACGCATCTGTCAGTGGTGGGCTTGCGCAATTTTGTTAAAGGGCTTAAAGCAGTGAAATCACCATGGGTTGCAGTGGTGCCGGGTGCTCCTTGTCCAGCCAGGAATCAGCAGGGAACAGGCAACCACTCAGGGGTGATGTTGCTTAGCCAGTCACCTGCACGGCCGTTGCCAAACAGTTTTGCAGCCCATACTTTTAGCACTGCACGGTTACAAGTAGCGGGCATGGTGGTTGGTAACATGTGGGTCACAGTTGGCATGTTGTATGGAGTTCCAGCCAATGCACAACACACAGATGCCAAATATCAAACAGAGGTGATGCTTTCTGAGTTGGTTGAACGAGTTGCGTATCAGAGCACGGGTCCACGTGCAATTGGGGGTGACTTTAACTATTCAGCTCACGAGCTTGGTCAAACAAAACGGTTGTTGGATCTAGGCTTCCGTGAAGCCCAGGACCTTGCGGCACTCAGATGGGGCCAGTCAGCAGAGCGTACCGGCCGTGGTCGACGAAGAATCGATCAGTTGTGGCTATCGCCGGAACTTCAACAAATCCTTGTTGGTGTTGAAGTTCAACATGACATGTGGGCTGACCATGCACCGGTAGTTGCCAAGTTTGCTTCGGTAGGTGGCACCTCCTTCCCTTACTGGCGCATGCCTCAACCTTTTCCTTGGCCTGCTTCATGGACTTGTGATGTCAGTTTTCACTCTGGTTCTGATTTGACGGTTGAGTATGCCAGGTTGTGGGCACAGATTGAACAGAACGCAGTCACATGGAATGCACATCATGGCATCACATGCACCCGTGCTCAACAAGGCAGAGGACAGACCCTTCACACGGTCAACAGGGTCCCTCACCAAGTGCCGTGTCGCAAAGAACGTTTTGGCGAAGTGGCACCCAGTTTCTATGGGGTTAGCCTTCAACATGCAAGATACTTCAAACAGCTGAGACGACTGCAAGCCTTGAGCCAGCAACGAGCACGAGGTAATTCAAACTTGAATGCAGGTCTCAACCGAGAAGACACTTGGCGTGCAGTGCGGCGTGCCCCTGGTTTTGCTGGTGGATTTGGTAGTTGGTGGTCTGCCAATGGATTTCTCCCTGTCTTTCCTTCTGGGATTCCCTTGATTTGCCCCCCTGCCAGTGTCTTACAAGATATGTTTGATTCCATGAACAAATGGGTGAAAGCATACGAAGCTGAGTTGGCACAGAAAAGATATCAATTTGGGAAACAACGCCGGTCTGGCTCCTTGCAATATGTCTTTCAAGATTGCAAGGGTGCTGCTCCCCCTCCTGTGGATACCTTGCTGCAGCGCATGGAGGTAGGGATTGATGAAGTGCGTGCCGAGGAGTCAGCTTTGGTTTTGACAGCTCCCATTCAGTTGTTACCGGATTTGCCAGTGGTTGCCCTGGGAAAGTTTTGCAAGTCATCCATCATGAGCATGACCAGTTGTGGGTTGAGGATCTTGAGGGCATTGAAGCAGGTCAGACTTTGGTCCAGGAACGAGTCACGATGACCGAGACAGACATTATCGCCAAGTTTCATGAAGTTTGGTTGCCAAGATGGAATAAAGCACACCATGTTGCACCAGGCCAGTGGGACCAGATTTGTCAGTTTGCTGAGAGAACCCTTCCCAAGCTGGATTGGACTTGTCAGCCCTGGACTTGTGGGCGATTCCAGCAGGCCGTGGGGAAAAAGAAAAAGACAGCGGGTAGAGGTCCAGATGGAGTCGGACAACCTGACTTAGCGGCTCTCCCGGTGCAAGCTGTCCAGGCTTTTGTCTCCGTTCTCCAGGCCATTGAAGATGGCACCCCATGGCCGATTCAGGTAGCTTCTGGTTTTGTTAACAGTTTGGCCAAACACTTGCAGGCTCAAAATATCGATGACTACCGTCCAGTCACGGTGTACAGCTTGTTTTACCGGGTTTGGTCTTCTGAAAGGGCACGTGAAGCTTTGCACACGCTGATGCCGGCCTTGCCTGAAGGTATCTTGGGTGGTGTTCCGGGTAAGCAGGCAAAAACCATATGGTACCAAGTTGCCCAATCCCTGGAATTTGCATTCATGGATGACTCCCCGGTTCATGGACTTTTGATGGATATCCGCAAAGCTTTCAACGCAATCCCAAGACTGCCATTATGGTGTGCTCTCCGGACCCTTGGATTTCCTGTCCATGTCATGCGAGCGTGGTGTGCCTTTGTTGCTGGTCAGACTAGGCGGTTTAAAGTGAGACAAGCAGTGGGCGAACCTGTGGCCTCCAATTGTGGACTTCCTGAAGGATGTGGACTTTCGGTGGTTGGTATGATTGTGGTTGACTGGATTTTGGACTGTTGGTTGGCGGCTCATACCAAGGGGGTTAGCTTGCGTGCCTTTGTTGATGATTGGGGGCTTTTGTTTGGGGATGTGACTTCTTTTCCGTTGCTGTGGAACAAGGTCCAAGAATTTGTTACGGCTTTGGATTTGTCCCTGGACATGCAAAAAACCCGAGCGTGGAGTTCACATGGAGCTGCTCGAGCTGAGTTGAAAGACTCTGAGGTCATGGTGGCTTACTATGCGCGTAACTTGGGGGCCCATCAAAACTTTACCAAGCACTGCTGGAATGGGGTAATCCAAACACGCCTTGCCAGTATGACCAAAGTATGGCCACTTCTGCGGGCGAGCCTTAGCCCTTATGCCCAATGGCCCATAAGGTTCAAGCTCTCAAGATTTTGGCATGGCCTAGAGCACTGCATGGGGTTTCAGTTGTCCATTTGGGTTCTGCTCACTATAAAGCCTTGCGCTCAGGTGCAATGCGAGGCTTGAAAGCAGACAGAAAGGGAGCTAATCCGCAACTCCATTTGGCTACCAATGCCGTCTTGGCAGACCCGGAGGCATGGTCCATTTTCCAAACCATTAGGGACGCAAGAGAACTAGGTGGATTTGAGCGGATGGAAAATCTCTTGGGTTTATTTGCGACATCCCCTGATGGACTTCCTCGAAATGGCCCTACTGCAGTGCTTACTGCGCGCCTCCAGCGTTTGGGATGGATTGTGGGTCCGCATGGGTTGGTCCAGGACAGCTTCGGGTCCTTCAGTCTTTTTGCAGTTTCATGGGACGACTTGTGTGTTCGTTTTCGTTTGGCCTGGGCTCATGTGTTGGCAACTGATGTGGGTCACCGGCCTACTTTTGATGGCCTGCATGAGGTTGATGTTGTGGCCACTCAAAAGGCATTGCAGTACTTTGGAGCAGCGGATCAAGTCTATCTGAGATGCCACATGGATGGGACCCTATTTGTCCAAAACGGAAAGGCGAAATTCCAGCCAGGGGTGGATGATAAGTGTCCTTGGTGCGGAGTGAAAGATGGATTTGCCCACCGTACTTGGGATTGTCCCTATTTTGAGGGTTGCCGACATCATCTCACGTCCGAGCAGCGTCGTCATGCTGCCACACTTCCTCAGGCGTTTTCCGTTCATGGGTGGGCGTTGGAATTGTCTGAATGGGATGTTTATGTGGACTTTCTAAATCAGGATGATTGCACTCGGCGGATGTCACCAGTAGGTCTCCCTTCCTTTCGAACTCAGCAATGGATCGATTTGTTTGTGGATGGCACGTGCGCACATCCGACTGAACCAAAACTACGACATGGAGCATGGGCAGTGACTGTTGCTTCTGGTGGTCCTGGTTCCTTGGAAAATCACCTAATTTTGGGGGGTCACTTGCGAGGTATTTGCCAGTCTGCTTTCAGAGCTGAGCTTACAGCTGTTTACCAGGCATTGGTTTGGGCTTCTGAGCGGTGCTATCAAGTTCGCTTGTGGTGCGATTGCCAGGGAGTAGTTCAAGGGGTGAGGAAGTTGTTGCGAGGAGGCAAACCACGCCCCAACAGATCTCACTCGGACCTGTGGCAGAACATCGCTGACATCTTGCAACAGAATAGCATGGAGGTTCAGATCATTAAAGTGGTTTCTCATTGTCAGGTTAGTTCAGCAACGTCCCCGGAAGAGGAATGGGCGTACTGGCACAACAAATTGACAGATGAGGCGGCAGCTGCAATTGATGGTCGACGAAGCGAAGCTTTCTGGCGAGCTTGGCATGACTTAGCAATTGCCCTGAAAGAGCGTCGAGCTTTGCATATGGCGATTCTCCAAATGTTGCTGAAGCAGTCCAGGTTGGCCAGCCAAGCCAAGGCGGGTAGTAGGGTTTCTGCTGTTCAAGTGACATTGCCAGTCCAAGCAACCTTGCCGAATGCTCCGGCGAGATGGGTGAAACCGGAATCAATGATCAAACGATACGGCCAAGCCAACGTAGATGCCATCCACCAGTGGTGGTCTGTTTGCGGCTCAGAAGCGTTGGAAGGGCGTTCTGACCTCAAACTGGTCTCAGGGATTCAATTATTTTTTGACTTTGCATGGGCCACGGGCCACCAGGGGCCGTATGTCCATCGAAAGAGATGGTATGAAAGTCAAGAGCAAGTCCCAACTGGAGGAATTTTGAAATGGAGTGAGCGTGTCAAACCATTTTTGCTTTTGTGGAAGGCGTATATGCGGTGCAATGGGGTTGAAATTCCTCACAAGATGGCTCGCCCATATGGTTTGTCTATTGGTCGTCGGTTGGTTTCATATTATTTGAAATGGCCCATTGATAAGATCCAAGCTGTTGATTCATGTGTGTTTAACCAGTTGGGACGTCAATTAACGTCCCAAAGGGACATGCTGAGTCTCACTGCAGGACATTGAGCTTCGCGAAGAGGTTGGGTGCAAGGGCCGTGCGCCGCCCTTGTGCTTTCGCATAAACGGCAATAAACGGTAATATTTTTCAAGATGTTTAAAAACAACCAACCAGATTATAATGAAAATGTTTGATGGTCACCCTGCAGGCTTGTACTGCTTACGGCATGGAGACGTGTTTGTTCGACGTGCATGGAGACACCCAGGAGAACATAAAGCGACCACCCAAAATTCAACTTATGTACTCTATGTTGTAATTCATGTATATTATGATGTGTATATTAATTAATTGATTAGTTAGTTAGTTAATTAATTAATTAATTAATAATTAATTCATTAATTAATTAATTAATTAATATGATTATGTCATTGATTTGTTTATTTATTCATTTATTTATTCATCAATTTATTTATTTATTTACGTTGCCATTTGCCATTGCCAAGGAGAACATGATCATCCAAAACCTTTTCTTGGGGAGTTACAGGTTACCCCTCAAGCCGAAGACAAATCCAACTCTCAATAGCTGTGGGGTTAGGGCTGGTTCTGAGACATGGAAGTACTCATCCCAAGTTACAGTACCTCTTGGCTATCTCAAATGGATTTATTATAACCATCAACCATAGGGATATAGTGAGACTTCCTGTGTGTATGTGATAAAATGGGATGCATGACCAACTTAATAATTATATACGGTATAATTATGTATGTTTATGATATATTATGATATCTCCGTGGTATAATTCATATAAGAGGCCTTAGCTTTCTTTTCTTATATGTTCTACCTCCTGGTTGGTTCAACCTTGCTCCGCACCGGGTGACCAAGCAGCATGCTGAGGGTTTTCCAGCTGATTCCCAATATCAGCCAGAAGGATCCCATCAAGGGGTAACTGGACTCGGCATTAGCAGCTGCTACTGTGCATTGTTGGGTTATGTTGGATTATAGTTGGGTCTAATTTGATGGGCTGTAACTCATGCATTTCTTGTTGGGTGTCTAGGTGTGGCTATTTCACAATACATTGAAATTATTTCAAAACTGTACGCATAGAGATCTGTGTCCTTGCCTTTAGAATTTGACCCTGAGAATTGAAAATCTTCGTTGAAACATGTTGAGAGACTGAGTTAGACTTTGCTCAAAATCGTCTCTTCAAACCTATGGTCATGGCTTTCCTTTTTTCTGATCAAGCACAACAGGGACAATTCAAAATGGCAGCAGATGCTTATCAAAGCCACCGGAATGAACGGGAAAATGCCACTTTTTGTAGGTTTCTCCAGAAAAATGGATTGCTTACCAGCAGTTATGGCAATGGTACATTCGGGAAAACCAGGTCTGAAGTTCAGGTCGATCGTTTTTGTTGTTAAAACTCACTAGGGTTTGGGGTTTAATCATAATCCCATGATTTTCAGAGGACACGATGGACATCCTTGAAATGTTCAGGAGTTTCAGGGGTGCCCCACATTTTTTCGGGCACTTGATATGAACTGAGGGAGGTCGAGTCATACTTTCTGAAGTACGACCTGGGGGTTGAGTTCGGGGGCTAGCCGTACCTTCCCAGGTAGCATTTGGATCCCTAGGGAGGTTTTTTTTTTCCTCCGTCCATCACCTTCAGAAAGATCTGTGCCCCAATATTTATCCAGAATGTCAATGCTGCTGTTGTTTTTTTATACTTACATGTGTGCCGGGAAATAGTGGCATTAACATGTAAGAAACTACAATAAATACAAGTGCCTGAAAGTCACTAAAGTTCAAGCCACCAAAGGTATCTCAAACCCACTCAAGTTGTCAAAGTTCTTAAGTGTCAATGTGGCAAACCCACTGCAACAAACTATGCCACCTGAAATTGATAGAAATAGGTCATCCGAAATTGGAGGTTTAAGGCACTGGGTCCTGGGTTTTCCACATTATGTATATATATATATATATATATATATATAGGGAATGTGGACTAATGTGGTGGTATCCCAAAAAACAAATCATGTAGATGTTCAACAAGCAATCCTGATATGTGATGATGTTCAGCATCAGCAACTTGGTTCGTCACAGAAATGCCATGAAATGATACAACACCATGGAAAGTGATCTTAGACCCCAAGTTCCTGTATCAAGGTTAATGGACATATTTTGAATATAAAAAAACTCCCCCAAGTTCCTGTGGGGCTTTAAGGCTCTGTTTTATCGTGGATTAACCAATAGCCGGATTCAAAGGGTGACCCATCATTGGGGAAGTCACCCATCATCGGGGCCGAGGCTCACAAGTTCCTCCGCCGGATCGCCCTTGAGTCGCTTCCTCTCGCACTACTTCAACGTCCAGGAGCGGTGCCCCCCAAAACGCGGCGGGACAATCATGGTGGAAACAAGAAGAAAACAAGAAACATGGAGGGCATATCAGAAAAGGTTGGGGAAAGAACATGAACATCAATATGGAACGTCATGGAAGAATATGAAAAACATTGGGGCGTACATTGAAGAGTATAGGGGCACATGGCGAAATAAGAAAAATACGACGCATGGAACATGGTGAATTCACCTAGTATGGTTGGAAAGTGTTGGAAATGAGACTTGGAGAATTGCTGATTCTCGGACTTGGTGACTTGGTTCCTGCAGCACAGCAGAGTTTGATGACCGTTTTCATCATCCAAGTTCTGGGAGAACAGGAACAGTGCCAGGCCTGGCAATGGCAATGGTATCATGTGGTATCATGTGGTATCATTGACTTTCAACCATCACTTAGTATAGAGGGGGAATATGATGCCTCATGGGATCCTGGTGTTGTTCACAAAAAATGTCCATGCCCCATGTTTTTCTGACATTCACTTTGTCAGACACATTGGTTGCAATTCGGAAGAAACAGTTTTGGTATACCTAGAAAGGCCCCTCGTCCTTGAACCAGTAGACTAGCTTTTGGGGATGGTTCTTGGCCTGTTGAACGATGTCCGAAGGGGAACATCACCTATGAAAAGGATTCAAACCGGAGTCATCGTCACTGACGGTTTGTAACACTATACTTTGATATACTGTGATAGAATCGTCAATACTTTTGTCAGATTCAACACTTAATTCCCTGTCATTTATTTTCGTCACGCAGCAGGAGATTTCATCGGATGACTCTGACATGGAGCTGAAGAACATGATCCAAATGGCTGAAGTCGCTCGGCTGCGAGCCAAGGATGATCCAGTTCTCTCAGACATTCGGGGTATCCCCCGAAAAAGGGAAACACTTAGGTCAAACAAGGTGGAAAATTTGGAGCTGATGAGGCTGATGGTTTCAAGACTGAGAAGCAAGAAATGTAAGAAGATATTTGGTATCAATCCCGGGTGGATCACCAATGGGGAGACACCCTGTCCTTTGCCCAGTTGCCAAACAAGCCGTGGCCTCTCCTTCCCCACAAGGTAGTTTCCAGAGACAGCCAGGGCTGCTGACCAACTTGAGTCCAATTTTCAAGTTTCAATTTTGGGCAAAGAATCCAGTCAATAACTGATAACTGGATAAAACCAGTTACAGATTGATACTTTGGAATATTTGGTCATGTTGGCAATTAATGGATATCGAAACAATGAGTGTCCAAACTTGGTTCGCCAAAAAACACTTGCTTTGCATGTCAACTCTGTCATTCAGTTCCCCTCATGTTGGAAATTCTATTGACTATCAATGTTCAATGGATTGAGTTAAGGGAAATTCATGGACATCTACATGATTTCGCAGCTTTTATGGGTAATTTCTAGATATTTCTACATTGATTTATGCTTTTATGGGTTGACCCAAGAATTCTGGGACACCGGTTGAAGCCTCAGGAAAACGTCACCAGCTCGGACGAGGAGGACGTGATGGATTTTCCAGCCATGTTTGTTTATATGGGTTGTAACCATCAACACCATGGGGATAGAGCCTGATATAATTGATAAATGATGGTTGGTAAAAAAAGTGGTGCCCCTAAACATGATGTCAGTTGGTTAATAAACTACATCAAATCGTTCGGTATATCTACCATAAACATCCCGCCGGGGGGAAAACCGCGCTAGCGGTTGTTCAATTTTTGCAATTCTATGTGGCTGGCGCTGTGGCCCCGTAGCAATTTTATGATCAGATAACTGTTCAAAAATCCCGGGGATTTTCAAAGTGCATTTTAATGATGTATTGGTTTTTACAGGGGAAAATGTGTTCAGAGCGCGACGTTTTCTTATCATTCATCAGCTCCGCAGTCTTTTGCTCAAGGCGTGGCCTGTGACAGACATCAAGTCATTTTTGTCATTGTTTTGCCATCGCCACTGGAAAACTCTTACTCCTTGCAGCAGCTTTGGGTTGACTGAGCCATTGATGCGTGTGTTCAAACTGTTATGGATAGCTTGCTTTGCAAGCTTCCATATCCCATCAATGCTAACAGTGTGCACCAACAGCGTGCTACCATCTCGTCTCCTTTTCTTCAAACAGAAGATACCCTTACTGTGGTTGCAAGAATAGTGAAAGAGTTCAAAGCGTAGCAACAATAAAGTCTGAGATGTTATATGAAAGAGTTCAAAGCGTAGCAACAAGAAAGTCGTAGATGTTGTATGAAAGAGTTCAAAGCGTAGCAACGAGAAAGTCTGAGATGTTATAAAAATAATATTTCAAAACGTAGCAGCAAGAGCGTCTTAGATGTTGTATGAAAGAGTTCAAAGCGTAGCAGCAAGAAAGTCTGGGATGTTTTATGAAAGAGTTTCACAGCGTAGCAACAATAATTTCTTAGTTGTTTAAAAAAACATTTCAATTCGTGGCAGCAAGAGCGTCTTAGATGTTATATGAAAGAGTTCAAAGCGTGGCAGCAAGAAGGTCTTAGATGTTTTATGAAAGAGTTCAAAGCGTAGCAGCCAGAAAGTCTTAGATGTTTTATGAAAGAGTTCAAAGCGTAGCAACCAGAGCGTCTTAGATGTTATATGAAAGAATTCAAAGCGTAGCAACAAGAAAGTCTGATATGTAATATGAAAGAGTTCAAAGCGTAGCAGCAAACACACAGAATATTACAAACGCAAGGATCAAGAAGGTGTCAACATTGACGTTATTACACACCCCCCACCCCCCCACCCCCCCACCCCCCACCCGAAACCCCAGAGAAACTACCACACAATCAGACAGAATATTACAAACGCAAGGATCAAGAAGGTGTCAACATTGACGTTATTACACCCCCCACCCCCGCACCCCCCCACCCCCCCACCCCCCCACCCCCTCACCCGAAACCCCAGAGAAAAATACAACAATTAACAAAATCTGCACGACTACGCGCGCGGTTTTCCCCCCGCTGGCATAAACATCCATCCATCATGGTTGAACAAATGTGAACTAAACAAACTTATTGAACGAACTGGCACAGCACCAACCGTAGTTATTTTCGGGGGTGTTTCAAAATGGGGTATACAATATATAGTACCTGGATCGGCCTCTTTAACTGCGAGGGAAGAAATAGGCCTTGGGATGCTTTGGGGTTAGAAATGAACTTCTTGGGGCTATTTAAAACAAACAATAATTTATTTGCTGTATGCTGTATGTGCTAGGTGATTGTGCGTTTCACATTGGCTAGGTAGAACTGATGAAGACACACACAGAGATATAATGATATATAGATATATAAGAACATTATTTTCCATATATGTTGAGCATCTCTGATCAGTACCTATAATATCATATGTAAACCTAAAATTAATATTATATATAATATGTGCGCGCTATTGTTTACCATGTACAACACATATTTGGGGAACATGATCTCTAAACTAAAGCAACTAAGCCTAGCAGTCTATCTAAACCAGTCGATTCGCCAGGAGAAAGTGACGTGCTGAGCGGCCACTGACAGCCGCCGCAGTGAGGCATGCGCTGTTCATTGGTGGAATAAGCTTTCAGGGTTGTATGAAAATGCGGTTGGATATATATATATATATATATGTGTATATATATATATATACATATGGGAATTTCCTGAAATAGGGGGTACCCCTAAATCATCCTTTTTTCAAAAGATTTTCCAATATATACCATACATGTTGGAGACCCCCAATTTTTGGAATCCCTTTTATATATATATGTGTATATATTTATATATATATATATATTTGTATATATATATATATGTATATGTATATATATATGTATATGTATATATATATGTATATATATATATATATGTATGTATATATATATTATAATTATATATATATATATATATTATATTTATATAAATACATGCCGTAAACAAGACTGGCATGAATGAGTACGAATAGTCAAATGGACTTGTCCAAAAGAATGCCTTGAAAAACACAAGGGACATGGTTATCATTGTGCCATGATTTTTACAGTAACATGGCGTCATCGCTTTAAGTTTCTGCATCCATTTGGGTAAAGCCAGGTTGAACCTTGGGAATGGTATATCGTTCATCATCCCACGAGCTCAGATACTGTTGGGCTATATCATGATATATCCAATTTCGGACTAAGCCCAAGTGGTTCAGAGACGGTGAAGTGCCTGTAGAAACTAGTCTCCCAATACATTAGTTTGCTTCGACGGACACCCAGGGATTACCCCACGATGTTCTCTTGGTGTTCCTTTTCGTGTACTGGGGGAAAATTTAGCGACCTCACAACTACCAGATGGGTTCATTTCTGAACATGCACGGTGCCCAGAATCGATTTGGGCATGATGAAAGATACATTCTCAATATCAAGTCACTCACCACAGATGGCGCTGTGTGAAACCTTACTGGTACCTGTTTGCGAGGGAAGACCTGTGAGACAGGTCCAGTGGTCCAGTGGTCTAGTATAGTTTGGCGACTGGGAGGCGCTGTTGTGATTACAGCGCCACCTCGGGTGAGGTTCCTGATCGGGTGAGTATAGCGGAGGCCTGGGATTCCCATTGGTTGGTTGATGAAAAAAGAGGTTGTTTTTTCACAAACCCCTTTAACAACAGGTAAATGATGATAGATGTTATACCAAACAGGCCCCTCTATTTTTACCAAAAGGACATGGTTGTTGGTTTTTGTTTGCCAACTGCTCGGTTTTTTTGATCAATGGTACATCGACCACATCATCAGATCTAAACGTGTAGCCAGGCCAACTCCCAGATCAACCGGAGGAACCGGAAAAAAACTTGCAGAAGTTGAGCATCTTTGGTCAACCGATCATTGAGTTCAGACTTCTTTGTCTGTCTAAAAGGTCAGTACTAAGCCATTTGATGCTTCATCGGCTCCAAGCTGTCAGGAATCATTGGTCAGACATGTTTACCCCCGATTTCCTGGGATGGATCGTGGTATTCGAAAATGATTGGTAGAAGGTGGGAACTGGCCAATACTCCAACCGATACAATCCAATACATATATGCAATTATATTTTTATATATACATAATTACATATTTTATATGCACATATCTGAGCACATACATATTATATATGTTTATTTATTTATTTACATCATATATATATATATACATACACACTGCACATATACATTACGTATATTCGAATTGGTTGCGAAGTTCACCTGGCGGCGGGCCGCTGCGCTTGGAATCTACGAGAAAACGGACTGTCTAAAAGTGGTTTCAGCTGGTGGTGTCAGCTGTGGTTTTACCACCCCCCAAACTGGTTGGTAAACATAGGGGTAAATTATGGTAAATTGATGTAATTCGTAAAGTGACGTTTCGGTGGCTGCAATCCAAAATGCCCCCTACATAGATCCTCATAGTGTACAGCTTGACTTAAGCAATTTTGAATGGGCTTTACCTATCCTACCATAAGTGCCTTGCTTTTTCCGGACGGATTGAAAGCAGCAACTGTTGGTGATCACCACTTCCGGAAAAAATCCAGGCCAAAAAGGTTCCCAAGCTCCCAATATCTCCCACTTGTTCCAAGCTCGAAGCCACCAGGTATGTGTCCATGCCGCCCTGGGCGCTAGGAGAAGGACATATTCACCTGGGATTGATAGGACAAATCTGCAGGCAACCATTGGTTCAGGACCAAATAAATGGATATGTGCCTAGAGATTTACTCCTTGAAACTAGATTGACGGGCAAGTACATTCATTAGATGTGCTTGTTCATTTTTTCGAAGGTATCTCATATCCTACAGGTGGTATTGTATGATGAACCATATCCTACAGCATTCTCCACTTCCAAGTCCTGATCTATAGCTGCCTTTGGCCGGTCCGCCCCCTAGCGACTTTATTCACATTACAGTAGCACGTATAGCCGTATAGCTGGATGAATTGTAGCGACCTCAGTGCGATCTCATCATACATAATCGGTAGACGATGTTAAAATATGTTAAATGGGATGATTATCTTCAGATAGCCTTTTGCAGTTTGCTAAACTGTATTATTTAATCTTACTACCACGGGTATACATGTCAATCAACACACACAGACACACACACACACATGGTGAAACCTTGGGACATCGTGCCATGAGTTGATGTTGCAGCGAATTGGCCCTGCTGTTTTTTCTTTACGTCGTAGAAACGACCCAAAAAAATGGATGGCAAAGCCATATGATTTCCTGTTCTGTAGCCTACCCCAAAAACAGCTTGAGATCTTCCCAGCCGATGGCAGGCATGGCATCGCCACCATTGCATTTCTGGCCTCACTGGGGATGTTTACCAGGCTGGATTCTTTGGGAACAGCCTCCATGAACCGTTGATTCTATGGTACCTTTTTGTGGGGTGAAACCTGTGCGTGGTGGTACAGGAGGAGCAGTATCAGAATCTCGAAGCTCCGCACTTCCACCTTTCCAAGTAGAGATGGGACTGGAAAAGATGCTTTGAGAACAGAAGTAAGCTGGTGGTTTGGAACGTTTTTTTATTTTCCACCACATATATACGGGCTAATCCTTTCCATTGACTTTCATATTTTTCAAGATGGTTAAAACCACCAACCAGTAGTGGTTTTATGTTATGTTCAAAGGAAATCCCGGGATTACCAACAGTTTGACACAGATATATAAATATATACATTATACACATAGTTTTCACTTTGTATACACACATATACACACATAACTCTATATATGTATGTATACAATTGTATATATATATATATGCACATATACACATATGACTCCAAATATTAAGTTACCAAACGTCTAACTGTGTCAGTATGTTTTTGTTTGACCTCTATCCTGATTTTTTTGTGCATAGTATGTATGTATGTATGTATATATATAGATATATACACATATGGTGTTTGCTGTATTACAGGGTCATTTCCATAGTATTCTGTATACAGTAGATGATAAACACCCACCAATGAGGTTGCTGTTTTATAGGTCCAATTCAAGTTCTATCCAAACTATATCACAATGGAGTTTTAGAATTCTATTTGCATGTCTAAATGCTCATGGATTCTGAAGTTCTGAAAGCATAACACTTATAGCTCTAACATAGCTATGGAAAATCCACTGTTTGTTGATGATTCCCGGACGGGAAACCCATGGATTTCCATAGCAGCGACACGCGCTAGGTCCTCGGGGCCCTGCTTTTGGATCAAACCGCCCAAGCTGCGACCTGTGCAGGGCTGGTATGAGGCCGAAATACCTATTTGGATCCAGATGCTTTTGGAAGGCAACCCCCAATCATTCTGGAAATACTTCCTCAGAGGTACTTGGATCCATAGGCAACATACACACATATATATTTATATATATATACAGTACATCATATATGTATGCGTTTATATTGATGTATTGTGCCTTTTTATGCGGTTCATTGCTTGTCTAGAAGATGTAAGAAAGCCTTTAACACTGAGAATGTAAAGCATGTACTGGAGCTTCGGGGGAGACACACATGAGAATGATATGGTTTGATTATATGTATATATACATGTACACACCTCACTGGCTCGCTGTTTCAAAATTGAAACTGCAGTCCTCACGCATCTTCCATGAACTACGATCTATTGTTTGAAAAGAATATTAACAGGCCAACTGAGGATCATATTATTCATATAGTCTATGTTATATATATATATACATATGTAATTATATGTAATTATGTAACGCATTGATAATTAATAACATCCACCCAAAGCTCAACACTGCGGCAGCCCCGCCACAGCTGGCTATGTGCTGCCGATCAACCCAACGATGGGATGATGGTGATTGGGATCCCCAAATCACTCGGTGTACCGGGTGCACCGCCATTTCCACTGGATGGACAGTTGGGATTGTTGGGAACAACCCCCTGATATACTTGGGAATTTGCACTTGGCAATGAACACTGATTCACATTTCCCGTTTTTTTTTCAGGTAGCTATCGAAAACCACCACGTGTTCAATTAGTGAATCATCAAGCTAAATGGGCTATCTATACCAGCTCGCAAAGTCTGAAGAATTACCGGATGGTATATCAGATACCGGATGGTATATCAGATAGTCATTCCACTGTAACTGGTTGGTTAAATATGGTTAAAGTTAAATTCCATAAGATATCTTATATCCCATTAGCCGCCAAGTCAAAAATCCCTGTGGGACGGGGAAGGATTTTTGTCGGTCACAGCCCATGGATTTCCGGCCACCAGTGGATAGAAACACAACTTGGCACCTGTAGAACACTGTGGCAAGGAGAATCTGGTCCATTTAAAAGGTTGCAATGTATTAAAATCATGTGGTAGATACGTTTGTTTGGTGAATTTCCCTTAAAATAAGGACAAAGTCTACAGACATTTGTAGTGATCATGTCCCCTGCCAGGAAGAGCGGCTTGTAGCGCCGGAAGGAGGTCTGACAGCTGGGTTGTACCCGTTAGCACCGCCGTGATGATACACTATGAACCATCTTTGACAAGATTTCGGGGACTATATATATATAATATATATATATAATATATGTATAATATATATATCAGACAAACTCATATGATTCATCTGTAGAATTGAACTATACCAAGAGGAATGTCTCTACAAAGGCATCATGGCACTGGACCAACTGAAATGGAGCCGTGACTGTGACCTGAAAGGATCTGGATATATCTGGATCCCAATGCCCAGACAACTGGAGCATGAATAGATTAGCCACTTCGCACCATAGCGGGGAATAGTCTTAAAATCCTTTCATGTTTCGACGATGATCATCTTGCAGAAACCGATGTCGCCGATGGATTGTCACATCGAGCGGTGTCACGATCGTGTTGGCGGTGGCACGTTTGCTTTGGAGTTCGGAAAAAGATCCAATTCTGGTGATTGAATCCAAAGTTGATGGTCACAAGTTGTATTGCTCGTGCATTATCTGTTTTTTTTTGCGGCAATGTTTTTGTGAACAAAAAAGTTCATAGTGACCCGACTGGTTACAGATTTCATTTTGGGAAATACTTCAACCCACATAGCAAGTTAAATCTATTATCTTGAATCCCAGATATGCCTGACATCTTCTGTCATCTTTGAGTTTCAAAAGATATCTGGTTTCACCCGTATTCTATAAACCTTATCATGTGTCACTATAGGGGAAATCCCTTCGTGTACGGTAAACCGTAAACCCAATATTATTTTATTTCATTCAAAAAATATTACAATCCCCAAGAACGGATTATCACAGTTGGCTTGTCATATTCATTATCCCTTCATAGGAAATACCCAACTGACTTTGAAAAGAGGTGCTAAGCTGCGTGGGCTACACCCACCGAAGCCTCCCAAGTTCCTGATGGAAGGCAAGGAATGGACGGTTCCTGCGAAGCGGAAAATTGTGGCATTCAGTCATCAGCCATAATTGTCAGCCAATAATTTGCGGATTATTGAGAGGTGTTATTAAGTGATTCATTTGCCAAAGTCGTCGTTATGGCATTTCTGAACAGCAAATGGTGAATCGAAATGGAATCCGGTGGCGAAGGGTGGTCTTGGGCGTTTTTGATTTTTTGTTTGAGATGTTTTGAAACTGGCAGCCAGTTTCATGGAGGACTATCTTTCAACAGTCACATGCATTATGTTGTTTTACATATCATATATTACAAATATGTATATATATATATATACACATTATAATTACATATGATATGATGTGCTATTATGTTATATTATTTTATTCTATATTACAAATTGTTTTAAGTTATTATCTTATCGTATCTTATTTTATATTATTTTATTTTAAAATACAATGTAATATATTATAGTATATTATATTGTTTATATATATAATATGGTGTTTTACATACACACACGTTTTACATTATTACTATAGTTTTTTGTTAAATGCATATACATATTATGTATATATAGATGTATGTATACAACTTTGTTGCTGATCTCAGTTTGCTGTGAAATTGCATGGACCTCATTTGCTTATGGCATCTCGTGGCCAGATTCACCAGAGAGAGACATGGAGTAAAATACTGGGCATAAGATTCGGTCTAGCTTTGTGAACGATATAATTGATGAATTGGTTTCCTTCAAGGTTGGCAAGTTGAGAACTGAATCGAATCTCTCGCAACATTGATTACTCTTGCTGCAGCTTAAAAAAGGTGGAAAAACGGCCCTTCCTACACAGCGTTGATTTTAAATGATCTTGAAGATTTTTTACTCATCCAAGCGACTGGTGAAAGCAAAGTCTCACCGTTTGGTGCTGGAATTGGTCCCCGAAATCGGCTGGTTGATGAAGTTTATGATGGCTCGAAGATGTTTATGAATTTAAGTGTTTAGCTAATGATGGTTTATGATTGGTTTATGAACTTGTGACTAATAATGATGGCTTATGATGGTTTATGAACTTGTGACTAATAATGATGGCTTATGATGGTTTATGAACTTGAGAGCACGCTTTCACATAGCCGACTTAGCACAGAATCTCACAGATACCCCGACAGCTCAGGGTGCCCATTGTGTCCACAAGCGTCAGGTCGAATCAAAAACTCCCCATTGGAGCCTCAACCAGAGGCCGAAGCTGACGGGGCACCAAGGTGTTGCATTTGACGACTATCTTGCGCTTGTGTCGCACATTTGTTGTGTACATCATACCGACCTGGATCTACCTCCCAAAGTTGCAAAGAAAACGATACGTTGGTGAGACTTGGTTCAGAAGCGAAGACCCAAACTTTACGAACGGAGACTGATTGCTAAATTGCCTGAAAACCAACCCCAGTCACCACGAGGACCCATTGCCAGACACCAGGCACTGTGAACACTCAAGATGCTATCTTCAGTGCCGATGTCTTTGATATGTAATCAATGTAAGTAAGAATATTATCATATGATGTATATATATATATATATATATTTATTTGTTTATTTATTTATTTATCAGATCATACGTGCTGATGAAAAAATGTGTTAACCAGGCAGGGTTTGGTCTCAAAATTCAAAATTGGTAAATGTCATGGTATATCTCACCCAATATAGCCATTTTATAGGAAAAAACAACTATGATTGAAGAAGGGGATGACATGGTACCGTTCCATTTTTTCAGGATAAACCCAGCAAACCCAGTCAGATCACGTTGAAACCCTGGTGGTTCCACGGATTCGTAGCCTTCAGGTCTCAGCTGAGACCTCGGAGGTTTCTATGCTCAGAGTGGAAGACAAGCAGGTGCCGATCATTGCCGATCGGCGGTCTGGTGAGGTCCTGATGAACTATGACTAGGAGTAATCCCCAAATGGATTCGGATATCAAGACCCGGGGGCCGCAGATCGTAGTCTATTTTTACTGACAAGCATTCAATTTTTGGGCTACCTGATTTTGACCCATGCCCAAATAGACTTATAGAACAGTGAAGTACCACTATTTTGGGAAGACTTTACCAAAGTCTATTCTTATGGCCGGTTGATATAAGCAGAAAATAGAGCCGTTGAGACGGCGAAACTATAACTCAGCCCTAGAAATTGATTATTAGTGAATGTTTGTAAGAGATCCGCAAAAATGGAACCAACTTTTCTGGTTTCTGTACCCAGCTACCCTCTCCTTGACAACCGTTTCAGAGTATCACTGGTGGGCGATAGCCCGCATTAAGTCCCCAATTAATCTCGTGAATCAAAAAGCCTCTGATTGTCCCATTTCAGGATTCAGGATATCATGGAGTAAACCCTGGGACCATCCGTATTCCACTCACAAAATCCAAAGTCAACTCATGCATGCTCACCACCAATCAGAAAGACACATCTTGGACTTTCCATGCTTTGAATTCCGTGCCCATGAATACTTTAAGCTCCATGAAAAAGCACATGCACACTCAGAGCAAGATTTTTTCAATGAGAAATCCATTGCTTGGGGAATCTACAGGACAGATGTTTTTATTTGTTGAGGGTTCCTGAAGCAAATCCAAGTTTTGGTCCTTTGCAGGTGGGCCAGGAGCTCCGTTACCTCTCTCTCGCCAAGCAGGAGGCGCAGCGGCCGTTGCGCAGCATCCCGGGGCATTTCACCAGATGACCGGCCCAGGCATTGCCTGTGGTGGGGGAGGACGTTCGCGCTCTGGTGGAGCAAGCTTCTGAAGAGGTCCAAGTCGGGCGGCTGTTGCTGCTTTCCAGATGTAGCATTTGTCCCACACTGGAGGGTACCCGAAATTACCCTGAAATATCTAATGTTTTGAGAATGGAAATTATGATCATTCATAGAAAAATGGAGTAAGTGCCGGGTCTTTTGGGACATTTCAACCAACCCAACAGCTCCCATCCAAACCGCAGCATTTTTTGCCGGCCCAACTGCGCTTCTCGCTTTTCGCTCTCTAACGACTCGCTGAGAAAAACCATGCCCTGCCTGGTGGACTTCTACGATTGCCTCCGTGCTTGGGCCAACCCCAAGTCCATCGGATATCCTCCTTGGAGGAAGGGGAACTTGGAGCCTCGACATCGACAAAGGCATGGCCGGTTGTGGTTGCTGTTGCTGTTGCTGCCGCTGCCGCTGCTGCTGCCGCCAGTGTTGTTGTTGCTGCTAGTGTTGTTGCAGCTGCCACTGTTGCTGTTGCTGCTGTTGCTGCTGCTGCTTGTTGTTGTTGTTGTTGTTGTTGTTGTTGTTGTTGTTGTTCTTGTTGTTGTTGTTGCTGTTGCTGTTGCTGTTGCTGTTGCTGTTGTCGTGGTTGTTGTGGTTGTGGTTGTGGTTGTGGTTGTCGCTGTCGCTGTCGTTGTCGTTGTCGTTGTCGTTGTGGTTGTGGTTGTGGTTGTGGTTGTGGCTGTTGTTGTTGTTGTTGTTGTGGTTGTGGTTGTCGTTGTCGTTGTCGTTGTCGTTGTCGTTGTCGTCGTCGTCGTCGTCCTCGTCCTCGTCCTCGTGGTCGTAGTCGTTGTCGTAGTCGTTGTCGTTGTGGTCGTTGTCGTTGTGGTTGTTGTTGTGGTTGTTGTGGTTGTTGTGGTTGTTGTGGTTGTTGTGGTTGTTGGTTGTTGGTTGTTTGTTGGTTGTTGGTTGTTGGTTGTTGCTGGCGCCGTGACACGCGGCCTGTGTGTGAAAGCTGATTGTTTGTTTTTGTTGCCTTTTTTGTCCTTATTGGGGTGGGGTGGGGTGGGGTGGGGTAGGGTAATAACGTTCATGTACGCTTGCTGAGCGACGTCATGCTACGTTGAGGTAGCGTTCTTGCACATTTGCACATCTACGCTGTGTAAGCAGCACGAACCGAAAAAAGAAAGGAACCTGCACAAAGGACCCGGACGATGATGATGACGATGACGACGACGATGATGATGATGCTGATGATGATGCTGATGATGATGATGATGATGCTGATGATGATGATGATAAGCTAAAACTGATCATGCCTGCGGCCCACAGGCCGCTGGCCACGGCGTGACCTGGTTGTTGGTTGTTATTGTTGTTGCTGTTGTTGTTTTTGTTGTTGCTGTTGTTTGATGATTGGGGGGATTCATGTATGGCTTGTTGTGATTGGAAGATCGCTGGCAGAATGTGATTCAAACTAGGACATGGTTGGATTCCTAATTGCACGGGAAACATGGAAATGCGTCGGCATCAATCATTTTCAATGCTATTTTACCACCTCAAACCGTATGCTGATATGGCACTGACATGTTTGATCAGATATACTGCTTTAAACAACTACATCACTTCATATGGCGCGCACACACATACATTACATTACATTACAGTACATTGCATTGCATTACAATACAATACAATACAATACAACGCAATACAATACATACATACATACACACACACATATGTATACATATGTATGTATAGGATACATACTTCGAGTCAGCCCCCCCAAGTCTCCATGTTTTTGTTGCTTTCCCCAGCCATGGGAACCACGGCCGAGGATTGCCATGAGTACTACTACGAGGAGTTCTTGACCAAACCCATGGCCGCGCAGCAGAAAGGAGGGCATGGAGGGCATTGATCCAGGCCGGAGACGTTCCTGGGGTAAACGTGTACCAAAAGATGTGGAAAACCCTTAAAAAAATGGTTTCGCCGGGAAAATGATTGACAAATAGTGGGTTCTCCACATTGAACTGTTTGTTTACGGCAGTGTATATTTTAAGCTCCAATTTTTGTTTCTCTAGTTTTAAGACAAATTACCCAGACTGGCCTTTGTATTGAACATCTGAAATCAATAGAAACAGCTGGGACCCATGGGGCCAAGTGACGTCCAAGTGAGACTGTGTGACGTGGATGGTCCACCTGGGATCCAGGTGTACAATGGAGGTTTTGTTTTTCATAAGTGATGTACTTAAAGCATCTTGAAGCTTCTCAAAGCATGTACAGACCTGCATGCAAGCACACACATCAATATGTATACTATACATGTCATGTACCGTTTTACGTTTCACGGATGGGCGCAATAGTTTTGTGTGTTTTTTTGCAAAGTGCAATTTTCAATGTGCCGCCCAAGTTCGTAGCATTTGTGCAGGCACGAACGCGGCCATTGAATCCCACAATGAGTTCCCTACCTGTTGTAGATAGCCTTAAATAGTCACATCATCCCAATTCTAAGCAACAAACTCCCAGAAATCTGCATCAGCATACATACTTCCAACATGTTTTAACCCTGTTTAGGTAACCAATGGTAACCACCACCCATTTCACTGAAGCCATTGTCGGTAAGATATCCCCATTCACCACTTCCTTGTCGAAATTCTTCACCAAGAATCCATGCCATTCTCAGGGAGTCTCCATCCTCATTCTGGAAAAATCACCCATCATGCCATCATGGATCAAAAATGTGAGGATGGTCCACATGAGATCCAGTCCTGACGTTGCCCTGCCAGGCCTTGACTGCGATTTTGAGCCCTGGCCGCTTTGTGACCGGCGGGAACCCCGGGAGACCGCGCAGACTCAAAGCAGACCGTAGACCGACGCGGGGAGTCGCGGAGAGTGGAGAAATATGCCGTGGAGTCCAACCTGATTGGCTGGGGAAATGCCAAGTATTCTATTTACATGTTTTGTATTGTTTTGTTTTTTTCCCGGAGAGCTGTTTGTAAAAGGAGGTTTCTTCATGGCCAGGTTCGATTAGTGTTTGGGAATGATTAAAGAGATGGTACCCTATTGTGAGAAATTTCTTGCTCCTTATTCAGTCACATGCTAATTGTTGGGGGGGATCTCTATTGTGAGATTTTTCCATATTTTTCATTTTTTTCCAAATAATTACTTTAAATTTATTTTTATTTTTTCAATTATTTTTTGGTTTGTGTTTAAAATTATTTTTCCAAATACTTTAAATTATTGTTTCCAAATACTTATTCAAAAAAACAGCACTCAGACAATTTTTGAAGGGGGTACCTCATGAGTGGCTCAGTTCCTCAATAATATAATTGTTTGGATGTTACTCTATTGTGAGCACCAACTTTTGGGAGTGAAAAAAAACAAAACCCTTTCTCCACCTTTCTTTGGGTAAAGCTGGTCCTTTCACTTTAGAAAGCCATATTTGTGTTTAAAGTTTAAAATGCAAAGTTTCCCAAATAATTAGATGCCTTATTAAACCCTTATTAAAAAACAACACCCAAACAATTTTTCAAGGGGGTACCTCATGAGTGGCTCAGTTACTCAATAATATAATTGTTTGGATGGTACTCTATTGTGAGCACCAACTTTTGGGAGTGAAAAAAAAAACAAAACCCTTTCTCCACATTTCTTTGGGTAAAGCTGGTCCTTTTACTTTAGAAAACCATATTTGTGTTCAAGCTTTAAAATGCAAGGTTTCCCAAATAATTAGATGCCTTATTAAACCCTTATTTAAAAACAGCACTCAGACAATTTTTCAAGGGGGTACCTCATGAGTGGCTCAGTTACTCAATAATATAATTGTTTGGATGGTACTCTATTGTGAGCACCCACTTTTGGGAGTGAAAAAAAAAAGCAAAACCCTTCCTCCACCTTTCTTTGGGTAAAGCTGGTCCCTTTACTTTAGAAAGCCATATTTGTGTTAAAACTTTAAAATGCAAGGCTTTCCAAATAATTAGATGCCTTATTAAACCCTTTTTAAAAAACAGCATCCAGACAATTTTTCAAAGGGGTACCTCATGAGTGGCTCAGTTACTGAATAATATAATTGTTTGGATGGTACTCTATTGTGAGCACCAACTTTTTGGAGTGAAAAAAAAACGAAACCCTTTCTCCACCTTTCTTTGGGTAAAGCTGGTCCTTTCACTTTAGAAAGCCATAGTTGTGATAAAACTTTAAAATGCAAGCTTTCCCAAATAATTAGGTGCCTTATTAAACCCTTATTAAAAAACAGCATCCAGACAATTTTTCAAGGGTGTACCTCATGAGTGGCTCAGTTACTGAATAATATAATTGTTTGGATGGTACTCTATTGTGAGCACCCACTTTTGGGAGTGAAAAAAAACACAAAACCCTTTCTCCACCTTTCTTTGGCTAAAGCTGGTCCCTTTACTGTAGAAAGCCATATTTGTGTTAAAGCTTTTAAAATGCAAGGTTTCCCAAATAATTAGATGCCTTATTAAACCCTTATTAAAAAACAGCACCCAGACAATTTTTCAAGGGTGTACCTCATGAGTGGCTCAGTTACTGAATAATATAATTGTTTGGATGGTACTCTATTGTGAGCACCAACTTTTGGGAGTGAAAAAAAAAGCAAAACCCTTTCTCCACCTTTCTTTGGGTAAAGCTGGCCCCTTTACTGTAGAAAGCCATAGTTGTGCTAAAACTTTAAAATGCAAGGCTTTCCAAATAATTAGATGCCTTATTAAACCCTTATTAAAAAAACAGCATCCAGACAATTTTTCAAAGGGGTACCTCATGAGTGGCTCAGTTACTCAATAATATAATTGTTTGGATGGTACTCTATTGTGAGCACCAACTTTTGGGAGTGAAAAAAAAACAAAAACCCTTTCTCCACCTTTCTTTGGGTAAAGCTGGTCCTTTCACTTTAGAAAGCCATATTTGTGTTAAGAGTTTAAAATGCAAGGTTTCCCAAATAATTAGATGCCTTATTAAACCCTTATTAAAAAACAGCATCCAGACAATTTTTCAAAGGGGTACCTCATGAGTGGCTCAGTTACTGAATAATATAATTGTTTGGATGGTACTCTATTGTGAGCACCAACTTTTGGGAGTGAAAAAAAATAAAAGTAAATTAAAAGTAAATTGAAATCAATTGAAAGTAAATTGAAAGTAAATTAAAAGTAAATTGAAATCAATTGAAAGTAAATTGAAATCAATTGAAAGTAAATTAAAAGTAAATTGAAATCAATTGAAAGTAAATTGAAAGTAAATTAAAAGTAAATTAAAAGTAAATTGAAAGTAAATTGAAATCAATTGAAATCAATTGAAAGTAAATTGAAATCCTTTCTTAAGTTGATTGACCAAAAAAAAGTTGAGGGAGGGCAAAAAAAAGTGCGAGTTATAGAGTAGCCTCAAATTGTTTAGGGGGTGGGGGCCCTCACACTAATCAGATGCAAACATTACTGGAAATCATAATTTCATATATTTCAAGTGCTTCAAGTTCGTACTGGGAGAGGATCAGGATGTCTTATCAATGGAGAAGGGTGTTTGAATTAAACAGGTTGGGAGCTGTGAGCAAGTCCTGAAGCAGAAGAAACTTAAGTCAGTTCCAAAAATTGATTCCAGTCAAGACACCATCCCACAAGATCCCGTTTTAAAGTAATACAGAATTGGAATGGTTTTGTTCATATAGATTGGATGGATGATGAATAGTTTAGTACATCAATCTTTTGTCATAAATCTGGATACTTGGTGGCTCATCAGCGCCTCTAAGTTGGTTTTACAAAAACTACGGTATACCCGGTATACGTATGTATACGTCTAATCTCAGTTTTCATAACTGGGCTTAAACACTAGAGGAGTTATGGTTACTATTATAGTTATAGCTTATATTAGGTCACTATAGTTACTATTAGTTACTGGGGTCACCGTAAGCGATCCATCCAGGCTCCAATGAAGAAACTTTCGTCCGCAGGCGCAGTGCGGTGCCCTGCAGGCCGAGGACGCTGACCATTGAATCCAACGGGCTCCCGAAAGAGCCGCAAGAACCAACCAAAGGGGGGGATTTTGTTAGACACACACACACACATATATATATTATATTATATTTTATTTATATAATCAAAGGAAGTTTAGGGGGAGAAACTTCCGTGTTACGGACTTTTAGAATGTCAGGGAAAGAGTTAGTCAAAGAAAGAGTTAGTCAGGGAAAGGTTAGTTAGGGAAAGAGTTCATCAGGGAAAGAGTTAGTCAAAGAAAGAGTTAGTGAGGGAAAGAGTTAGTTAGGGAAAGAGTTCATCAGGGAAAGAGTTCGTCAAAGAAAGAGTTAGTGAGGGAAAGAGGGAAAGAGTTCATCAGGGGAAGAGTTAGTCAAAGAAAGAGGTAGTGAGGGAAAGAGTTAGTTAGGGAAAGAGTTAATTGTAACTTTTTAGACTGTCAGGGAAAGAGTTAGTCAAAGAAAGAGTTAGAATGGCATTGCAAGTGGTGCTGGTGGAGGAGTTGCCGATGGAGTTTTGAAGGAAGTCTCGCACGAAATGCGTTTTTGAGAGATAGCAGATGCACGAAACCCTATGTTTTCCCATACAAAGTCCGTCCCCGAACCTCGATGATCTACCTCTGCGGTGCGACGGTTGCGAGACGGTCTCGTGTGTGGTCGGATCATGGTCGGATCGGTCTCGGACCATGGTCGGATCGGTTCCGCATTGTAAATGGGGTGTCACCTGTGTTTCGTGCATTTGCGGTCGACAGAATTCCATTGTGATTTGCAACTGTAGGATCGTTCCCGCAATGTAAATGGGATTGCAAGTGGTGCTGGTGGATGAGTTGCCGATGGAATTCCATTGTGATTTGCAACTGTAGGATCGTTCCCGCAATGCAAATGGGATTGCAAGTGGTGCTGGTGGAGGAGTTGCCGATGGAGTTTTGAAGGAAGTCTCGCACGAAATGCGTTTTTGAGAGATAGCAGATGCACGAAACCCTATGTTTTTCCATACAAAGTCCGTCCCCGAACCTCGATGATCTACCTCTGCGGTGCGACGGTTGCGAGACGGTCTCGTGTGTGGTCGGATCATGGTCGGATCGGTCTCGGATCATGGTCGGATCATGCTCGGATCGGTTCCGCATTGTAAATGGGGTGTCACCTGTGTTTCGTGCATGTGTGGTCGACAGAATTCCATTGTGATTTGCAACTGTAGGATCGTTTCCGCATTGTAAATGGGGTTGCAAGTGGTGCTGGTGGATGAGTTGCTGATGGAATTCCATTGTGATTTGCAACTGTAGGATCGTTCCCGCAATGTAAATGGCATTGCAAGTGGTGCTGGTGGAGGAGTTGCCGATGGAGTTTTGAAGGAAGTCTCGCACAAAATGCGTTTTTGAGAGATAGCAGATGCACGAAACCCTATGTTTTTCCATACAAAGTCCGTCCCCGAACCTCGATGATCTACCTCTGCGGTGCGACGGTTGCGAGACGGTCTCGTGTGTGGTCGGATCATGGGCGGATCATGCTCGGATCATGGTCGGATCGGTCTCGGATCGGTTCCGCATTGTAAATGGGGTTTCACCTGTTTTTCGTGCATGTGTGGTCGACAGAATTCCATTGTGATTTGCAACTGTAGGATCGTTCCCGCAATGTAAATGGGATTGCAAGTGGTGCTGGTGGATGAGTTGCCGATGGAATTCCATTGTGCTTTGCAACTGTAGGATCGTTCCCGCAATGTAAATGGGATTGCGGTTTGCAGCTCAGTTTTTGGACCTACAATTTCCGACGCTGTTGCGCGTAGTTCTGTTGTGTTTTGCAGCTCAGTCTTTGCAGATCGCATTGTAGTGGCTGCGTCAAGGTTGCTTCGTGCTGTGGCTGCATTTGTAATACTATTGTCTTTTGCAGCTGGATCTCGTAAATCATATTGGAGTGGCTGCATGAAGGCTGCGACAGTGATTTGTCAGCAGATTTTCTCCATTTTGGCGCTAGTGATTTTCCTTCTAAAAATCATTTTAAAAAGTGCTTTTCAAAATCGTCTTTTTTTCGCTCTGGCGTCCAGATCCGGTTTTGGAGCTACAATTTCCGACGCCGTTGCGCGTAGTTCTATTGTGTTTTGCAACTCAGCCTCTGCAGATCGCATTGTAATGGCTGCGTCAAGGTTGCTTCGTGCTGTGGCTGCATTCGTAATACTATTGTCTTTTGCAGCTGGACTTCGTAAATCGTATTGGAGTGGCTGCATGAAGGCTGCGACAGTGATTTGTCAGCAGATTTTCTCCATTTTGGCGCTAGTGATTTTCCTTCTAAAAATCCTTTTAAAAAGTGCTTCAAAATCGTCTTTTTTTCGCTCTGGCGTCGAGATCCGGTTTTGGAGCTACAATTTCCGACGCCGTTGCGCGTAGTTCTATTGTGTTTTGCAACTCAGTCTCTGCAGATCGCATTGTAATGGCTGCGTCAAGGTTGCTTCGTGCTGTGGCTGCATTCGTAATACTATTGTCTTTTGCAGCTCGACTTCGTAAATCGTATTGGAGTGGCTGCATGAAGGCTGCCACAGTGATTTGTCAGCAGATTTTCTCCATTTTGTCGCATTAGTGTTTTTTTGTTCCACGTAGGTTTAGAGCAGTGTGAAGTGTGGGGCGTAAAGAGTGCAGTGTGAAGTGTGAAGTGTGAAGGAAGCAGTGGGAAGTGAGAAGTGTGAAGTGTGGAGTGTGAAGTGTGCAGTGTGGAGTGTGAAGTTTAAGTTTGGAGTGCGAAGAGCGCAGTGTGAAGTGTGAAGTGTGAAGTGTGAGGTTTGGAGTGTGAAGGAAGCAGTGAGAAGTGAGAAGTGTGGAGTGTGAAGTGTGAAGTGTGGAGTGTGAAGTTTGAAGTTTGGAGTGCGAAGAGTGCAGTGTGCAGTGTGCAGTGTGAGGTGTGGAGTGTCGAGGGAAGGACACGGTCGGGACAGGTTGTCTTTGAACTATAGGTCATTTATGTTTGGGAAACTTCCGCCGCCGGCTTGCCCGGGTCTATGTCATGAATATATAAATTACCTATATATATTTATATTTATATATGATTATATGTGTGTATCTGTGTTTATTTATATTTGTGTGTGCAACCAACTAACATTAGTAAATGGTACTCTGTTACAAAAATGTGGTGTTTAAAGAATACACATGTCATATGTTTTCTTTTGCAACGAATAAAAAGCCAAGAAAAGTCAACACAGTCAACACACACACACTATGATAATGTATTGTGCTTTGCGTAATGTAATTAGATGTGGTATGAAATTGGATGCATATATCGAAATATATGTGACCGTTTTATGAAAACATGTTTTTTTGTCAGGACACAAAACACATTAAACACATGGGCAATTTATTTAAACAACCATGCCTTGGACGAACTCTTCTACGTACGGGAATGATCACTGAAGTCAGCTAAATGGTTGGCAATGGGATTCAATCCCTTTCAAACATCTTCTAACACTGGCATTGTTTATGTGATTTGCACAGGATTTTCTGTAAGCCATTTAATCAGTTGACACATCCCGTTTTCGTGAACGGCAGTTCATTGAGCAGTGCCACTGGTGAAATCCAAAGAACCGAACTTGTCAAGGCGCCGTCAGCAGATATGGCAAGTGCAGCGGGCTCCTAGGCAAACGGTTTGTTTTGATTCCATGTCTATGTCAGTTTGCAAGTCAAACTTTAAAATTGGACTGATCAACCCATGAGCTGATCCATTTCTATGTCACCCTGCAATTATAAACCAACTTAGCCATGCTCTTCCACACTTATGCTATAGCACCCTTGAAATATAAACCAAGTTACCCATGCCAACCCCTAAAAAACAGTGCGACCAGTACAACCATGAATCATGTAAAATCACGTAAAATCCACCAGATTTCATGAAATCCCCATGGAATCCAGTGACCAAATCATCAACCCATCGCCACGTTCCAGGACCTCAGTAGCACCCTGCGCGCCATCGCCACCTTCAAGAACCAGCTGCCTGCCTTGAAGGCGATCTGTAGAGAGACAACCGATAGATAGATAGATAGATGGATAGATAGATAGATAGGTAGGTAGATAGATAGATAGATATAGATAGATATAGATAGAGATAGAGATATACATATACATATAGATATAAATATACATATACATATACATATACATATACGAGAAACCGACAAAATTATTGTAATACAAATTTCGTTTTGCTTCGCCTTGGCCACCAACCGAGGTTGCACAAAACCGTCATAACCGATAGGGGACGACCCCAATTTGTGCATAGCATTAAATTTATTCAAATTTAACATATAATTTTGTCCGCTACTCATATGGTGTGACCGATCCATATATATATATATATTATGTATGTGTGTGTTGGTTTATACTGTGACTTATACTTTATGTCATGCATATATATATATATATATTTATATATATATATGAGCCACCGCAAAAACCCCGGCAATACTAAATATGTATTGGACGGACATTGGTTTATGGAAATTGATGGAAAGTGTTAAAAACACACGGTAAGCGATGGGACCTTCCCAAATTAGCGATTCCCTTTTCAAGGTTATGTCATTGTATTTCTCTAATATCCACATTAGCGATACCCAAATTGGACGTTGATTTCTGTGAAATATATACAAAAAATGTAGCAGTTTCCTGCAAACGATACCCCCCAAGTTTACCATATATCATTATTGTACAAACGTGTGGTAAGCGATGGGACCTTCCCAAATTTGTGGATGTCCTTTCCGTGAACCTAGGGTTTTCGACATTGCTCATATATGTATATTAATGTATATATCAATATATGTTTGGGGTATCATTTTGGGGGGATCATCCTCACATTCGGCGGATTTCAGGTTTGCGACTTGCTTTAATTCAGCTAGTAGTGAGGGACTCGTAGTGATACTTCTCCTGACCCAAGCATAGAAACGCTTGATGTCAACAGTATTCGTCAGGAAGATTTGCATCGGTATGTATATATATATATTATTTATTTATTTAATTATATTTTTACATATGCGCATATTGTATCCGATACATGTTTGGGCACAGATTTGAAGATGTATAAATACTGTATGCCCTTTAGAGAATGACTCTTTTTCTGGAAAGGCTGGCCAGCCCGCTGGCAAGATCCATGTTTGAGAGATTCTGAGCTTATTGCAATGATGCTTAAAGCAAATAGAGATGATGTTAGCTGGGGCAGCCATGTGATCGACCAGCTCTTAAACTATTGAAGTTGAAGAAGTTCACAGGTTGATGGTTTAGTTTCTTGATATTTTGAACTTACCTGGGGTGATTGTTGATGATGATGATGATGATGGTGATGATGATGATGATGATGGTTTGATGATTGTTTGATGATGGTTTGATGATTCTGATTCTGATGGTTCTGATGGTTCTGATGACTCTGATGATTCTGATGACAATGATGTTTTTATGGTGTTGCCAAATGAACTATATGATGTCTTCGGGGGCCGAAACCACCAAGCAACAAAGACCCTACATAGTAGCTGAACGCATCCAGAGTCTGCATCATTTGGTTCAACCGATGGTGCCTTGGTGTTACGTACCGTCCCCATAACATGTATATAATTGTGTATATATATATATTTTTTAGAAAAAAAATATTTGTTTATTTATATATACATACACCATACAATTACTTTGATTGCTAAAGCATTGCCGTTTTCCCCTGAAAAAGATGATCCAGAGCCTTGATTTGGCGCCAGACTCATTTGGGCGTCATCTCTGATACCCTTCTTGGGCGGGCCTTAGACCTCCAGGCGGGGGGGTCCAGGCAGTGCCAACACTCTGATTGTAGAGGAAAGATTTTTGATCTCCAGTTCTCCATGTTTCATTACCTTTCCACTACAATCAGAGTGTTTCATTACCTTGTAGTGTTTCATTCATTCGTCTCTTTTTTTGGTACCTTTTTGCGAATGAGTTCGAACACGTTCAAATCAAAGCAGTTTTTTTTATGGCATCCTGGGGTTGGCATTGAAGGTGTCACCTTGGATTCATAAGGCACAGCAACCCCAAGATAGATGGAAAGGGATAGAAAAACCTGGAATTATGAGGAAAATTAATCCATCATATTGTCAAAAAATGTTCACATATCCTTTTTGGAACTCCCTATGCCCTTCAAAAGAAAAAACAAAAATATGAATGAGTAAAGTAAAGTTTGAAGGGCAGGCGTTCTTGTATGTGTTGATGGAAATTTCTCCGGCCCAGCTATAGTAGGTTTGGGTTTTGTCCATTGTATTTTGATATCTTGGATCAGTTATGTGAAGCTGAGAAATGATGTGAAGCCATTGGAATCCCAGTGGCAGTTTCCATGGAGCGGAGATGCGGGCGAAATTTTGATCATTTGGATCCCTGATGCGGGCGAGTTCCAGAGCTAAGATGTGAAGGACTTCATGATTCGAACGCTGGGCCGGAATATAGACCAGAACAGGATCCATTTGACTATCACAGCGTAACTAAGAAATATACAACATATTACAATAGGATTTAGCCGAGGATTGAATCAACCAGATGATGGACTGTCCTAACAATGAATTTGGGATGCGACACACAAAAGATCAACATGTACCCGAAGCAAATCCAAGGATTCTGGTTCCTGGATGCTAGTGATTTCAAAAAGATTCCCAGCCATCTATGAATTCCGGGCCTAAGAATGAGATCAGGCAATGAAGATGACGGATTCCTACTGGAATGTCTTGCATGATGGGGTTGCAACATATCATTTGTTAGGAGATTTATGTAAATGGTTGCAGCCGTTTTCACATTTTGGTGCAGCAAAATCGTGTTTTTTGTTCAACATTTCTCCCACAAATTCGTGTTGTGGGTTTAGTTCCCTACTTTGCATCTGTCCAATTGTCACAAGGAATTTCCTCATCGTTAGATCATCCCAATTCTTGAAATTATGTAGTTTTGTTTTAGAAGCGTAATGATCCGGGACGCGTACCGTACGAAAAATATCTACTGTATATAATCATTCCACAAGGAGGTAATTACAGAGCTATATTCCATTCATATTATGTGTATATATATATATATGGGTTTGTCTGAAAATAGGCTACTAATCCATTCGTTAGTCATCATTTTTAATTTGTCCAAAATTACCATTTGGGGGGTATACCCTGTATTCATACACAGCCACATATTTGTAGGATGTAATCACACAACTAATATTATAACTATTTTTTATATATTCAGATATTATATTGCATTATAATTCCATACATTCTGTACGATATAATAACTGTGTATACATATTTTATTTATATATATATATATATCCCCCCAAAAAAAAACAAACATGTGAGTATTCTCACCGTCAGCGCACAGATCTTCCCGTCTCCGTAGGCCACTGGCACCTCAGACGCCCTCTGGGCTGTTGCCGAAATGCGCGACGAAGCTCCCATGCTCCAGGCCCGGCTACGGGGCACCTGGCCAGGATGATTTCCGTTGGAGACTTTTTTCAGCAGAAAAAGCACGGGGATTTCGGATTTCATGTTTTTTTTTAAACGGGATACAGGATTGCATAGGATTTAATTCTCTCCTCAACCATAGTTTTTGTTTAATCAACTCGCCCATCCGACTAGCTCGATATGTCTGCCACAAACCCAAGTAGCTTGGCCTAGATATGTATATAGTATTATATAGCTCTCTCTACCCTACCAGTTCACTATCGTTTGGGTGCCCTTTTCCCATATATATATAATAATAATAATAAATATATATATCTCTCTCTAATTTTTTCCACCAGAAATTTCACTTGGGAAGCTGCTAGCCGAAGAGCTGGCTGGTTGATATGGCTGGGCCACCTGATCGCCTTCAGCCTTGCTGAACTGAACCAGATGGCGATGGAGAGAGAGAGAGCTATAGATGTGGACTTGAATGCAGATTGGGTTCTCACATCTTTTTGTTCACGTTTACCCCAGGGCCTCCTACATATCTTCCCCCGACGTTGGGATGTTCCAGATTCCAGGCCTTGCTGCCGGTGCTGCTCTATCGCTTGGCCAAGACAGCTCCAGAACTGACCACAGAGGTGACTGAGCGATGGCAATCGTATCGTGGGAAGATTCGCCTCAAGCCAACAGTTTGCGAACTGGAGAATCGAAATGTCGAAGGGTTTCCATTGATGAACGACTATAGCAATTGATGGACATGACTTAAGGATGAATGGATGATGATGGAATGATGATTGATGGGGATATCCACTCATGTGGATTAGTTGGGCATACGTACTTGGGATATTTCATGGGGATATAGCGGTATTGTCAACCACTCTATAATCCGAACATTTGCACAAGCTCACTGCAAGGCTGCGAGGTATATGGGTGACTATCGTAAAGTGGCCGAAGCTTTCATGTTAAATTATGATTTTTCCAGATTGCTATTGCCATTCTCATAAAACCGATGGAGCTTATGGTAGGGGCATCACGGGGCTATGAGCTTATGGTAGGGGCATCACGGGGCTATGAGCTTATGGTAGGTGCATCACAGGGTATGAACCACAATTAAATATACCTTACTGGGATCTCCCATCCCGGCCCTATGTTCGGAAGATCCGTGGGGCGCGAGGAGACCATTAGTAGCCTCTTCTCCACTGCCATGCTGCGATCGAAGTTTCGAGTTAGAGCCCCAGGGGTCCCCTGGGGCCGGGAAGGGCGGATTTTGGCTTTGAAATTAGGCATTTAACACCTGTAATCAATGAGGATGTATCCAATGTGTATACGTATATATATATATATAATTATAATGATGTCCTCTAAAATAGATGGAAAAGCCGCGGTTCGTTTGCTGGATTCCTGGCTGGAGATACTGCTGCGTTTGATATACTTGGCGACTTGGTATGCCTGGATGAATTACAACCACCTCACGTCGTGACGTCACTGGAATAGTTAGGATTGGCCGCATTATCCCCCAAATTAACAAAAAATGTATTTTTCCAGGCTGGGGGTGGGTGGGACGAATCAGATGGTGAAATACCATAATTCATCCGAACCTGTTTGAATGAGTTATGCTGGTCTGTTGTTCCTTGCTGCAAGTGTTGATTGACTTGACACAGCGCGCTTAAAAATAGAATTGTGTTGAAGCTGTTGAAGCTATATAACCAGATGTCAAGATGGGGGTGGACTGCCCTTTCTAAAGATATCAACCATAGTAGGTGAAGAGTTGGCCTCAATCTTAAATAGGTCTGAAGCGTTTGGCCAGCGAGAATCAGGGTCTCATTTCTACGTCGATGTATGTTCGTAAGATGGTCTTCACCTACACCGTAGGACCTTTTGAAAGAGGGCTAGCGCAATTAGTGGAGGGGTCGCACTGGTCGCTTTTTTGGGAGTGAAGTGGTGGTTAAGCTTCCAAACGGTGATGTTTGTCAGGAAAGTAATTATTGGAAATGAGAAGAAAATACATCACTGATCATCAATGCATCAAGACATGACAAAATCACACACAAAAAATCTAAGATAGAATTGAATCATATAAGTCACATAAAGTTAGAACCATATATAAAATCAGTTAAAAGTTAAAATCATATGAAGACCATTTAAACCATGTAAAGCAAATCCCCTTGGACCCGGACATCCAGGAACTGAAGCTGAACATGGCGCCCCTCACGGCGTTCTTGGCGAACTCCATGAGCAAAGTGTCCTTTGAGGATCTGAAGACCCAGGACGGGGTCATGGGGAGACCATGCGGACGGTCCCTGGATGCTGGTTGGATGCCCGGTAAAAGGTGAACAAAGGTTGAGTGCCATTGGGGATTGAACCCATGCGGAGTGAATTGCTTCTAATCCCCATAAGTGGTTCATAGTGGTTCAATACCCTTTCTAAGTTTGAGGGGTTAGTGAAAGTTGGGGGGTTAGATGAACTGGTTGGCACGATGCACTCTGCCAAGTTGCCAGCTGTTTTATCTCATGGATTCCTAGGTCCGAATGCTTTGAGCAAGTTTAAATGCGGGTGCCGCCCCATAGGTGTAGGTTATACCCGCTGCACGGTGGTTGTGAGATGCCCGAGTTTCCTGGTCAATTCGCATGTTTCGTGTTTGCAGATGTGGAAGTTTGGCTGTTTTTTGCTGTTTTGTTATTCTTGTTGGACTATATAATTTATGTGTTTGTCAAAACCTCGGCATATACATAAACCTTAGATATCTAGCACATAGCCTGGGTACCCCCAAAGTTTTATCTACTTCCAAAGCTATCCAACTTGCTGAACCACCCGCTTGCGGGTCCCTGAAATGGCCCATGATGCAATTTTGCCATAGACATCCATGTGCCATTCAATTTGGGGTGCTTAGCATTGCTTGGTTTTCAAAGCAAAAACACAAAAATGCAGGCTTACAATGACTCATTAGTTTATTATGTTCTTTAATGTTGATAAAACAATAAGAAACCATACCCCAAATCACCATAAATAAGTTCTATAAACCATTCCCACATGGATGGTTTTTTATTGTTTTACCATGTTATTTACCCACATTATATATTACACCTGCCATGGTTTCAAGGGATTCACTCTGGGGTTAAACTACCATGTTTCGGCTGGCTCCTCAGTCGGTCCAGCTGAAGGACAATCAACAGCTCACAGCTTACGGCTTACTAAGTACAGAACTTGCAGATGACTTGTTAAGTTATGTGCATTGGTTACGGTGACAGTTGGCTGTTATCACTATCACCACCATTTTCGATGGTGCTTCCACCAGTTCCATCATGGAAATACTAATGAAAAATCACCTTAAATCATATTGAATCCACAGAAAGTTGTTGCTTCCGTCACCTAAAAACAACCCAAAAATCCCATCCGCGGACCGAGGAGTTGGTGGATTTCTTCTATTCCTTGTCCCTCACCCGGACGCTGCCGGATGATCTTTTCGAGGTGCGAAAAGCAATGGATTTCAGCCGTTCCTTGGGGTTGGAAGATTCTTTCTTGACAGATGGAAAATGAGTGGACGTGGTTTTGAATTGCAAATCATTGGAGTTTGTTGAAACTTGAGGAAACTTGGAGATCGTTTGTTTTTATTTGGGGAACTTGTAGTTTCATGTGACTTCTTTCTAGGCAGATGTAACTGCTGCGGGTCCAATGTTGACGCCATTTGATATTCCACATGTTGTGACGCCAGGTTGCCGGCAACGGGGTGTAGAAACTTCCAAAAACCTGCGTCTCAATTGTTCAAAGGTTCGGGCCAACAGAACTTAGGCTTGGAACACGTTGGATCCAATTTTTGAAAGAGCTTCCTTATTATAAATCTTTGTTTGATACATCAAACGAAGTGAAACACACGATGTAAATCCATGTGGATCCTAGCATTGAACTGACATAGATACATCAAGATACATCTTAGGAAAAAAAGATTAATAATAATAAATGATGATACAGGGTACATGTGTAATACACATGATACCCCAGGAACCCCCTGCCGTAAAAGGCGTTGGTCACATCCGCGGTGGATCAGCTGAAGGGAAGGAAGCTTAGTACACACAACACGCTGGGCGTCTCAGGAGTGGAGCCGGGAATGTGCTGAAAGGATGGCTTAACTATGATTTACTATGGTTAACTATGGTTTAACTATGGTTTAATTTTGGTTTAACTATGGTTTAATTTTGGTTTAACTATGGTTTAATTTTTGTTTAACTATGGTTTAATTTTGGTTTAACTATGGTTTAACTATGGTTTAACTATGGTGTACCTATGGTTTAACTATGGTTTAATTTTGGTTTAACTATGGTGTACCTATGGTTTAACTATGGTGTACCTATGGTTTAACTATGGTTTAACTATGGTTTAATTTTGGTTTCACTATGGTTTAATTTTGGTTTAACTATGGTTTAACTATGGTGTACCTATGGTTTAACTATGGTTTAATTTTGGTTTAACTATGGTTTAATTTTGGTTTAACTATGGTTTAGCCATGGTTTACCTATGGTTTAGCCATGGTTTAACTATGGTTTGACTATGGATTAACTATGGTGTACCTATGGTTTAACTATGGTGCACCTATGGTTTAACTATGGTTTAGCCATGGTTTAACTATGGTTTGACTATGGATTAACTATGGTGTACCTATGGTTTAACTATTGTGTACCTATGGTTTAACTATGGTTTAGCCATGGTTTAAGTATGGTTTGACTATGGATTAACTATGGTGTACCTATGGTTTAACTATGGTGTACCTATGGTTCAACTATGGTTTAACCATGGTTTAACTATGGATTAACTATGGTGCACCTATGGTTTAACTATGGTTTAGCCATGGTTTAACTATGGTTTAGCCATGGTTTAACTATTGTTTGACTATGGGTTAACAATGGTGTATCTATGGTTTAACTATGGTGTACCTATGGTTTAACTATGGCTTAGCCATGGTTTAACTATGGTTTGGCTATGGTTTATCTATGGTGTACCTATGGTTTAACTATGGTGTACCTATGGTTCAACTATTGTTTAACCATGGTTTAACTATGGTTTGACTATGGATGAACTATGGTGTACCTATGGTTTAACTATGGTGTACCTATGGTTTAACTATGGTTTAGCCATGGTTTAACTATGGTTTGTCTATGGATTGACTATGGTGTACCTATGGTTTAACTATTGTGTACCTATGGTTTAACCATGGTTTAACTATGGTTTGTCTTCGGATTAACTATGGTGTACCTATGGTTTAATTTTGGTGTACCTATGATTTAACTGGTTAAATTCTGGTTTAACTATGGTGTAGTTTAGTGTAGCTATGGTTTAACTATGATTTACCTATGGTTTAACTATGGTGTACTTATGGTTTAACGGCCAAGCCGTGAATTGGAAACTAAAACCTGTGAATCGGGAATTCAAACCCGTGAATCGGAAACCAAGGATGAATCAGAAACCATGCCTCGGAATCGGAAACTAAAACCGGTGAATCAGAAACCAAAAACGGTGCATCAGAAACAAAAACCGGCGCTGCGGAAACTAAAGACCTGGATGGAAACTGCACGAAGGTACTATCCCATTGAACATAGTTGTCAGAGAGGGTGGCGGATTTGATCCCTCATGAAGATAAGTTGTCCCAATCAACATAGTGGTCAGAGGGGGTGGCGGATTTGATCCCTCATGAAGATAAGTTGAAGGTGATATCCCAATCAACATAGTTGTCAGAGGGGGTGGCGGATTTGATCCCTTATGAAGATAAGTTGAAGGTAACATCCTAATCAACATTGTGATCAGAGGGGGGGCAGAATGAAGATAACTTGAAGGTAATAGCCCATTGAACATAGTTGTCAGAAGGGGTGGCCGATTTGATCCCTTGTGAAGTCTTTGTTTCTGCTGCGCAGATTTTAGCTTCTGAAGCGCAGAGTTTCGTTTCTGATGCGCTGGGTTTAGTTTCGGATTCGCAGGTTTTAGTTTCTGATGCGTGGGGTTTTAGTTTCTGACGCGCGGGTTTTAGTTTCTGACGCACGGCTTTTTAGTTTCTGACGCGGTGGTTTTATTTTCTAGCGCGTAGTTTGTGAAGCGCGCATAGTTTCCGACGCGAGGTTTTGCCATGGTTTAACTATGGTTTGACTACGGTTTAACTATGGTGTACCTATGGTTTAGCTATGGTTTAACTATGGTTTAGCTATGGTTGAACTATGGTGTACCTATGGTCTAGTTATGGTGTGCCTTTGGTTTTACTATGGTTTAACTATGGTTTAGCTCTGGTTGAACTATGGTTTAACTATGGTCTAGTTATGGTGTGCCTTTGGTTTTACTATGTTTAACTATGGTTTGACTGGTTTAACTTTGGTTTGACTTTGGTTTAACTATTGTTTAACCATGGTTTACCTAGGGTTTAACCATGGTTTAACTATGGTGTTTGGTGTGCCTATGGTTTAATTATGGTTTAACTATGGTACCTATGTTTTAATTATGGTTTAGCTATGGTGTACCTATGGACCTATGGTTTAACTATGGTTTAACTATGGTTTTAACTATGGTTTAACTATGGTTTAACTATGGTGTACCTATGGCTTAACTATGGTGTACCTATGGTTTAACTATGCTTTAACTATGGTTTAACTATGGTGCACCTATGGTTTAACTATGGTGTACCTATGGCTTAACTATGGTGTACATACGGTGGATGGAAGAAATCCTGCACCAGTTGATAGGTGGCTTATCCCTTTATTTACAGGGTTTCAACCATCTAAGGTGATGCAGGATTTCTTCCATCCACAGTATGTTTTAACTATGGTTTAACAATGGTGTACCTATGGCTTAACTATGCTTAATTTGGAGGAATCATTATTAGCTGTTTGTTTAACTATGATTGACCACAGTACTCTATGCTCCTGTTGATCCCATTCCCAGTTTTCCGGTTCAAAGTCCCGAAGTTTGATTGGGAGTTTTGATCAACAAACTTCGGATAAATGAAATTGGTAATATCATTTATCATCAAATGAAACAATTATTATAGGATTGGGATTGATTATCCCTATAGTAGATGATTGGGTTATATCATTTGATGATATTTTTATATATTGGTAACCTATTTTAATAGATGATGTTCCCATCAAGAGCCACCCTTGGACTCTGGGAGCAATCTGCCAGAGTGCCCAACCAGAGTCCATCGCCCCGTTGGGGCCGTTGGGACCCAGGTACTCCTTGCTCTACTCCATCGCCATGCTGCAGGCGTCATGCGAATGTGTTCAAAAGCCCTGTTGATAATGACTGGTTGGTGGTGACTGGAAAATTTGGAACATGAATAAAAATTGACTTTCCTTCTGTTGGGAATGTCATAATCCCAACTGACGAACTCATATTTTTCAGAGGGGTTGAAACCACCAACCAGATGATGATCACCATGAATTGTGGGAATCTCTGTTCACCAAAGCAGTAGAATCGAATGAGGGTTGCGGGATATCACTCGCATCCCTCATCCCCATGACAATGGGGTCACCTTGGGATCATTTTCCCAGGTCTAAAGCTGAATCCTGAGCATCCAGATATTTCCAGAATTGTGCCTATGGCTTTTTAATGGTTGATACAAATAACATCAAATAACCCTCCAACTTCAGCCGGCCCCTGCCCACAGTCAATAGAGGTTGCCATCCAATTTCGTCGCCATGTCCCATGAGTCGTCTCTCCGGGCAGTTGGGCAGTTCTTTACATCCCTCGTTTTGTTTGTGATATTGTCCCGCTTTTGTAAGGAATATCCCAACTGCTGTTGGTTAGAACACTGTTAGAACATCTTGAATCCTCATCTTTCCGCTTGAATGATCCTAATTGCTGTTGAATCAAGTTTACCATTGCTGTTCAATGATGATTCAATCCCCCTAAGTTCACCATTGCTGTTGATTCCGTTCCCCCATGGTTTTTGAAAAAAAAGCGCCCAGGAGACCTGCGTCCATGGCACAGCTCTCAAGCTGCTTCCCAGCGTGCTGATCTCCCTGGAAGCAGTGGCGGAAGACATGACCGTTATGGCGGGACGGATATCAAAATAGGGATAATGATAGGTATATCTAAATATCACTACTATGTTACTATATCGTTGTGGAAGGATGGCACTTTTCAGGGATAGTGATTTAATAGAAATATGTAATAGTGATGGATAATAGAGAGAGAGAGAGAGATGTGTATATATAATTATAGTTATATATAGGCATATATTATTTAACAAAACCATCAAGAACGGGGATATCATATTAGAATATGTATATCATGGGGACTTCACTGGCAAACTATACGAAAAAATGGGGGGTAGAAAAGCCATGAGGCCAACGGTAATGGGAATAGAATGGGATTTACCCTCTGGTAATTTGTTACAGTTCGCTATTGAAAATGGCCCAGTCGAAATATGGTAATTTGCTACATAGCTATTGAAAATGGCCCATAGAAATAGTTGATTTTCCCATTAATAGCATGATGATTTTCTATAGTTATGTGAAAGTTTACCAGAGGATGATGAGGACAACATGGGATATACAACCAACTTAAATGGTATAGTGGTGATGGCGTATACCACCCAAACCCAAACAGTGTTTTTTTCAATTCAATGGGAACATGATGATTTTCAGACAAATCCATGTAAGATATACAGTGTATATATATAATATACACAGTACCCTTCAAAGATGAGAAAGTAGCATGATATACTGTAGGCACATAGCCATTCAACAATTGGCATTCATGATAAACAGTGTGGCAAGCAGTTCAGTAGACCAGTTCGATATATCAGTATACTAGTATATATATTGCATATATATATACACACGGGTGTATGCATTTGCTGGTTGGTGGATTACAAGCTTGGTATGATGAACCCCATTGAAATTAACATATTTGTCAGTGTGCGGCTAAAACACCAACCAACTTTTCTTTGTATGTTTTTTTGGCCATATATGCGAATATGGCATTACCAGCACCATGTATTTGTTTGTAGAGTACCTACCCTAGGTTTGAACTAATTGATGGTACTCATACATTGTTTGGTAATGAAATATTTGATGGTGATCAAACCAATTGATACTTACCTACAATGAAATAATTGACCACTGTTTGAATCCCATTGGCAAATCCTATTATGGAAATATATGGAAATATTGTTTTTCATTATGAATGATCCATTGGGTTTTAAATTCCATTAGGTTTATTGTCAATGTTAGGTTTTATTCCATTATGTTTGATATCCATTCGGTTTAATTTTCATTAAAATTCCATTGGGTTGTCAATGTTTCTTTCATTTTTTATTAATTAATAATGCCATATCCATTGGAATTATCAATTGTTCAATCAATGATCAACAATTCCATGGTGGAAATCCAACGATTATTCCATTTGTTGCTTCAATCGTGTTGAATGCCGCACTGCAAATTCAGGGAACCCGCCAGGTCATGTGATTTCACCCAGGGGGATGCCACCAGAACACGCAGCTGCTCAACCCCTTGTTCTAATAGATATATAATCATATATAGAATGATGTTCTCCTCAATTGCTTATTCAAATTGGTGTTCCATTTGTGTGGCATTTTCTCGTTTTTTTCAAGTTTGTTGATTCTTAGATAAGCAATGGTCTGGCGAAAATAATTATAGAACAGGATTATATCATATTAAAAACACGCATATGTATATATATATATACATACGTAGTATTTGCCACATATATATATATATATAAATTATGCATACTGTATGATATACATATGCAACATATGTCTAGTATGTGTTCACATGTATCTTTTTTGGCCATGCTGGCAGGATGCCCGAGCAACTTGCCGGGTGCCTGTGGGCTCTGGGCTGGGCCGATCCCAATGCCACCGTCAGCCGAGGCGACCACGCGCGACCGTGTTGATTCTTTGTTTTTGTTGTGTTGTTTGCTATTGTTGAAGTGTATATATATATATACATGTATATGTTTGACTTAATCAAAGTGTTTTTCATTTATGGCATACTATGTAATGGTTATTTTATTGTGGTGTTCAGGTGTTTTTCCTTTTTAGGATTTATACGCATATAATCTGCATGTTTTTCTTCCAGGTGTTGTTACTTTTCAGGATTTATACGCATATAATCTACATGTGTTTGTTCCAATCGTTATTTTGGCCTTTTGGGATTTCAATCAGTTAATCTTTTGGAATCTTGATCATTTGATCAATGGCTGTGTTTTGGTTGAATCCCACTGTTTAATCATTGTTTTGTGGTTAAGTCTCAATTTTTGCTGGTTAAACTAGCCACTTAGGTTACCAATGGGCGCACATTGGGCGCACATGTTTTCGTCGTGTTGGGTTTTTTTTGTAGCACCAAAATTCAGATTTGCCTGTTGTCGAATGCATCAGAATTAAAAACTTGAGCTATACATGACTCATTAACAGTACTTCATCCGGTATGGTTGGCCAAGAGCGTTTGATCTCCCGCATTTTTTTTAGGTGTATTAGGAAAGTTGTGATTAGACCATTCAAAAAACACGTTTGGTCCCTTTTTGTATGTGCGTCTAAGGTGGAGTTCACAGCCTTATGTTGGTCCTCCCTTTGCACCCAGTTTTGGATACAGAGCTCAGAGCTATGAAATCTATGTGTTTATATATATATATAGATATGTGTGTTTTATCATTAAAATCAGGGTTATGTAAAATATATATATATATACCCACATATATATATATATATATGTAAAATCATATATATTTATACCCACATACATATACATATATATATATACACTGTTTGTTAATCTTATATAGTAGTATTTCGGGGCATGGGTTTCCTGCCATCAAGCTCTGTTGCAGGTCACCTTGAGAGGTTGCGCGACGAGGTGCTGCTGGAGCACCTGTCTTGGCCCCTGAAACGATGTTCCCATGATTTTCCAATCGAAAACCTGCAGGAAAACTTGGAAACCCATGGAAAATCTACAGGAAAACCATTGATGTTCCAATCCTAAAATGTCCATATATTCTGGTTGGTGGTTTGGAAGATGAATTTGATGACTTTCCATGTATTGGGAATGTCATCATCCCAACTGACTTTCATATTTTTCAGAGGTGTAGGTATACCACCAACCATCAGGTAATAATTGTCCATGGATTTGGTTTAAGGGAAAATATACAAGAAACCATTGATTTTCCCATGAAATATGGGGGGTTTCCTGCAAATTTTCCCTTAAATTCCATAGAAATTGACAGTTTTTGTTTTTCATGTATATAACGCTTTCAATTTTTTCAGGGCCACTGAATAACCATAGGTTGCCATCAGGTACTCAGTTGCTAAGCTTGGGAAACCCTGTCAACCAGCTGCTAGCCATATGCTTTGGGAAGGTAGGCCACCCTAAGCTGGTCTAAGCACTGCTGAAAACATCCAAAAAACATCCAAAAACAGTGTTTCTTTGGTCGTAATCGTCAGCAGTTCGGCAAACCGACATACGAAAATATTATGAATTTATACAAATTTATACTGCACTTATTGAAATGTTATATTATATATTGTTTATACATATGTGTATATATATATATATAATCATACATATAGATATATATATATATATACAACTCCCTATATATATATATATATGTACACAACTCCCTATATATATATATATAGGCAATTCCTTTTATATATATATATACACATTATATATATATACTATGTATATGAGTGTGCGTGTAGTGTCAGCCCTAGATTGATAAGCCTGAGTTTTCGATTGGGAATATCAAACTATCACTCCTCCAAGATTTTGCAACTCACATATGACTTTGCACATATATTATGTATAGTATATATGTATATATGTATATGTGCATATATATATATATAATTATTTGTATTTTTTGTATATCTTTATATATATGTGTCGTTCATTAGACAGCCAATTTTGGGGCTAAATCCATGGCCACAAAAACCGCACCAGATTGGTGTTGTGCTGGGCGAGCTGGAGATGAGAGACTTGCATCTTGGCGAATGAAGGCGATGCGCAAATGAACAAGCTGCCCCCAGAAAAAGATTGGAAAAAGGGGCTCAACTGTTCAATATTTCTAGGATTGGATAAATTGGATGTTGTTTTTGATTTTTTTGGGGGATCGCTTTTTGTTTCTGCTAGATTAGTACATCATCAGTCATGTAGATGGTTTGGGTGCAAACACAGAACAATCATAAGACAAGAATGACACCTAAAATCCGGGAGCAAAGAAACCTACAATCCAAAATGCAAAGAACATTTGTGTTGGAGTAGGAAGCCATCAGCCATGAGAATATCAGGTTATATGGATCAGGAGGTGATATGATCAGCCAAAGTTGGATTTGCAGCAGCAAACGCACAGGAATTTGATCGAAACAACAGCTTAGGAGATCAACTATGGGAGGCTAATCAACAAAACATGGTGATTTCATGTGATTTGATCAATCAAGATGGGAACGATGATGACCAGCCCTCAAACGTGTTAATCCATAAGGATCAGCAGATCCTAGCAGTCAAGGGAGCCCCACGGTTGGGACGTACCACTTTTCCAGTTCACTTGCGACCACCAACTCACAGATTGACGAACCAATGGTGATGCTTTTGGGGCAATTTGCAGCCTCCAATGGCATCCACAAATCGCACATGTGTTGTGCTAAATTTCTGGGGTGATGCTAGTTTCCGGGGGAATCACCTGGATTGCTCTGAGTCTGTTTTTCTGGGCTGCACTGAAATGCGGCCAAGACCTCCTCATTGTTTTCCTCTTCAGAGGGTCACATGCACGTTCTAAGACTATGGTGTTCTATGCATGATTTCTATAGTCCACTGATAACAGTGAGCACGGGGATAGATACAGTAGATAGGTTTGAACCCAGACTTGAAAGAAATCAAAGCCATTCAACATCCCAAAACCTCTTGAGATGGTCATTTGTAACATAAGCTATCCATGTTTTTGGTGACTCCAATTTTGAACCCAAAGGTCGCATGCTCTTTGGGGCATGGCTGCTCTGGACTTCAATGATAAGGACCTCACCAGCCGGGCCGGGATGGTTGTGCTGTGGTGCTCTGGGTTGCTACTTGTCCGATTGCCATGAAATTTTGCAGTGGTTCATCCGACTAAATCCATTGACCATGTATTTGTGATCGACCAAGTGGACCAATTGGTTGAACCACTTGTGGTTCATCCATTGTCAGCCTCGGGGTTTCCCAAAACGCAGCTCGAGAAGCTAAGTCCAAGTCATGGGTTCACCAAGTGACGAAGTGGCATGAATCTTGGTTGACCAATAACAATAAGAAGAATAGTATAATCAGTCAATCTGGATCAATAAGGAGTTCAAAAAGGAAATAACTTTGAAACAACGTATTGTGATGTGTGTATATATATATATATATAATTTATATGTATATGTGTATATTTATATATATATATTTGATAATGTGGCATGATGTGGCCTCGGAACTGGGCCCATCTCTAGCCGCCAACCACATTTTGGACACTACCCCTCGCTCGCTCTTCGCGTCACCGTTGGCTCAGTAGCCAACCCGGTCTCAGCCCGGCAACGACCGATCGATTTTGCAGTGTCTGCTCGCATCATGGGTGGACTGTTCAGCAAGAGCTTGTCAGTCGATGCGCTGTCCAATGAGCCGTACAACCAGGCACGGATTCTGAATCCGATCTGCCCTCAGGCGACATTGCAGAAAATTCAATGGAGCTGCAGTGCCACATTGATAATTGATAGAACAAATTTATATATATATAAAAGAACACATGCCATAGCTAATCGATGGTTTGATACATGTTTTACCACCATCCTGCATTGATTAAGAACCATGGTGTGTTCCTTTAAAAAGATCCGGCTTTGGACCATTTCCGCAGTGATCAATGACTCTCCAGGCGCACATGTTTGAGGGCCTCTCGGAGGATCAGAAACAGCAGGTGGCTGCCGATCTCAGCGAGATGGATGCCAAGCTTCCGGGTGGCGGATTGACGCTTCAGCGGGTGATGGGTGATGGGTGCTGGGCGGCGAAATCATCAGATATCAGATGGGACAGTAATCATCAGTAATCTATAAATGTCTATCAACAAGATATGTTTGAGGTCTGATTTTAGGCTATTTTTGAGGGGGGGAAAAAATATATGGGGTCGAACTTATTTAGATGGATTACATCCTAAGTGGGAACATGGAAGCATGTGAAATCTAGTGGTGATGATGATGATGATGATGAGGAGGAGGAGGAGGATGAGGATGAGGATGATGATGAGGATGATGATAGGATATACCCTAGGAACACGCATGGGTCATCTATATATAGCGCTTCAATGCCTGGGGCGCACCCCCGGGATGTTCTTTGGGGTGGAGGAGGGAAGCCATTTTCCAAAAATGTTGTGTTTTCATCAAGAAGGGGGCGGGGGAGAGTCACCCATGTTTCATGATTTTGGGATTTGTCTTCACATTTTTGATTGGGGGTGTGATCGTGGGATGTTTTTTACTGTTGGTAGGTCTCGGATCCTCTCGAAGTTTCAGCCGCACACCAGGGCAGTTCAAGTTGCTACTGTAATAGCCCATTTGCGGTCTCAATTCGAGCGTTACTCATAGCGTCATGGACTACAGCTGAGGAAAGGGTATTTGGAGAGGGCTCGAGGACGACAGAGGGATGGTCCTAGACCAGTGCATCCCACCCAGACAGGGCCTCTCAGAGTTGTCGCAGCTCCAAGGTGAAAGGCCCATGGCCAACACTTCAGAAAAAGTTTTAATCCAGCTACATACATACAGTGGACGCAGACCATTAAAATTGTAGTGTATATATGTATATATGGGTGTTGGCATATGTGTACGATAGGAATAGCAATAACCAAAATAAATGCATATATATATATATACACGTATTTATTTATATATTTATGTATTTATTCATTCATGTTCATAATGTATATGTAGAATGATGTACATGTAGAAATCGATATAGATGGATAGGTAGATAGATAGATGCACAACATTCCCTGGGCCAAAACTCCGTCATCGCTGGCTCCAGGACTTTTGCGGGACGCCAAGGCGGACAAGAACCCTTTTGAAGGATTGACGCCTCAGGCGCCAAGGTGGTGGCGTTCTGGTCACCCACAAAAGGATTAGGATTTTTAAGGCCTATGATATAATATCCATGTCAACATGATCATAGTACATTTAGATTATACTCATAGTATAGTTTTTTATATTGATATTATATATATATATGTATATATATATATATATATGTGTGTGTGTGTGTTTGTGTGAATGTACATTTATCATCATTTATCACCGTCCGGGACTTTCTCTCTAAAATCAGGGACCTCCTGGGAGTGTGTCAAACAGTTTTCTCATCCCAAGTTGGATCCCGCCATTGTAAATGGGTCAACCCTGTGGAGATTGGCAACTTATTTCATGTTGCTTCTGGTGGTTTTAGTTATTGGAATATTTGATTTCAATTTGCAGATCGAAAGATTTTTGTTGAGTAATTCGCCCCATCACTAGGCATATCATAGGTCACGCATGGTCACGCCTATCACAACGTATGACCTCACATCATATCATTATCCGATCATGCTATTTGATAATTTCGATATGTCATGTTTGACTTGTCTTTAAATAACACATGGTTATACATAGTTCTATTTGCACATATATGTATATATATATAATATAGTTTTAAATAATCATAACGAAAGAAATAAATAAACATAGACATATATCATGATATATCAATTACCTCATTTTTCTCGAGAGCGCCTGAACATAGGGTTCTTCTAAAAGAACACAGCCTGTTCTTCTACTTTTAACGTACTTCTTGCATGTTTATTACATTGTGTTTAAACTTCCAATTGAGTTACTTGCTCCTCTACGCTCTCCGGCCATTTGTCTAGTTGATGCTGGATATCCCCATGTGTTTCTACCTTCCCCAGCGCAGGTGCCCCAGGGCGAGCGCTTAATAGGCCCGGAGTCGGGTCCAGGCTCCAAGGCCTACGCCGACTTCGAAGTCAAAGGCATGGCGCTACTGGCGAAGACCTGTGCCTTGGCTGGGGAATGGGAGGGATGGACCTGCATCCCAAGACATCTTCGTCCTACACCAGTTGATAGGTGGTTTATCATGGTTTATCCCATTATTTTAGGTTTTCAACAATTTTTTTTGGTGGTGCAGGATTTCGCAACCAGCCACAGTATGGAGGATATAAGATGATATAAGCCCATCCATTCCTTACAATATTTGTTTTTTGGATGTAAAGTATGAGGGTATCTAAGATGATGTGAACATACCTCCGGAATCGGGGCATACCCCAGTCATGAATCCAACACCCCGGTCATGAAAGGAATCCGGTCATTGGCTCACCATTTTCAGGTGGCAAGGGGTATGAGGGATCTGGAATTTTCTTAAAGAAGATGATAACATGAAGAGAATTGGTTGGTATCCCCAGATTTGAACCGCAAAAACAATTGATGAAGTTTTGAGTGTCGAATGTAGGGAGAACCCTCCAGTTTCGGAAGCTTTCCTGGGACGATCTAAGGCCATGTTGGTGGTTGAAACATGTGAAAGCACCAAACAGCGCAGGTGCATGTTCAAAGCAGTTGAAAAACATGTTTCGGCGAAGTCGCGAAGTGTTCCATAAACAGACCTGGCAGTGAGAATTCCACCATCTGGAAATCAGTTCCCCTAGGGTAAACTAACACAGATATGGAAAAACCATGCATGGTTTCCCTAGGAAATTGATCTACAAATGGCCGGTGTTCCGCATCGAACTGTTACTTTACCCTAGGATACACTTCAGAATCCGTTGGGATTATTGACAGTCTGATCCGTGGACACTTGCCATGGATTGGTTCATGGGATATTTTACAGAAACCTTGGGTTTTTGCCCTGGTTATTGCACGTATCTATGGAACATGGCCCGTTGATAGAGGAAGATGATGATTTACCAGGGTTTGATGGTGATTTATAGATGATTTATGGATGATTTACCTGTTATATATGATGATTTGCCAGGGTTTACCTACCAAAAATAGTGATATTCCGTTGTCGCCCGGCCTTGGCCGAGGCTTTTGCTTGGTGGCTGGTGGTTTGGGTGAGCGCTTAGGCTACCCTGGCTGCTCGGCAGTGATCATTGCATTCCAACGGCCGTGGGCTTTCGGAAGCCCTGGCAAAAAAATGATGCATTTTTAGAGAATATTTCGAGGATGAAGATCTATTCAACTATTTGCCAGAGAAATTTTGGATGCAAAGGTGGAGGTGCCAAGGTTCTGAACCATAGCCACATGGATTTACAGGGCATATGGCTCCTACATAGGTGATCATAAAGCCCCCAATCGCTGGGGTTATGAAACAAAGTTCTGAAATCACACACTATGTTTCACCGCTTTGACCTGATTTTTACCCACTTGGGAAGCCCAAACAAAACAGCAGAAGGTCTTGTCAAAAGCTTCCCGAAATATTGGGGTCTCAAGCATATGTGTTTTTCCTTATCAACATTATCAACCAATTCCTGAAATGATAAAAAAATGTCAGTGGATGAGTTAGTACTATAGCCGCTATAGCCCCCCAAAAAAAATAGGATGGAACCCAGACCTCCCAGGCATCAAGATCGGTATCACGGCTGAGCTCACCTCGGGCATGACTTTCATGGAACTCTACGCCCGTTCCATCCTGGCCTTCCAGAAATACGCGCGCAAGAGCAGCGGAAACGCAGCGTTGGAGCTGCCCTTGGAAGCTCGCTGATTGATTTAGAGGAAGGGATTATCGTTCAATGATAAAGATTTACATCATAAGATTTACATTATTTTGGGGGGCTGAAAGTTGTGTGAATGACTCTGGTGGTGATTGGCCAGCGAACATGGGCTTTGATGTGACCAGCCACAGTTGAGTCAATGGTTGTTTCATGGCTTAATTCATCTCTGTTCATCCAAGTGATTGGTGTAAGTTTAATCGGTAATTCCCCAACTTTAAGGGTGGATTGCACCGGCCAAGTCACCAAGTCACTTCATGTGCCCCAGGCCATTATGACATCTGGAGATACCAACGCCAAGACGTTGGAACTTCTGGAAGCCAATGCCTATTTTGGGCCCCTCGGACTGCATGAAAAAGGGGGCACATGTTCCCTTCATCCAATGCTGTGTAGTCACTGGATCTGAATAATCATAGTGAATCACTATAGGTATGTTGGAGTTGACTGTCACTGGAACAATCGCCACTGGTCAGAACCCACGGTCCAATCGCCGTTGCTCAATGGCGATTTCCGTGGATAAAAGATAGGCAAAATACTCCCAATCTCGTGATTGATTGATATTGTTTGGGCTGGTTCACCACCAGTTCACCTTTTGTTGGTTTCCCGGATTTATTTCAGCTTACGCTTTCCCTTGACGTATGCTTGTCGTTTTCAGATGATCATTCCCATACTTGAGAATATGTGATATCGTTATATATCTCTGGGGAATACTTAATGATATGTATATCTAGCAACAAGACATATAGCTAATATATGAACATCGTTAACATGTAGGAACATATACAGCTGAATGCTTGTTTTCCAATATGTTTTATTATGTTGTTCCTTTTCTTCCGGGCTAAACTGACTGTTTGCAGATGGGTTGAAGCCACCAAGGCTCAGCAAGAGCCAGGTGACCATCATGAAGCAGGACCCAACGATGGCAGTGGGACATTTTCCTGACCTGAAAAAAGAGGCTGTAGAAGCGATAGAAGAAATATGTACAGTAGCAGTATATAATTTATGGTGCATTTTTTTCTAAAAAAAGTATGAGGATAAAGTGTTCGATCTTTCTTTGGGATTGCAACAGGGGAATGTTTGGCGCCATTGCTCTGATGATCCCAATATGTTTTGTGGGGTGAACCACTGGGATGGGTTACCGCAGGCCAGATATCACCGGATGGGGCTCCATTTTCGGAAAGTCAATGCCATAGATGTGAGGTCCCAAATTGCCACTGGTTTAGTGATGAAAATCGGGGAGTTACCCCCGATTTGTGTCAAGCAAAAGGCTGGGGTGGTGATGGGTGGTGTATCCAAGTGCAAAAAAACATCCATTTCTTGTGGAGCCCAACGGGTTGATGCTTGAACTGGCCACCCCTATTAGTTTGAATCACATATTTGAGGATGAATAGTTCTACATAATTTAATGCATGTATATAATGTTTATATATATATACATAACAATAATTCTATCTACATATCATTATATAATTATATATGTATATATTTACTATTTTAATTTCTTTGCAACTTTTTACATGCTACAGTTATCATCGTTGCTTGAACATGCCACATTGTTGCGGTTTACTACATCCACATCTACATCCACAATCATCCACATCTAGATCTATTTCTACAAAATAGATACATGCCACTCTATGTACACCATGTATAGGTACAACACCCCCGACTCCAGGAGCTGGTGCCAGCGTTGATGGACATCGATGCCAAAATCGCGGTGAAGGATGGCAAGGTGGAGAAGAAGTCCCTTGGCGCGGGACGTTGTGACCATGAAACATGAGGATTTCACTCATGGCTCAAACAATGTCCTAAACATTCATAAACCCATGACTGTGAATGGTAACGATACCACGTATAAAAATGGTGATGACTGGGGGATATCGGATAGTTCATTGTTTTACCCGCATATTGGACTGAGTTTGTACGAATTGAGATTAATATGGGCGGATTTGAAGGGATGGAACTGTTTTTTGAGCAAAATGTGGATGACGCTCCCTAAATCCACCAAAGATCCAAAGATCATAAGGCATGGCGTATGAATCGCATGAAGCACCCCTTTTTTAATTGATGAGGATTCTTGTAGAATAGTTTGTGGGATTTGGTATCGATGCAGAACATATATCTGGAAAAACCACTGGATAGGTAGTTCGTCGTGTTTTTTCTCTCCCTACACGGACGTATAGTTACCTTACCAGCTTATATAAACTTTCACGATATCCAAGAATTGAGAAATGGGTAAGAAAGAAATCACATGAAAGAATTGGTATAAACTTGGGTAGAAAGAAGCGACCGAAATGATCAAATCGGCATTGCAACCCACAACAACGAAGCATATCCCATGAAATAACGCGGTTTCCTTCATATAGATTTATCGTGCCAGCAAAACCATGAACACAACTGTGGATGTGGATGAAACATGATTTGTCCAAACAACAATAGCGATACAAAGGAATAGCCTTGTGGCAGAACCGGCGAAGATGGACAAGCAGAACACACAAACCCTGCCAACATTTGATACTTGATTATCCTGTGGATCACAAGTTGGTGCCAAATGCAGCTGCAGTGCCTACAGCAAAAGTACATGTCCTGTAAGTTCCTTTAGCGTCTACTGGAGGATCAATGCATCCCTACCAGTGTGGCTTTTGTAGATTCAGTAGACATAGAACCGTGGTTTCCCAACCCGCGAATAGGATGATTATAGTGTAAAAGCTGGGTTTTCCTGCATATATATATATACATACATATATATATATATATAAAAATAAATAAATAAAAATATATATATATATATTTAATGTTTCCTGAAATGTCCCCCCAAGTTTTAATGATGTCCTGCTAAAGATAACCAACAGTCACATCACGGATGATCGTTTTTTATTAACCCAAATAGTCTTATTTTTTGAAAATATAAACGGTAAGCCTACCAAACAAAAAGTGAATCCCTACGAAAAAAAATACGATTTGGTGGGATCATGCCATTTGTAGGTAAAGGATGGTGGGATTACCTACAAAAAATATCAAAAAATGATCCCACCATGGCATTTTATCATCCCACCATGTTGGATTACCTATATAATATATCAAGTGAATCCAACAATCCAATGGTGGGTGATTCGCGAGGCCCCACGGCCACGGCGACGTGCACGCCTTGCTGCATCAGCATGGGCTGCCACAGAAATGGACCAGTGAAGGCGGCAGCCGGCGGCAGCCGGGTGACTGTAAAAGGATAGCTTCCTGGAAAACCCCTATGGTAAATCATCTATTCATGGTAAATCATGGTTAAATATAGGTAAATCATGGTAAATATAGGTAATCTATAGATGGTATATATAGGTAAATCATGGTAAATCAGGGTAAATCATCTATTCATTTGTGGAAGGGCCATGTTAACAAAAGCTATGTTAAGTTACCAGATGGTGGGAAAAAATACAGATACTTAGATGCATACATAATTCTGATGGAGTTCTAGATATTTTGCTTTTTGTAAAACACACACACGCACATATATATATATATACATATGAACGTGGATGTATAGATGGTTGTTTATAGAATTTATATGGATAGAGAAATTCTAGATACATGGTTTTGTCTGAAAATGGGTACTGTATGTAATTACGCCAGTCCATCCAGTGCTTTATCATCATTCGGGCGTCTTCGTGTTCAGACACACCCCTATGGTTTGCCAATTTTATGGGGACCCTTTTCGATTTCTTGAGTCTTGTCAGCTGAAGCACATGGCTTTCTCGTTGTCGGCAAATGTGTCACTATCTGTAAACTGGTTGACCTCAAAGAATGAAATGCTCAAGTCGTTCAAGTAGAAGCGAATTGTCAGACCACTGACCCATACCTAGTTTTAAACGTCAGACACTCAATACTCAACTCAACTTCAGTGGCCCGACAGAGACCATGCCTTGCAAGCAATTTCCAGCGGGTCAGGCAGAGAGTGGTTGTTGCTCTTCCAAGATGCTCGGATTTCATGGCTGTGGCGGCTGTGGCGGCTGTGGCGTGACCTTTTCTGGCGGTTTCAGGTTGCCCCAGGAATGGCACAAGGAATGGGGATTCACCCAGAAGCGCAACAGGAAACAGAGAAACAGAAAAGAGAGAGAAAGAGAGAGAAATAATCCGATGTATCAAAATCAAGTGGCTGATGGTTCTGGTGGTTTCGTTAAGATGTTATTTTTCCACCCCAAACATATCCAAAAATGTGGTGAGGATCCCAATTGACTCACCCATTGGTTCTTGGTTCGATTCTCTCCAGCTGGCCTTGGCACAAGAAAAAGACGGGGTCCTAAAATGAGTTGATCATTTAAAATTGGGTTATGTTATCGAAATATGAGATATATGTATATATGAAAACATACACATATATATATATACACATACACACACACATATATATATATACATATATATATGAAAGCATATATATATATATGTATGAATACATCTGTATGTATATATATATATGATATGATAATTTGATATCATTTAAGAGCTTCCTTTGCATTCATTTTAGATATCCCAAGTTTGCCAACAATCCCTGGATCGCCAAGGACACCAATCCCCTGCCCTTCCGAAGTTTGTGCGCCCTGGATGCCTTGGATCATGATGAATGTACTGTACTGACATATACTACATGTAGCTTGAAATATGTTGAAATATTTGATGATTCTAAATCATTCTAAATCTACATAGCATATATTTAATTATATTTATATATTATAGATCTGTATATAGCACATATAAAGTACATATAGTACAGTGACATATTTCATGGCATATTTTATAGTTTGACATAAATTTCGATTTGAGATGTAGGTGTGTGTGTGTGCCTGTTTGGAGAGAATGCTATGCACGTCGGTGGATGGGAGTCAATTCACTGGGATCGAAAAGGTGCACCACAAACATATACCCTCTGGCAAACTAACAGTTTGCTATTGAAAATGGCCCAGTCGAAATAGTTGATTTACCCATTAATAGCATGGTGATTTTCCATAGTTATATGAAAGTTTACCAGAGGGTATGCCTTAAACATGGTCGATCCCCATTGCTAGATGAAGCTTCCTCAGGGTAACATGAGTGTCGTACGGGGTGTCTGGATACTTTGACAGTCCTTGACTAATGCCAGCCTTCGAAAAACCTTGGAATTATGGTACACTCCAAAAATGCTGATAATCTGAGACTAAAAGTGTACCCTCCGCAATTAAATAGCCTAGTTATTAGTTTGACATTACATGCGATTGGCAGAGATTGGAAGGTGCAATTCCCCAGGGTTTAGTAACTTTTGCAATAACGCCATCGCTGCAGCCATAGCATGGTTTACTGTAAGATCTTTGATGGAAACATATGCTTTTCAGATCTTTTCAGGCCATTTCAGACCCCTGAAATAAAGGGGGTTCCAAAAACTCATGGTGAATGTTCTCTCCAACAAAACTGATGGGAAGTATCCTTCAATAGCTCAATAACCATGTTTTCAAAATTATGACACATGTTTCCCTTGAAGCTATGGAGTCCCTCCAATTCAAGGCAGTTTTTCCATGGTATTCATAGAATGTGTCCCGAAGGACAAACAACTTCCTCCCAATTCTGCTGCACATAGATATATAAGTTTGCACCTGTTCAATAAATCGCCGCACTCTTCAACTTTATAGTGTTCTACTTTAAGAATACTATACACACACCCATTGCAACTATAATGATGTACGCAGTGTAGCTATTTTACTTATATATATAATTCCATCAATATATGTGTATGCTATATTCTAGATATTACACAATACAGTTTATGATATATAATTATAATATATTTACATACATACATATAACCATAGATTAACCATACATATAACCATAGATTAACCATAGATTAACCATAGTATATATATATAAATTGATCCATATCTTCTCCCTCCTTAGGCGCCATCCTGGGCGTCTCCGCGGCCCGGAGCTTCGTGATGAACTCCGTGACGGTGCCGCGGCTGCCGGCCGAGGCCGTGGGCGGCATCTGCAAACTCACCGCAGCTCGGCGATCGCCGGGGGCACCGTGGTTTTTGTGCCGTGAAAACTGATGGGTTTTGGTGGGAAAACCATAGGAAAACCATAGGAAAATGGTGGTTTAATGGGATTTAATGGGATTTAATGGCACTTACCCTCTGGTAAACTAACATAGCTATGGAAAATCACCATGCTATTAATGGGTAAATCAACTATAAATGGGCCATTTTCTATAGCTATGTTAAATTACCAGAGGGTAAACCGTTGAAACCCATGGGTGAAAGGGATGTGAATATGACTATAGTTTATCTAAAATTCAAGAATAATGCTCTATTAGGCGCCCAAATTTGATGGCAACAAAGATGGCAACTTTGAGGGCAAAAGCAATGGCAATGGCAATGGCGGTGGCAATCTGCAGGGCAACATGGATGGAAAAAACCGACGGGGGCAAATGTAATGGCAACATCGGTGGCAAAAAACACTGGCAAATACTTGGCGGGGGCAAAAGCACAGGCGGCAAATTGAATGGCAAAATTTTGGCTGCGAGCAAAAGCCCTTGGCAACACACGTGGCAACGAAAGGGCAAACTTGCATTGCGGGCAAAAGCAATAGCAACACAGGTAGCAAAGCTCTGGCAAAAAATGTGGCAAGGGCTAAAGACGCGACGCGTAAGTGGGAAAAGCAGATGGCACATTGCATGGCCAAAGGATATTGTATGCAGCCGTTGGCTTGCACAAGCGGCTTCTGGAATTGTGTCATATGCAAAACAAGTGATCATTTTCAATCAGATTGTTGTGGTGTCGAATGATCAAACTTAGTGCTCAGAAATTGTTGTGTTTACAGCTCACTTGGTCAGCAATTGCCTTTCGGTTGTGTTTTGGTCTAAAGATTTTCTGTGTCTAAGCGATGCTGGAACATTGCGGGGCACAGAGTTAAAGGACCAGATAACCCCACATGGCAAAGTCTTCCAATAATGAGCACCAAATGTTGTAGCGGGGACGGGGAAGAAAGGAAAGACAAAGGAGGTGGTGGAGGACCGAGAAGTAAAACAAAGTTGTGTGTGTGTGTGACAAAGTTGTGTGTGAAAGATGGTGTGTGTGACAAAGTTGTGTGAAAGAGAGCGTGTGACAAAGTTGTGTGTGAAAGATGGTGTGCGACAAAGTGGTGTGTGAAAGATGCTGTGGTGAAAGATGATGTGTGACAAAGTTGTGTGTGTGTGTGAAAGGTGGTGTGGTGAAAGATGGTGTGTGTGTGTGTGACAAAGTGGTGTGTGAAGGATGGTGTGGTGAAAGATGGTGTGAGACAAAGTGGTGTGCGAAAGATGGGTCTGTGACTGTGTGTGAAAGATGGTGTGAAAGATGTTGTGTCAAAGATGGTGTGTGCTGGTGTGTGAGAGAATGGTGTGTGAAGGATTGTGTGGTGAAAGATGGTGTGTGACAAAGTGGTGTGAAAGATGGTGTGTCAAAGGTGGTGGGTGACAAAGTGTTGTGTGAAAGGTGGTGTGTGAAAGATGGTGTGTGCCAAAGATGGTGTGTGAAAGATGGTGTGTGAAAGATGGTGTGTGACAAAGATGGTGTGTGAAAGATAGTGTGTCAAAGATGGTGTGTGAAAGATGGTGTGTGACAAAGTGGTGTGTCAAAGATGGTGTGTGACAAAGTGGTGTGTGAAAGATGGTGTGTCAAAGATGGTGGGTGACAAAGTGGTGTGTGAGAGATGGTTCGCGAAAGAAGGTGGATGTCACCAAGCGCCACACCTGCCGCGCAAAACGAAGGTAGATGTCTCCAAGCGCGACGCCTGCCACGTGAAACGAAGGTGGATGTCACCAAGCGCCTTGCCTGGCACGCAAAGTGGAAGTCGATGTCACCAAGTGCCACGCCTGCCACGCAAAGTGGAGGTCCATGGTCGCCAAGTGCCACGCCTGCCACGCAAAGTGACGGTCCATGTCGCCAAGGCCACGCCTGCCACGCAAACAGCGGCGGCGTCCACGGCGTCAACTGGGAACCAAGCGCGCCACCAGAGCCAGCCCAGTGCCATAATAAGTGCCACGCCTGCCACGCAAAGTGGAGGTCCATTCGCCAAGTGCCGCACCTGCCACGCAAATGACGTGTCGCCAAGTACCACGCCTGCCACGCAAACACCGGCGGCGTCCACGGCGTCAACTGGGAACCAAGCGCGCCACCAGAGCCAGCCCAGTGCCATAAGTGCCACGCCTGCCATGCAGAATGCACGTACATGTCTCCAAGCGCCTCATCTGCCACGCAGAATGCACGTACATGTCTCCAAGTACCACCCCTGCCACGCAAACAGCGGCGGCGTCCACGCTGGGAACCAACCGCGCCACCAGAGCCAGCCCAGTGCCATAAGTGCCACGCCTGCCACGCAGAATGCACGTACATGTCGCCAAGTGCCGCACCTCCCACGCAGAATGCACGCACGTGTCGCCAAGTACCACGCCTGCCACGCAAACAGCGGCGGCGTCCACGGCGTCAACTGGGAACCAAGCGCGCCACCAGAGCCAGCCCAGTGCCATAAGTGCCACGCCTGCCGCGCAGAATGCACGTACAAGTTGTGTGAGGACAAGTTGTGTGTGAGCGACTTGTCCTCACAAAGTTGTGTGCGAGCAAGTTGTGTGATGACAAGTTGTGTGTGGACAAGTTGTGTGTGGACAAGTGGTGTGAGGACAAGTTGTGTGGGAGCGATTTGGTGAAGACATATTGTGTGGGAGCGATTTGGTGAGGACAAGTTGTGTGTGGACAAGTTGTGTGAGGACAAGTTTCGTGTGGACAAGTTGTGTGTGAGCGATTTGGTGAGGGCATGTTGTGTGTGAGCAAGTTGTGTGATGACAAGTTGTGTGTGGACAAGTTGTGTGTGGACAAGTTGTGTGAGGACAAGTTGTGTGAAGACAAGTTGTGCGTGAGCGATTTGGTGAGGACAAGTTGTGTGTGAGCAAGTTGTGTGATGACAAGTTGTGTGTGGACAAGTTGTGTGTGGACAAGTTGTGTGAGGACAAGTTGTGTGATGACAAGTTGTGTGTGAGCGATTTGGTGAGGACAAGTTGTGTGTGTGAGCAAGTTGTGTGATGACAAGTTGTGTGTGGACAAGTTGTGTGTGGACAAGTTGTGTTACAAGTTGTGTGTGGACAATTTGTGTGTGAGCGATTTGGTGAGGACAAGTTGTGTGTGTGAGCAAGTTGTGTGATGACAAGTTGTGTGTGGACAAGTTGTGTGTGGACAAGTTGTGTGAGGACAAGTTGTGTGTGGACAAGTTGTGGGCGGGAGGGGCGGGAGGCGGAGGAGGAGGCGGCGGCGGGATACAGAACCAAAAACAAGAACCCCACACAAAGATGTGGGGAAAAAATGTTGAGCCAAATTTTGCCCAGGCAGCTGCCCACCTGCCCGTCAAGAAATAAGGTCGATTTTTGCCAAAATAAGCCTTATTTTTGACAAAAATCGACCTTATTTCTTGACGGGCAACGATGGCAACCAAAAACGCGCACGCTTGTCCTTTCAAGACAAACCGCACTAGTTTTTGGTTGCCATCGTTGCCCGTCAAAAAATAAGGCCTATTTTTGTCAAAAATAAGGCTTATTTTGGCAAAAACCGACCTTATTTCTTGACGGGCAACGGTGGCAACCAAAAACGGCGGCGGCGGGATACAGAACCAAAAACAAGAACCCCACACAAAGATGTGGGGAAAAAATGTTGAGCCAAATTTTGCCCAGGCAGCTGCCCACTTGCCCGTCAAGAAATAAGGTCGATTTTTGCCAAAATAAGCCAATTTTTGACAAAAATCGACCTTATTTCTTGACGGGCAACGATGGCAACCAAAAACGGCGGCGGCGGGATACAGAACCAAAAACAAGAACCCCACACAAAGATGTGGGGAAAAAATGTTAAGCCAAATTTTGCCCAGGCAGCTGCCCACCTGCCCGTCAAGAAATAAGGTTGATTTTTGCCAAAATAAGCCTTATTTTTTGACGGGCAACGATGGCAACCAAAAACGCGCACGCTTGTCCTTTCAAGACACTAGTTTTTGGTTGCCATCGTTGCCCGTCAAGAAATAAGGTCGATTTTTGCCAAAATAAGCCTTATTTTGGCAAAAATCGACCTTATTTCTTGACGGGCAACGATGGCAACCAAAAACGGCGGCGGCGGGATACAGAACCAAAAACAAGAACCCCACTCAAAGATGTGGGGAAAAATGTTGAGCCAAATTTTGCCCAGGCAGCTGCCCACCTGCCCGTCAAGAAATAAGGTCGATTTTTGCCAAAATAAGCCTTATTTTTGACAAAAATCGACCTTATTTCTTGACGGGCAACGGTGGCAACCAAAAACGGCGGCGGCGGCGGGATACAGAACCAAAAACAAGAACCCCACACAAAGATGTCGGGAAAAAATGTTGAGCCAAATTTTGCCCAGGCAGCTGCCCACCTGCCCGTCAAGGAATAAGGTCGATTTTTGCCAAAATAAGCCTTATTTTTGACAAAAATAGGCCTTATTTTTTGACGGGCAACGATGGCAACCAAAAACTAGTGCGGTTTGTCTTGAAAGGGCAATCGTGCGCGTTTTTGGTTGCCATCGTTGCCCGTCAAAAAATAAGGTCGATTTTTGTCAAAATAAGGCTTATTTTGGCAAAAATCGACCTTATTTCTTGCCGGGCAGGCGGGTAGCTGCCTGGGCAAAATTTGGTTCAACATTTTTTCCCCACATCTTTGTGTGGGGTTCTTGTTTTTGGTTCTGTATCCCGCCGCCGCATCCTCCTCTGCCTCCCGCCCCTCCCGCCCACAACTTGTCCACACACAACTTGCTCACACACAACTTGCCCTCACCAAATCGCTCCCACACAACTTGTCCACACACAACTTGTCTTCAACAAATCGCTCCCACACAACTTGTCCTCACACAACTTGTCCACACACAACTTGTCCACACACAACTTGTCATCACACAGCTTGCTCACACACTTGTCCTCACCAAATCGCTCACACACAACTTGGCATCACACAACTTGCTCACACACAACTTGTCATCACACAACACACACACCACTTGTCCTCACCAAATCGCTCGCACACAACTCCATCACAAACTTGCTCACACACAACTTGTCTTCACACAACTTGCTCACACACAACTTGTCTTCACCAAATCGCTCACACACAGCTTGTCCTCACACAACTTGTCCACACACAACTTCTACGTGAATTCTGCGTGGCAGGCGTGGCACTTATGGCACTGGGCTGGCTCTGGTGGCGCGCTTGGTTCCCAGTTGACGGCGTGGACGCCGCCGCTGTTTGCGTGGCAGGGGTGGTACTTGGAGACATGTACGTGCATTCTGCGTGGCAGATGAGGCGCTTGGAGACATGTACGTGCATTCTGCATGGCAGGCGTGGCACTTATGGCACTGGGCTGGCTCTGGTGGCGCGCTTGGTTCCCAGTTGACGGCGTGGACGCCGCCGCTGTTTGCGTGGCAGGCGTGGTACTTGGCGACATGTGCGTGTATTCTGCGTGGCAGGTGCGGCACTTTGGTGACATGGACCTCCACTTTGCGTGGCAGGCGTGGGACTTATGGCACTGGGCTGGCTCTGGTGGCGCGCTTGGTTCCCAGTTGACGCCGTAGACGCCGCCGCTGTTTGCGTGGCACTGGGCGACCATGGACCTCCACTTTGCGTGGCAGGCGTGGCACTTGGAGACATCTACCTTCGTTTTGCGTGGCAGGTGTGGCGCTTGGTGACATCCACCTCCTTTCACGAACCATCTTTCACACACCACTTTGTCACACACCATCTTTGACACACCATCTTTCACACACCACTTTGTCACACACCATCTTTGACACACCACTTTGTCACACACCATCTTTCACACACCATCTTTGACACACTATCTTTCACACACCATCTTTGTCACACACCATCTTTCACACACCACCTTTCACATACCATCTTTCACGCCCACCTTTGTCACACACCATCTTTCACACACCACCTTTCACACAGCACTTTGTCACCCACCATCTTTGACACACCATCTTTCACACCATCTTTCACACCACTTTGTCACACACTTTCTTTCACCACACCATCCTTCACACGCCATCTCTCACACACCATCTTTGACACACCATCTTTCACACCACTTTGTCACACACTTTCTTTCACCACACCATCCTTCACACGCCATCTCTCACACACCATCTTTGACACACCATCTTTCACACCACTTTGTCACACACTTTCTTTCACCACACCATCCTTCACCATCTTTGACACACCATCTTTCACCACACCATCCTTCACACACCACTTTGTCACACACCATCTTTCACCACACCACCTTTCACACAGCACTTTGTCACCAACCATCTTTCACCACACCATCTTTCACACACCACTTCACTTTGTCACCCACCATCTTTCGCCACAGCATCTTTCGCACACCACTTTGTCACACACCATCTTTCACACACAACTTTGTCACATTCTCTCTTTCACACAACTTTCACACACACCATCTTCCACACACAACTTTGTAGCCCACACACACACACAATTTTGTTTTACTTGTCGGTCCTCCACCACCTCCTTTGTCTTTCCTTTCTTCCCCGTCCCCGCTACAACATTTGGTGCTCATTATTGGAAGAAGTTGCCATGTGGGGTTATCTGGTCCTTTAATTCATAGGGTCGGTGGGTGTCGCCTCCGCAGAAGGTGCAATAGGGCTGGCATGATTTTGGTCAACATCTTTCTCTGTAGTTGATGTAGCACCAAATTTTGCCAGCACTTTTGCCATCAACTTACCACCCCATTTGCCGCCAAAAAGTCTCTCACACCCTTTCTGTCAACATGCGCCATGTACACTCAACGCCTTTTTGTGACTGAAGGTGTTTGCAACCTTTTCTGCCCAAAAAGCTGCCATCAAATTTTGACACCTCTGCTGCGGGAAAATGTTGTTGCTAAACTTCCGGCTCAATTTTTGCCATGCACAGTTGCCACCCCTTTTGCCACCAAAATACGGTTGCCACCATTTTTGCCATCACATTCTGCCATCAAACTTGCCACCAACGCTTCATTGCCACTGAAACTGCCACCCACATTGCCATATCTAACTGCCACCGCCACCGAACTTGCCACCAAACTTGCCACCTTAAACTGCCACGAACCTCTGGCATAAGATAGAATGATATGAAAGCATACCTTTTAAATCTTAGATAAACTATAGTATACTATAGTCAAAAGATGGATTTCGACTTGATTTACCTTCCAGTGGGAGCGATTTGGAGCCATGGCTGTCCTTTCGAAGAAATGGGGAGCCAGTTGGAGCTGCTATAAGAGTTTCCTAACCGCATGATAGTTGAACCATGAAACATAGGGATTTCCTCGGATAAAAAATAGGAACATAATTATCATAATTAATGGAATATTTAGCAACTATAAATGTGCCATGGTCAAGTGAGCTGGATTCTGATACTAGTTGAAATGATGATTTGATGGGAGGATATGAATTAGGGTTTAAGGGATTGATATATATATATATATACATATAATCAACATTTACCAGTTGTTGGATGAAATTGGAAGTTGTGCCCATATTGTTGAATGGTCATCAGCCATTTTTAGGGTTATTTTACCTATCAATACTTTATACCATGTAACATTACAATGCTTGATATACAATGTAGTGGTTAATATCCAATACTCGTATAACCGTGTAACCAATATTTGTGTACTGAATATACGCAGTATGGTTCATCGTTTTGGGGCACTAAATTTGTGGGTATTTAGAGAGCATTATAGATTAAACCCAGATTATCCCAGATTATTACCTCAGTAGCACTCGATCAGTTTTAACACCTCAGTAGTGCTCGATGGGTAATGTGCGAGTTGAGGAGCTTTGGGGGGGGGTTTGGGGGGAGGGGTATGTAGTTCTGTGAATGGTGGGATGACCAGATGACCATAGACTCATAGAATCATAGACCATGTAACTTGACCATGGCACCTTTTGGAATCTCCGATGAGGAATCGTGGTGGATTCATCCCCGCATCTTAAAGCTGAAGTATCCCATTCCACCATTGGTGTTTAAGTGAAATCCCCACTTTTGGCGGTTACCTTGTAAGGCAATGATCAATCCCCATATCTTTGATGGGTAGCACCCCATCAACATCCCCTTGAAGTTCCATCTGGGTTGCTACAGCCATGGCAATTTGGTGGTTGAACGGTTAAACCTGGCGTAGCATCGATTGACATGATGCTTGAACGGTTGAACCTGAGTGACAATGTGGTAGCATCAATTGAAATTCTGGTTGAACATGGGGATTTACCATGAACATATGCATTTTGTTTGAAACCATTTGGAAGCGGTCAGCAGGACTTTAGCCATAAAACATTCTAGAAAATAGGAAGGTGGTGATGTGGTTTTAAGCATCAAGAAGTGTGGATTCGACAATTAACAAGTAGGCAAGCAAAGGGGGGTTTAGGTTTAGCCATCAGTGAAAGACGGAGCAGATGAGGAGTACACTTCAATGTATTTAAGGATTCTTGACCGGCAGGGTTCCAGTCTCAGTTTGAAGATGAACGTGTTTGTGGAGAAGGTCTACGTTCCCTTGGCTGAAGATCACCGGCAAGCGCTCATACTTTTCTTTGGTTTCATCGTCAGAGAGGTGAAGGGGTGTTTGCTTTCAAATATATGATTTTGCCATCAAATCCTTAACCCAGATAAGATTCTCAAGGCGAAGGCCATAGGCTACTACTGTTGGTGAGGATCCCCATGTCAAAACCACCGGTGATAGCAGCTGCCCCAATGAAATTTATATACCATGGTCAAAAGTTGGATTAGATTGATCTGATTAATCCATATTTTGGGAGAGTCATGCCGCCAATTGCCACCATGATGACGGGATGAACCAGGGTCCCATGAATATGAATTATATAATATCCATTTCCATAGTGTAATACCCACTGATTAATCCTATCTTCATTGATTTCTCAATATCAAGTCCATTTTATCTCTTCTAAAATGGTCACCATATCATATCCCATAGGATCCATGTATGCCATATATGGTAACATTTACCATCAATATACCCCCAATGTTAGTATATATACCATACATGGATCCTATGGGTATGGGAAACCCATGGACTTCCAAGGTCAATGACTCCTCCTGGGTCCAAAGGGCCACGGTTTCTCGGTTTCTCCAAGGATTCGCAAGGTGAAGGTATGACGATCAACGTGGAGTACAACCAGCTGGATCCCCTTTTGAAGACCACCCCGGCGGGCGGCGATGTGGCGGACAGCACTGGGTTCTCGCCATATCCAGGACAACGGCGGCCCATGGCCTCCCATATCTCGGGTTCATGCGTGGCGAAGGGCAAACGTGGGGGGAAAGTTGGAAAAAAATTGGCAATCATGAGGTAAAAATTGGCACAGATGTTGTTTTAATGGGACTGCGACGGCAAGCACAACAAAAAATAGAGTCTTGATAGGGGTTTCAATGGCATGATGGTAAACATCGGGATCCACAATACCATAGAGATATAGAGGGGCATATGAAAGTTGTCGTCCCAAGTATGCTCCAGAATACGCCATTCATGATTGGCAACCTGGGAATGGTTTATTTGCATGTATTTGTCATTTTGGATCTCCATTATGGAACCTGTGTTGATAACAAGAAAGACAGCATATATATATATTTATTTATTTATTTATTTACATTTATTTATATATATATATATATAATATCACCTGCTCAGCAGGCCAACTGGCCGGTATATCCAGTAATCGATTGGTTGGTACGCCAGCAGCGTAGGCTTGCGGAACAGGAGGATACAGCATTTATTTTTTTTCATTCAGGTCACAAAAAGAAACCTGATCAAACATCATCACCCCCTAATCTTAAATCATCTTGTTTTTTCTTCGAACCCCCAGTGTAGTATTAGATCTACTGCGTTTATTTCAGACCATCCGCGGGGATATTTCACATGACCTGGGGGATGTTTCTTCCCCTTCAAGCCGATCGCAGGAAATAGGAACATATCCCCTAGGGTCCATCAAAAATTCAGATAAATTGAACCATAGATTTAACCATCAAGAGTACATTGCCATGTGTTTAACCAACCAACCAAGCGCGATTCTTTTTTGGTTCAACCATATTGAACACCAAAATTGCGGGGCCATGGTTTTCGAGTTATTCCAGTCTCTCCACGGGCAGAACGGTTCAAGTTCAACACCCAATTTCACCGGATTTACCCTCTGGTAATTCTACATAGCTATTGAAATGGCCATTTATAGTTGATTTACATTGATTTGCCCATTAATAGTATGGTGATCTTCCATAGCTATGTTAGTTTACCAGAGGGTCTCATAGGTGACGCATTCATCACTCCATAAACTGGGTGAATCATCACAATTCCAGTATCTATCCCACAAATTCCAGTATCATAAACTGGTGGGAACCCCCCCCAACTCCATAAACTTTATGACGGGGAATGGTTGAGAAAACCCACCCATTTTAACAGGTGATAAAATCAGTGGATGATGAAGATGATGTTTCCATTATTTCGTTTCATCGCCCTAATATGAAACACACCCATTCTGAATGGCCCCAAAAAGGGTAAATTCCCTAAACTATGATTTCTGGGCGGTGTTAAATATGAACGGGGATGGGATGGGACCACATCATTCCTATACATCCTATACATCCCCATTAATATTCCCATACATACTTTTCATGTTCCCATCAATTTCCAATCATATGTCCATTTAGTAACCACAAAAAAGATGCCGAAAAGCGTTTCCAGGATAGTACTTCCATAATATTTACTTCACATTTCCAGCTTTCACACTTTTCCAGTTTCATCAAATTCAACTTGAATCCCATGAAATTCTCCTATTTACCTATTAAAAATGGTGATATTCCATAGTTTTTGATATGTTTACCGGGTAAATCCCACCCCTTGGTGCAGGGAACATCAACGTCCTGGTCTTCCGCGTGCCCGAGATGGCGGAGCGCCTGGCGGCAACGGGTGGCATCGTGCCGGAGTTTGTGAATCCCAAATGGGCCGACGCCGAGCGCCCTGGACCTGGACCATGGCCTGGGATGGCCCTGGGGGCCTCGTTGTGTCGCTTCCAAGGACTGGGAGATCTATGGAATATCTATGGGGAATACCCTCTGGTAATTTTACATAGCTATGGAAAATCACCATTTTTAATCGGTAAATCCACTATAAATGGCAATTTTCAATAGCTATGTTAGTTTACTAGAGGGTATCTATGGGGAATATCTACGGGAAATATCTGTGGGAAAATCTTGTGGAAAATCATGGGAAAATCGTGTAATATGTAATTCCCCATGGCTTCGGATGGCTAAGGCAACATATTGGTCCGTTTTTGTCATCGAACGTATGGATTTGGATTGTCAATGATTCTATATATGTTTTGATCGAGTATAATTGAGGTGTGAGTGATTTCATAGGTTATTTTTTTCCTTTTTGTAAAGAATAGGATATCTATGGGTACTATGGGCAGCAATGGGAATCTAATGATGGGACAAATCATCGCACTCAATGGGGATGTGATGGGTGCTCAATGGTGGTGAATCCTCGTAATCAAACGTGGCTGGGAAATCTCGGAAGCAAATGGCTATTGAAATGGGAAAATCATTGGAGGAAACAGCGGGCTTAATGATTTTCCAGCAAGCCATGTTTGATCATGTTTGATTACAGCAGCGTACCTCAAAAGAGCTAGGATTTGCTGAACGGTGTTTGGTTTTCCTGGGCAATTGGTTGGACCATCCTAAGCAAATTGCGGGGAAACCAGCTTCCCATGGTTTGACACATTTTTCCCATCGACATATCAAATAAAGTCCTTCAGGGGAGTGATTTTGGAACCTTCAATTTGTTGTTGCTGTTTTCAATGAGCTATCACGACTTTGATTTCAAGAATCACCGTGACCTTGACTGCGGCGGGTTAGGTGTTTTTTTTGCATATAACACAGCACGGCCAAGTCGTCATACTGTTTTCTGTTTGGTTTTCAAGGTTGTGTTTTCCATCTTCCTGTACCTCAGATTTTGGGGGTTGAAAATCACCAAGCAGTCTTGGAAAGCTCCAGATTGAGTCGAGTCTAGGACAGAAGTTTGCCCCAGATCCGGGGCGCTGGTTCTCAGGAAAAGTAAGTTCAAGTCGCCCACCAGATTGGAGTGTCTCGGACAAGCGGGCGGGCTGCCTCTGACCTGCCTGGCTTGTGTTGGGACGCTGGGACGCTTCGCTCAGGTCATTGATGCAGGACTTCCCAAGACTTTGCAAAAAGGAGGATCAGCAGCCTGGTCCAATATGACATATGTGCCATGACTATCCATGACTAAGAGGTTGGTAAATGTCCCCTTTTTGGGGTTAAACATGGTTAAACATCATTCAGGTATTTTCTGGACAGGATATCCCCCAAGAGTTGGGTGATGTGAAAAATTAGGACATTTACCAACCCCTGCTAGTTGGTGGTTTCAACTCTTTCTGTTATTTTTAACTTCACATATGGGATGATGATTTTCCACCCGCCAGCAAGGGAAGCACCTCATGTGACCGTCTTCAGTAAACAGAAGCATTTGCTGAGTCGATGATTTGTCATTTTCCCACTGGGAAATTCACCACTTGGGGAATCTATAGGGAACGTTATACACACACACACATATATATATAATCATATATATATATTTTAAGTTTAGTCTTTATTGGGCTCAAATCTACGCCATTATTATTGAACCTACATGTAGGCGCAGGATTGGCAACCCCCCCGTGAATCATGATATATAGACTATTTATATAGAGGGTTCCACGTGTCAAAGCGATCGTTTTAAGGCACCGGGATTTTGTTTAGTCCCGGATGAACCGGCTGTCCGAATAAATCATGTGTGAACTAAACATGAAGGGGAACATACACTTCGGAATTCTATGGAGTATATTTGAGAAACCTAAGCTTGAAGATCGTGAGGAAGTTCTAGCAGCTTTGGTGGCTCCGCCATTCTTCAAATCAGGTGTTGGTTTGAGTTGTGACCGGGTATGTTCCTTTGGGCGCCCCCTCAGATTGACACAACCTGAACGGAGGTCATTGACAACCCAAAAGGGAATCCAATCTCGCACCTGTGGTTTTCAATCATTTTGGTGAATCGTGTTGTGCAATTTGCCCATCATGTGTTTGTCACCGCCTCTAGCCCAATCGCCCCTTTTTTTTCCAGCGCTTTGGAAATCATAAGATGTTCCATGCCAGTCAGATGTTCGCTGAGGCTTGCTATGTAAGCGGTTAGTAGCTGGACTGTATCACATTTTATCTCAGCAATACTCTCTGTTCCAAGGGGTCATATCCCAATCACTGAACATCTACCCTGATGATTCCTATTCATGGTGTCTGTCTGTCTGTCTGTCTACCTATCTACCTACCTACCTACCTACCTACATCTACTTAGCCATGTCGGTGACTCCAAAAAACATATATGATCCATGGTTTCAAATGTCAGGATCATCCAGTTGCAAACCGATTTGAGCAAATAACTAACTTTTGTTTACAGGTAGAACCCCCATCAATCTACTTGTACAGAGGTTGTTTACAATGGTGATGCTCAGTTCCGTAGAGTTTAGACAATATGTTCCCACATGTTCCAACACATGAGGAGCTGCAGCCCAGTACCAACTAAGTCAGCCAGGTTGGGCTTCACCCAGTTGGAACGACGCATGAGCTTCACCTGTGTGAAGATGCAAGGCTTTAAGCACCATAGGGAGTTAATTTGAAATGAGATCCAATGGGGTTCAACCATCAACCATGGGGATTTCATGGTAATATAATGGGACACACACACACATATATATATATATACATATAAATATATATATATATAGATATAATATTTTATATACATATATATATATATTACATATTATACATTATTATTATATATATATATAGATATATTATATTATATATTATTAATATTCTATATTATTTATTTTATATTATATATATATATACATATATTAATTTGTATTATATATATTATATTTTATATATTTGATATAAATTATAGATATTATAGATATTTTAAATATTATAGATATTATATTATATTTATATATATATCATATATATATAGATATATTATATCATATATATATATCATATATATATATATATATCATTTATATATATATATATATCATTTATATATATATATATATCATATATATCTATATCATATATATATTATACATATATATATATATATATATTATATCCAAATTAGTATGATACAGTAGATGGACAAAAAATCAAAGCCTACAGACGCCTACCAAATAAAATTCCAGGCCCCCAATTTCAATGTTGCACAAAGCTCTATATAGTTTCCTCTGCGTTAGGGTTTGATTTTTGGGTCCACCGGCCCCAAGCGCACAGCCCAAAGGCAAAAATATCGCACAAAGCTCTATATAGTTTCCTCTGCGTTAGGGTTTTATTTTTTTGTCGGCTGGCCCCAAAGGCAACATTGAAATTTGGGGATGCGGGGGCGACAACAATACAGCAGGGGTTTGAGTTCATCGTCCATCTACGGTATTGGTGTGAAAAGGGAATATTCGCCAGGTATGGCAATGTTGTGATGGAACGTTCGGGTTGGAACAGAAACATAATGCGTTATATCTAAGAAACATGAATCAAACTTTACCCAGCAACAATGGGTAGTATCTGGGATTTTTTGTAAACCTTGGTAGAAGGCTGGCGGACCTCAAAAAACTGGTTTGGTTTCAGTTTGGAAGCATTTCAACAACATTACAGCGGTTGTCAGTCTGTTCAAGGGTGAGTCATGAGTGTTTGCTCATATTATACCAGAGCCAAAAGCCGCAGATGTTTGAACATGTGATGTGACATCATATTCCCTTCGTAAAAGAAGCGCGACTTTGGGCTGAAATCTGTGGAATGCGGGCGATTTGATCCCTGAAAACTTCTTACAAGCTTAGGTTCTTGATGGTTTTTAACACATGATTTATGGAAGTACCTTTTTCGCGCAGGAGCCAATGGCCGAATCCATGTCAATCATGGTCTTGATCAGCACATACATTTGCAGAGCCAGTGGCCGAATCGGATGGTCTGAGTAAACCTTTGTTTATCATCCCATCGCCCATATATTTAAACACCCCTGAATGGTCCCAAATATGTGAAAATATGTAGGTACCCCACTAAACCAGTCTTTGGGGGGTGTTTGATATTAGGCGGAAAGGATTACTGTAGCTGTTCCGTTTGTAAATTCAATGTTCCGCGCCAGGATCATTTCGGGTGTGGCCAGGATAGGGTGTTACAGGGGTTGGTAAAATGACTTGTTTTTGGGGATGTTGGAGCACTTTCACGTATTTGTTGGAGATGATATCCCCAATAGTTGGGTGATGCGACCAAAAAAAGGACATTCGCCAACCCCTGCTTCACCACCCCCAATCTGAGGAATAATTTGGCGGATGCTGCCAAGAAGAACCCACCGGACTGCGCGCTTTCGGCCGAGGCTGACATCTACGCCTGTCCCTTGGGTTGCGCTAAGAAATTCTCCGATGGGACTATTTGCAGAAGACACCATTTTGAAGTGGGAGAAACCATGAGAAACCATAGTTTCCTGTAAAAACGTCCTTTAAAACCTGTGAATCAATCCAATGAATGGCGGGAAGTTTCGCGGGATGCCATTGACGTACGGAGATCTAATAAGTTGGCTGAGTTGTAACCACCTCACTGGCCAAACGCAGGCCGGGCCGCAGTGCCGTTGATCTTATGAAATGCCAGTTCTTGGTGGGTGAGCCTTAGTCTCATCCCCCAACTATACCACAGCTGGCTGGTGGGATCATTTTTTGTGTAAAGTTCCACGGCAGCTTTGATGGGATGATATTCCCCAATGATTTTCACATGATGGCCTACCCGCTTTGGATCTACCGCATCCAGCTTGATGGGGGATCAGCAGCCTCTTGTAGTTCATTTCCGTTGGGTTTCCCCGTGGATGTCCTGTGAATGTCACGTGGAATTATCAGTCAATAGTCATCATTCTAGGTTCTATGGTGGAGAGGAGGGATTTTGTAGATTCTATAGGGTACCATTTTTTTTTTGGATGTGACGCGAATCTGCACGGCTCTTCAAACTTCAGATCCAACTGAGGCAATGCGCGATTGCTGGAACTGGCAGGAGAAGGCGCGAACAGGGGCATGTAGCTGAGGGTAGATCAGGACTGGGGAAAAGATAAGGTGAGCCAAAAAAAAAGGGGGTTAATTTACAGTAGTATTGTGCGATCCTTCGTTCAGAATTCCAGGCACCGCCGCAGCTATTTCGGATGTTTTGGTAATTGGGGAATGTGCCATTTAGTTGGGGAACGACCCTTTGAACGACATCCAGAACGACATTGGAACGACCTCCTAAATATACGTATATAAGTTATATAAGTATATATTTACATATTTATATACAGGTCTAGATACATTTAAAACAAATCAGCAGCCAAATTACACCCGGAACCACCCTAAATGCATTTTTTGGGGCTGGCAAATTGCATCTGGCACGGTCTTTGTAATCTCTGCAACGAGACCCTAGCCTGAGCGGTTTCCCTCTAGAACCATGTCTTTACGAGCCCAAGACTCTTCCCGGTGCTCTGCCACCAATGCACGTGCACAAAAAATGTTTGGAGATAGGGCCATTTTATAAGGAATTTATCCTGGGCGCACCTAAGAAGTGCAAGAGGACCCTACCCGTTCCGGGGAATTCAGACAGGGATCTGACTTTCAGATTGTATAATTACTGTGTATTCAAGGGTCATTATTTAGCCATTTTTCTCGGCTCCCAAACGACCTCAGAACGACCTCTGAACGACTTCTGAACGACATCAGGATTTCAGTCAGAATGACCAATTGCCCACAAAAACCCGGAGACCGCAGACCATTCATCCCATGTGCGCTGCGTTCCAAGTCATTTACCTGATAGCAATCTGTTCCATAGATGGGTTAATTTTCCCAGTAACACTGTCAAACTTTTCTGCCCTGTTTCAAAATGACCCCGCCATGGGATTGTGAAAAAGATGCTGTTCCCTGAAAAAAGAAACTGCTGAACGAAACTTTCTCTACGGATATGATGTAGCTGAAAGCAGCTCTGATGTAGTAGTTCAAACAGTTCAGAATCAAGCGCCGAGACATAAATATGAAGACCGCCGCTTGGAAATCACATGATTTGCTTTCGGGATCAGGATTTACATACAGGTTTTTTTCAACTCAGGTGTTCAAATCCCGAAAAAAAAGAGTGATAGAGATGATTCAGAGACTATGTTGAGCCAAGCTAAATGGCTGGCTACTGTGTTTTTGGGGGTTTATCGTTTTTGATTGACGCTTTTTTTTTCAGTGAAGTCAGTGAAGTTCGTTTGAGACAAATATTTGACCGTATTTCGCAATCGTCCGTTTGATCAGTGCGGTTTCAATCCTCATCAGAATCATTCTATTTCGGGAAGAAAAAAACATGTGCCAATGTGATTGGTACCCGTTATAGTTGCTTATAGTTGGTTACATGACTTCAACAACATAGATTCCCTCCACCATTGTCACCATATCTGGAATGGTGGGAATGGTGCCCCTCGTCAGGAAAGGTGTCCATCGGGTCACCTAGCAAGGTGAGTTTCCTGGGTACCGTGGCGGTATTTCTTCGGGCCCCAAAGCTGGTTTTCCAATGGGTTCAATGGATTTGATGGGAAATGCATAGGAAAATTCATGATAAATGAGGGTTTCTGCGAAAATCAAACCATCCTGGATGTGCTGAAGCTGATTTTTTCTTTTATGGGAAGTCCGCTATACTTGGGGATCTATGGGGAATGTTTGTTTTATTTGGGGGTGTCCTTAAGCAAATCCAAGTTTCCTTGAAAGGACAAGTTGTGGATGATTTGGGGTTCCCCCATTTTTGGGTGAAAACGCTGGGGAGATCAATTCGTGATTAACCATCGATGGGTTTGCCCATTTGGAGTCACTCTTGTTTAACAGTATATAAACAGTTCAGTGGTATGTGGTGGCACAGTGGCACTATATAACCAGCAATTTGGCGGAAACTCGGTGGGGCTGGATGGGACCTTCCTGTTGATGCCAATAATGATTGCCAATCGACCCCATCGCCCCAACCATACCAGCCCCGAAATCCGGGTATTCGATTGGAGATTATTGGATCTAATGTGTGAAGAGGTTGCCACGACCGGCAAGCAATTTTTAGGCAAAGAATGATACCAGGCCACCAGTCAATCTGTGGCGCCAGTGGCCTTCATGTCCTGTTGGTTCCATCCCTGATTTTCATCCGCTCACGCCGGCTCACGCGTTCTACAATATCCCGCATTTGATGGGTGAGCTGCCCAGGGAACGCTGCTCAAATTCTTTCAATCACACCCCAACCTCCAAGCTAAGCATTTCAACAGTCGGTTTACTGAGAAAATGCCTCATGGTTTTGCTTGACATGGGACAATTGACAAAGATCCATCAAAAGTATGCATGCTTCTTTGCTAACTTGGGTCTATCTGAACATGCAGAAGCAACATGTCACGCTTCATGATCAATTTTCCCGAGTAAAAATGCTACAAATGGGAGCGTGCTTTGTTTGGAAGGAAAACCCCGGTGGTTCTAACCCGTTTTTTATGAATGTTGGCCCAGGTATTTCTGCTGACATCGGCGCACGGATCATTCTGGCCCCAAGCTTTGGCATTTCATTGGAAGATATGAAGACCAAGATCAAGGGGAAGGTGCCGCAACCAGCATATCAATCCAATTTGTTTGGCCCTCCAACTGGTTGCCAGGGATTTCTGGGGTTACATCCTATTTGATTTGATGCAGATTGAATATATTTGATTATCTTGAACTCAGGAAATAATGATGAAACGAATCCCCTACTGTTTTCTGGAAGATGCACCAAAAATATCTCAAGACCCAAGTTCTTGAGAATTTGCGGCAGCCAGCTTTTGTCCATGGCTGATGCGCAAGAAATTAGGATGTGACATGATGTGACCCAATTGATAGGGATCTCCAACTCATGTTTACCCATTAGGAGACTGGAGGTCCCCCCCTCACATGTGCCCTCACATGTGCAAATACGGGAATGGTTCAGGGTGTTATTTACCAGAAAAATGATTGGTAAATCTTCAATGTGACCGATTATGAGAGCCCATGGGCCCATTCTGAGCCGTATCGCTGATTCTCATTTGTTTAGGCATGTTTCTTGGGCGGCAGGTCACCATTTCCGGCAAGTCTGAGTTGCTGATTGATGGCGCCACTGGGCCCTAAGGAAACACCCACGGGCCAGGATATACACCAGAAGCTATATCTTGCTGGAGTTAAGCGCACTGGCCATAGCAAACTCTGGGATCCTGTTTGCTTTGAATTTTCTGCCGCCTGCTTGGTTTTCTCGAACAATGGCGAAACGCAGTCCATTAAAACAGCCCATTCACCTTCCCAAAATGACGTCTCCTCGATCTGATGACCTCTGACGTCACAAAACATCATTGGGGTGGGAAGCACCAGTTCCATCCAATTCCAATGGTTTATAATCATTCTCCCATTCAACAACCTTCTTTGGGGGTCAAAGAAAACCACTCATTTGGTTTGATTTGTTGTTTCTTTGCTTGGATTTTTGTTATTTTTTGTTTTGGGTGATATATAATAATATATATATATATATATGTGAATATTAATATAGTATAGACTATAGATATGTATGTATATATACCCTCTGGTTATCTAACATAGCCATGGAAAATCACCATTTTTTAGTTCGGTAAACCATTTATAAATGGGCAATTTTCCATGGCTATGTTAAATAACCAGAGGGTATACATATATATATATATAGGAAATATATACCTCACTTTTGGCGGACAAACCCAGGATGTGACCCTGAACGATTTGGAGCTGGATGGCTGCCTGCGAATCTCCGCAGATGGGCAGCTTCCAAAGAAAGTGGTCAGGCGTTAAGAGGGTGTCCATCGGCGCTTGGTGCTTCTCTAATCCATCGGGGTGTCTGAAAATGCTGGGTATACCATGGTATACCCCAAAAAATGACTTTTTGATAGGGCACATGATGATAAACCACTGGATTTTGGGGTTCTGTATTTGCAGACAAACCGTTTCATATTGCTTCTGCTGTTTGAGAATTCATGTCAAGACCATGCGATGAAGATAAGAATAAATAATACCAATACCTAACTTCTAGCATTTGTATCCAGTTGGTTCAGATATGTTTAGATTAAAACCAACCTTAAGAAACCTTCATCCCCCTTGGGTTTGCCACATGCACCCCTTTGGGTTCGCAGGAATGATGGTTCCAAGTTGGAGAAGATTCCGGACTCAGAACTGAGACTTGCTCGGGTCCAGGCGAATCCCAGGATCTGGTGTCCTAAGAAACATGTGGAAGTCGTGGATTTGCTGTGAACCTCTCCCTTCAAGAATTTGATTCAATCCAATCTTTATGAAACCATCGAAATTCCCTTGGCAGGGCGCGGGCCCAGGCCCCAGCTGATGTCCCGCCCAGGAAATCAGAAGAACCGTCCCTTCAAATCCGCGGCTACCGACGTGTTGTGGTGACAGAGGAGGAAGTCAAGACCCTTTAAGGTCTGATGGGAAGGCCTGAAGGGCTGGAGCAGTGACCCTTAGCGCTTTTGCTGTGGCTTTGTTGAACGCTATACGTCCGCAAATGTCCGCAATATGTTCAACCTCCAAAAAAGTGGAGTTGAGGATACGACTGTTAAGGGTTGGGGGTATTTCCGCAATGGCAGCGCCGGATGTTTGTTGACGCCTAGCTGCTTGATGCATATATGCTATGTAATTTGAGGGTAGCATTTTAAAAGCAAAGGACATCAATATCGAAACGAAACGCGAGAGAACCCGTAATTGATCAAGCATAGTTGCGAGACTCACATGCGCATAGCCTGAAATCAGCAAATTGCCACAGATTGCCACAGCTAGTTTCCCTGGGTGTGTAAATCATCAAAGATGCAAACCATGTGTGAACACATGCAGGCCCAACTCACCCCCTTCTCCTTTTTGCAGGCGATTAAGCAGCAAAGCGATGTTGACTCGATCTGCGTGATCGAGCCATCCAGCGAACAGGCGAACAGCAGGTTTGAAGTGTACAGAACTATGCTGGGTGTTTCTCAAGCTTGGGCACCCACAAAGAACATATATGCCTCGCAGACAGAACATCTTTTGAAGCAATGTATCATAACGCGATTTTGGCATTTATATAATTAGACGAATTATATATATATGCATTTGTTTGATAAATATGTCCAAAGCTAAATCGACACCACAGCTACTTCTTCTCAGCAAATGGTGCTCAAATCTGGGATTCCAACCTTGAGACTCCCAACCGTAGATCCAGTGCAAAGACCTGCCAAGATTTTCAAAAATGACCGGCCGGACAGCGGCGGAAACGGCCCTGGCACGGGAAGATCATAGGGGATTGGTGTGATAACTTGGATATATTTGGTGCAGTTGGTTTTTTTTTGGGAATAATTATGTATAATTATCACTAATTAACTATGGTATACCCTGGTAATACATCCCAATAGGTTGGGATAGAACCGTTCTAACTATTGTTATATAAATCTACTATCAACTGCTTATTAATGAAGCTGCAAAGCCAAATATATAGTGATAGACAATCAACAGTATGATATCCGGAATTACTAAAAATGCAGGATTCCCTGACAATAATGCGAAAACAAAACAACTGTTTTATGGGAATAGAGTGCGAATATACAGTGGGATGGGCATACCATTGGGAATAGAACCAGCAACATGCAAATTGGTTTGTCCCAAAAAGGCAGGATACACTAAATCATTAGTGTAATGAGTGCAAGGATGATACACCATTGCGTTTTCATTTTTTAAGAGAACCCCACCTCACAGGCTTGCTTTGTTTTGGAGGTTTCGATAGCCAAAAAAAAACTGTGTTGAACCACTTTGCCAACCATGGATGGGGAGTGAGCCAATATAACATCTACCATAGCTAGCTGGTTGATGGCTTCAATGTGTTTTTGTCATTTTCCAGCCCCACCTGCGATAATGTTCGCCACTGATAAGTATGTTTCAGTTGGTTGAAAATCCAAACAATTTTTGTTCAAAAAATATCTAATCCCAATCAGAGCATTTCAGGCTGTTAACAATTTCAAACTCTACCAGTAGCGGCCTGGTTTTCCAGAAAATCTTCGACCGTTTTCTTCAAAAACTGGGTTTGTCATGGTTTGTCCAAAAAGCATTTGATTTAACACCAATTTTCAGCATTCTTCATGGCAACATACTTTGAGCTGGACATAGCTGGACCCAATCTCTGAACAAGCCAAACGTCCAACAGGACTCCGTGCAAGCCGTTGTGGCTTTCCTGAGATGTTGTACTTTCAATGTTGGGGTTCCACAGATTACCAGTATATCATGTGACAGATCTTTGGCCCCTGAAACACTGCAGCTTTTTTGGCCCTCAAACGCGCAGATGATTTACTGTATATAAGCCAGCTGTTTTCACATGGTATAGTCATATATAGTATATATATATATGCGCATGTAATTCGTCCGAAATATGTATGCACATTTGTTTATTGTTTAATCTATCTATGCATATAATATGTATATGTTTTTCCTGCTGATTTTTTACGTTATATAATATAATATAGGTTTATAATTAGTGTTGGATGTTGATTGGTTGGAGGTGCCCTCAAACATGTCAGTGGGATCAACTCGCAGCTCCTGGAAGCCCTCAGTCATCAGATCTGCTTTCAATTGACGCCTTTTAAAAGGAAAATCCAGAATCTAAGAAAGGGCGTTAATGATTGTTAATGCATTTGAATCGACTTTCATGTTTTTCGTTCTGTTTTTTTTCTGATTTGTTCTTCCTCCTTGTTTCCTTCTCTTTCCTGCTTCCTTTCCTTTCTGGCTTTTCTTTTTTCTTTGCCGTTCTTTCTTTGGTTCTTTTTCCCATTCCTCCCTTCTCCTTTCAACTGTTCTTATTCTTCTTTTTCTTTTGCTTCTTCTTTTTCTTCTTCTTACTTTTTTCTTGTTACTTTTCTTTTTCTTCTTCGGCGCTGACTAAGAGGCAGCTGCAGTAAAGCCACCTTAGAGTCTTAGAGTTAGTGGATCTAAAAAACAGCAAGATTCTCGCCAATATTCACAACCTGGGCAACAAACCTGCTAGTGAGGAACTCATTGGTTCAAGGACTACCCTTTTGAAATAGATAAATCTTTGGGAATGGCACTGGCGAAGTTTCAGGGAGATCCTGGCCAGTATTCATCACCGCAACCCTTCCTTGGCAAACTGAGTGGTTTATGGACTACCCTGTTGAACAAGTGTTAGTGTGCTTTTTTGGGCGTCTAACGTGCTGAAATCGATTCTTTTATGGGGAACCCTGGTGTTCTGAGCACTCTTTGGGAATTGTGCTAAGTAAGATGCAACCGCTGCAGTAAAGCAATGCTCAGATGTAGCGGATCCAACCAAAAAAAAAGCAAGTCCTCTGGGAAAAAAACAGCTGTGAGTCTGTGAGTGGGAAAACTTGCCACAGTTCAAGACCCGCTCACCGATAGCTAGGGTCAAGAATTAGTCGGGGAAGGCAGCCATCCCACCAATCAACATCCAATATTCGCATCGGTTACCCTCTGATTTTTCAACGATTTGTGAACTGGAAGATCACCCTTGTAAAGATCGGTAAATGTCAATGTTTATCCCGAACTCAATGGGCCATGGCTTCCATAGCTATGTTAGTCTACTGGAGGGTGGTCCATTCAAAAATGTGGTAGATTTTAATATGAAAAATAGATAAAAATAGTGTCATGAGGCCAACGGGAAGAGAGAAAGTTGATTTTAGCAGCAAAAATGAGGGAAAAAACAAAACCAGAGTCAAAAACAGATTTACCAAAAAACAATTTGACTAGAATATTCACCAGAAAAAACAAAAAATGAAAAAGAAAGAAACACAAAAAACAAGCAAATGCAAAAAAACAAAACCTGGATTTTCCTCAGTTTCTGATTATTATGTAATTATTTGTTTGTTTTGTTTTTGTAATGTTTCTTTTTTTGTTGCTGGGTTATCCTTTATGACATTTTTCTTTTTTTTTGTATTTTGGTTGCTTCTTGCTTAACATCGCCTGGCCATCGCTCAACCTTTGACCTCAAGATCCCTGGGAGCAGCGCTCTTGCACAACTGAGGCACTATTGGCCGGTCTATTTCCTTGGGTGCCAAAATCCAACACTGCAATGCACGGGTCTTGCTGCAAAGCAGTCAAGCACTGGCGGTTCATGTGCTCATCCACCCAAAACATGAGCATAAGCGCCTCAACTTAGTTTGTCAGGTGCCAAACTGGCGAAGCAGAGTTTGTCTAGTATGTTTCCCAACGTATTAGTAACTAAGATAGCAGAGGTCTTCGATATGGCAATTGTTTCGGATTGTTGTTTTCCTATTGAACTGCTTCATCCAGGCACCCTGTGTTGCTAGCAATTTGAATCCTATGCCCGGCAAGCCCTGTAATCAAAAAGCAAATGCTTCAGTGGACATCGTCATGCAGAAGGTGTGGCCTTGGAGTTGGGGGTTGATGGTGAGAAGACGTTATAACAGCTGTAGTTGACCAAATCTTAGGGGTATCCCTTAATATTTTTCGGGACCACTGAAACGCTAACCCAGGTTGCTTTTGGTGTTCCATTGTTTTTTTCTGTTTGCTCTGGTTGCGTTTTTTCTTTGTTTTTCCTGTAACACCCTACATTCTCTGCATTGTTGAACTCGTAAAAATAGTGTTTTTCCAGCTCACAAAACTGTTAAATAACCGGGGCACATGTTCTTAAATGAATTATAACCCTCTGAGATCCCATGACATCCTTACAGTCCACTTCTGGTGGCCCTTTTCCCCGTCCAGTTCCAGCAGGAACTTTTAGGCATCGCTGCAGATCGCTTTCTGGCCGGACAGCTCAGGGTTTGGTTCCTGCTGGACCAGTAGACATCGGCAAAGTGCTTGTTGGTGAAGGGTACGGAGAGAAGTGAAGTTCCAGTGAATGAGTGGATATTATATATATATGGTGATCGATCTAAAGGTCCCTGTAAGGAGTTTTAATTTTGATCAACAACCATATATATATATATATAAAGTACCCCCTGAAAGATCGAAAAGTGATTCACGACTATCGATTGATCGGATTTTGCTTTTCTATCTTTTGGGGGTTGCTATAATTATAGGGACCCCATACCCCAACTGATGGGGGTTTATAATCATAGTTACAAGTAGGTCCATTTGTAATCTCAACTGGGCACCCAAGTAGGCTGTTTGGGTGTAAATGCGGGAATTCGTCCCACCCAGCTAAGGATTTTTCGGAGTTCTTTTTGTTTAAGGCTGTGTATGAGCGTCTCACAGGAATGCAACTTGCAGAATGGATCGGAAGGATGCAGCAGCAAGGGATTTAGCTGTTAGCTTAAAACGGTGCCTTTTCACAAAGGTAATTTCTGTATACGGGAGGCATTCTCACCCCATGATCGTCCATGTATCTTTGGATGATGAGATTCCAGTCTTTCCAGATAGTGTGGATGAGATATGATGAGATTGGATTTGATTCTGCAACGGCAATAGATTTGCCAGACTAATACGACTTTTTACGAGTGCACATCGTACTCCCAACGTCAAGTACTCTTGCTATGCAATAAAACATGATTTTCAGGAACAATGGAAAACGAAACTTGTTAATTAGTAAATTGGTGGGTTCGTTGACCGGAGGAGACATATTTCTGTATATCAATGCGCTGGCTTGCTGTGTCTATGTAATTATATGCAGATAGTATAATATATTGATACGTACCTGGAAACCTTGAAATTGGCAATCCTCCCAAAGCATCCCTACATTTGGGATCATGTGCCTTTCACGTTTTTACTTCCAGTGGCATTCCTTTTCATTAAAATGAGCATTTTCTGACACACCAGAGTGCAGATTTGTCTTCGTGTGGAAGTATAGATTCCTGCTTCACCCCAGATTTAAATTTCGGCACAAAACGAGGTGGGAGCGTCTGAGTATATCATGCAGCATGCAGGTCAATAGTTGAAGATGTAGGAAATAAAACCCAGTGCCGCGCTGCAAAGGAGGCAGATGATCAAAATGATACAGACATGGAAAACGATGTAAGGGCCGCCTCGCTTTTCGCAGTATCCTCCAGTAACATCCGGCGCTTATACATTTAAATTTAGATGTACATTGTACATGGCTTACATAATCTGACATATATGTAGTTAGATATCCACGCTTCTTTTGATAGTTCAAGTCATATTAATTATATCCCTTCCCATTCAAACCCCCAGCAAAGCAAAATATATGATACAATACGCCTCTATATGCGATGTTTTTTGACATTATACACATTGTATATGATATAAAATTTTTAATTTAACATAAAATAATAATAAGATAAAATAATATAATGTAACATAGTATAGCATAATTTGATAAGATATATTTCAATATAATATCATAAACTATAATATGATTTAAAATCCTTTAATATAATATAATATAATATAATACGCATATATCGATCTATCTATCATATATAATTATATATATAATATATCTATGTATATACTTGTGTATATGTCTATTCGCATTGTATATGTATATTCGCATTGTACATACATATGTATACGTATATACATATGGGTAGAATGGCCCATTGCCGCTGAATGTTCGAGACCCAGGCATCATTTGTACAGCACAGCTTTGGCAAACGGGTGAAACATGGAATGATTCCAGTATATATGTACAGTGTCTATATGATTCTATATTAGTATATTGCCTTAGGGAAAACTAACATAGATGTAGAAAAGCCATGGTTCCTGTATGAAAAAATATACAATTACTAATGATGGGTTTTGGGTCTTCCACATCTATGTTAGTCTAACGGATGGTACATGTAGTCCCCGTTCATGCTGTTTAACTGTTTCCTGCCATACATGTATATAAGTCATTTAAAGTCACGGATTTTGATCAATATACATATGTACATGCACATATATACATATAATTACATACGTACATATATAGAATAGCTAGTTTCTCCATAATCCCTAGAAACATCCTTCGCTTGTGTCCTCGATCGTTTAGGCCTGGCACGTGAAGGTGAAGGCTCCCATCCTAGCCAAGCACATTGCGCGCGTGACCTGGGTCCCTTGGACCTAACAAATAGACCTAACAAGAAATGGTAGGCACCTTCAATTTAGGTGCCTGAAATGGCAATAAATTGTTCTCATAGGTTTTTCAAGAGGTCGTAGGTGCTTATAGATATCTGTAGTTGTTCGGATTTTTACATATGTTTATGGTTTTGCGGTTTTATTTCTAGATATGATGGGTGGATTTACAAACGGGCACATGAAATATACACATGATTACACATGCATAATACAATTTAATTTGAATAAGCCGGGAATGGCTGGGGATTGACGAACGGAAATGCGAAACTGGTAAAAGAAACTGGTAAATTAGTGTTTCCTTTCGTAGTTTTCGGATATTTGGCTCGGTCTGTGTTTTTTCAGTGATATCCAGCGTATCTATAAAGATTGTTTTTGCTAGGTACTTAGGTTACATAACGCTGGCCATAAGAATGGGATGGGTTCAGAGACCATTTGACACACCATAAGAATGGGATGGGTTCATGTGCAATCCAAACTGTACCGAAGAATCAGACCCTCAAATGCTGCGTTATCTCTTCTTCACGACTTAAAAAAAAACAATACACATGCAGCCAATCCGGATTTTGAGACACACCCGTTTCCCCCTACCAAGGAAAATAAGGATAAGGACAAGCATAATCCAACAATCCCATCATCCTAATTTTGAACACCACCAAAAAACACCCAAAATGTGCAACCCCCCCTATTAAATCATAGTTTTTTCCCGGGTGTGTTTAAAATTAGAGGAACGGGGCTAGTGTTCGCAAACCATCATCTAAGATCCCATCAACGAGGCCTTTGCCAAGTTGGATTTCCATCACAAACTCTTCAAGTTGGCCCTGGAAGAGCGGCTGCAACCGCATAAGTACGTCATCAGGCGGGGGCACTGGGTTTCGTAGCGCGGGCGGGGTGGACAGATGGTTGGAGAAGGAAAACGAGATTTGACAACACATATGGTGTTTTGGTAGAAACCTGTGCCAGAGGGAAGGGGAAAGGGAGAGAGAGAGAGATGTGCAAATAGCGGAGATTGAGATGTGGGTGAACATGCAGATGGACATGATGAGTTTCCCAACAATGCTCGAGCACTTGTCGTTCAAAGTCCCAGCTCCAAGATACAGAATTCTGGACATGCGACTGCCCAAATGCGTGGGCTCCCAATATATTTTGGTGTACTAGATCCAAATACACACAATGATATACATTTTTATATATATATATATCGTATCGTATCGTAGCGTAGCGTAGCGTATCATATCATACCATACCATATCATATCGTATCATATATATATATATATGTATTGGTTTAGCGATTAGTGAGAATATATACATATGTAAATATATATATATATATGTATATATCTATATGTATATATGTATATATATATGTATATATATATATATGTATTTATATATATGTATATATATATGTATATATATATGTATATTTATGTATATATATATATGTTTATATATGCATACATATATATATATTGTACACCTTTCAGAAAAAGATGCCCGGATGCCCGTCCAAAATGGAATCTTTGGGGCAGGTTCTTGGAGCCAGATCAACTCCATGTGGGGCACCTCCAGTGGAGAAGCCGTGGTGCTTCGATGATTCATCTGTTCTATTGGATGGTTGGTTTATATACATCTTCATTAAACACACACATTATATTATATATTAAGCAAAAAAACATACATGTTTGATCGATTTTGATAACACCTCTGCTGATTGATTGTTGATCGACCTGACTTTTCATGGCCCTGTTCCTGGCCCAAAATGCCAGTGCAACCAACAGCATCAGGTACTAATCAGACAGGTACTAACAGCTGACTTGACATCACACGGCACTCCAAACATAGGCAGTGTAGATGACTTTGAAACCGGGGGTCCAGCATTGTCCAACCCACCAGTGACCAAGAATAGGTGTGAATAGGTCCTAAGTGATGATACCTAAAACCATGGTTAGAACCAGCACGGTCAAGGGTGATTGGCATGTCCTACAATTGGAGTGAGTGTTATTCAAGTTCATACGGGCCCTATGTTTACCAGCATCACAAAGATGGTTTAAGAGAACAAAGTTGAACAGAACCCCAACATTTGGCCAAGTTCCATGCATTTCCTGCCGCAACCGAGGCCCTGGCCTGGTCCTTTCGCATTTTGATGCCTGGCAGCAGATGGCCGGGACTCCTAGAGGTCAAGACCCTAAAATGGGTCAGGACCCATGGTGATCCATGGTGTATGTTATTCCCAGCAGTGCTGATTTGCTATTCTATTATTGGTGCGGCCGAAAGCTCAGGCAAAAGACCAGGGACGACATCGATGCCAAGATCATGGCCTATGTCAAGATGAGGCCCAAGAAAGCTAGGTAGAGATGGGTGATGGATTGCAGGAAAAATTACTTTACTTCGTGTGATCCCCACCATGACATTTATACATGTTCTTACTGGCACATCTTCTGGCATTCTATCTGACATATCTTCTGACATTCTGTTTGGCATTCTATCTGGCATATCTTCTGGCATATCTTCTGGCATATCTTCTGGCATTCTATCTGACATATCTTCTGACATTCTATTTGGCATTCTATCTGGCATATCTTCTGGCATATCTTCTGGCATTCTATCTGGCATATCTTCGGGCATTCTATCTGACATATCTTCTGGCATTCTATCTGGCATTCTATCTGACATATCTTCTGGCATATATTCTGACATATCTTCTGGCATTCTATCTGGCATTCTATCTGGCATATCTTCTGGAATATCTTCTGGCATATCTATCTGGCATATCTTCTGGCATATTTTCTGGCATTCTACCTGGCAAATCTTCTGGCACTCTATCTGACATTTTATAGGTCCGGCAGGGAACACTGGGCGTGGATGGTCGTGGTTGAGGTCCGGCAGGGAACACTGGGCGTGGATGGTCGTGGTTGAGGTCCGGCAGGGAACACTGGGCGTGGATGGTCGTGGTTGAGGTCCGGCAGGGAACACTGAGCATGGATGGTCGTGGTTGAGGTCCTGCAGGGAACACTGGGCGTGGATGGTCGTGGTTGAGGTCCGGCAGGGAACACTGTGGATCGCGGGTCGCAGTTGGACGAGGACGACGAGGACGACGAGGACGACGAGGACGACGAGGACGACAAGGACGACAAGGATGACAAGGAGGACGAGGAGGACGAGGAGGAGAGGAGGAGGAGGAGGAGGACGAGGCAGGAGGAGGCAACTGACATAAAATCTAACAACCCTCACCTGGCAGGTGGGGAAAAAGGTGATGGTTTGTTTCCTACATATATATATAGTGTAATCTGTTGAACCATATGTGGAGAGTTCTGTATGTAGATACATTAAAAGTTGGCAGGGCACTGGTACCTAAGATTTTGCCATGATACCATGTGTAGGTTGTGCCTTGTGGGGGCAGAGCCTTTGATCATTCAATGCAGCTATGGTAAATGCTCCATTGATAGATGATTCATTCATTTGAAATTGTGATGTTCCATAATTGTCCATAGCTATGTTCAAAGTACCAGAGGGTATGTCAGAATGAGCTAGGACCAAATGATTCTTTTTGTGTGTAGGTGGTATCTAAGATTGATGATTTTACAGGCAGAGCTTTGGATTCAAGCTCCACGCAATGGGGATGTAGCCAATATACTTGCACAATTTTTTGCCAATAAGTCAAGGACCAACTATTCTTTAGATAATATATATATTTTTTATATAAATATATATATACACACACATATATATATACACATACAATACGCGCCATGAAGATTCAGGACGCTACAGGTGAGAGGTTAATTTGGACCGAGGTTCGACCATGGACAATGGTGGATTTTGTGCATATCCCTGGGTAAATTATAACGACTTCGCGTCGCGACCGAACCCTGGAAGAATGGTTAGGATTCGGGAATTATCCCAATATGGCTTTATTTTAGTTGAGTGAATTACTATAATTTGCCCAGTCCCTGAGTATCCCCTCCAATTTTTGAAAGGTAAGTAAGACATTCAAAGACAAGCCATAGCAGATGGATTTGGCAAAAATCAAATGTTTCAACCAACAGAACCAGCAGAACGGCATGTTTGAAACAAGAGTTGTCGCTTGAAGTAGTTACTTTATCATTATTTGTTGATAGTTGTATCCCCATGTGATGTTGGATTTGTCGTCGCCCAATGGCCTGCAGCGATCAACCCAAATATTCCAGCTCTTGAGGTACAGACACGGTATCTTGGCATTGCGACAGCTTGTTGTAGTGATTTTGGTGTATTCAGTTTGGAAACATAGACTTGTTGAGGGAACAAAAACAGTGGGCCAAGGTGAACTGGGTTTACAGGATATTGTAGCAATCCCTGCCCCAATCTTAAATGCTTTCCCTACAAGACTCCAAAATGAAGAAATCTATAGAAATATTAATCTCATACCCACACAGTTGTAGACCGAGATAATGCATGCACTCACACATGATAGCTAATCGGATGTTATGTAAAATTACCCATTGTATCATATTATATCCCGATATCCCATTATGTGTCACCATGTGTCCCAATAAGTACATAACCAATATATATATGGATTATGATCGGTTTGATGCCCCCAAATCTCCCATATACCATGTTTTGACCATGGCTGCAGCCCGCATCTAAGTGGACATGTTGGCTATAGTACTCACTATACCCCCCCATATCTCCAATATATTCCCAGTATGATTCGTTTGACGCCCTCTCTTCCCGCATAGGCTACCAGGAGGTGCTCGCCAGTTAGAAGTTGGTTTATAACCCCGGCTGACTATCTATCTATCTATATATATATATATTTATAATTATATATATATATATTATACCAAAACCCTATAAAGGTTATTACCTTTGTACTGGAATTGCTGATATCCCCATGATTTTCACATGAAATCTCACCATATCTCACCGTTCCTAGATGATTATCCGATATCATCCTCAATCAGCTGGCTTTAAGGTATTGGCCGGAAGGTGGACGAGTACGGCGACGAGCGGCTGCACAAAGTCACCGTTGGGCACGGCCGCCCGGGTGTTGATTTTTTTTGCGGGCGGTTCTAAGCTGGGGACGGGGGTGAAGCCATCTAGAGTCTACTGTATGGGTTTTAGATGGTGTTTTTAGCTTCAAACTTACTGGTTTTGGATGGGTTTATGCCAAAGAAATAAAAAGAAACCAAAACATGATGAAATGTCTGGGTAAAGATGTCGTTCATGACTATCTCCAAGGCGGATCGAACCCTATGTGGAGATCGATCCGGAGACACCCAAGGAACTAAGGAGCGCAACTGGACGGAAATCGGGGAGGATCCTTGTGACTGGAGAATGAATAAGGTGGTTAAAACCATAATAAACCACCCCTTTTTTGATTGTTTATACCACCCATTTATGGTGATTTTGGGTGGTGGTTTATTCTTGTTTTAACCACACTAAGGGTTTCCAGCTTGTCTTTTCCGATGAGTGTTTGGGGCCTGGCTGGATTGCCGGGGCAGGCTCCAGCTTACGGAAGCTCCAAGTTGATGATACAAAAATAGATGAACCCAAATGATCGAGTCCAAACAAGAATGTTTTTATATTTTTATATCATTTAAACTTAAACTCATTTAAGGGAATATTGAATATGGAAGCAATACCCCACTGAATTTATGACAAGATCATCCACACAACTGTGAATTTGCAGCGCCTGGCTTTGGATGTTACGGACCAGTTTTTTGCACAGAGTGTAGGTTTGTCACAATATGCAACATTTTGCTATTGTAGACAAACACTTTGGATGTATTCTATTTGTTCAGATTCCCAAGATGCAGATACAAAACATATACAACAACTCCGAACCATTCTCATGCAAAAATAACTCCCAATAATGGTTGATTACGGTTTGCCCTTAAACCCTTATTGTTGGGCGGGTATTCTTTAGTGGGGGTTAGCCCATTATATCTCATTGTATCCCTCTATATCTTATGTATATACGAATAAATAAATACAAAAACCCACACACACATATATATATATATACAGTATATATTTTTTGTATACGCACAAATGATTATATAATATTATATATACAATGTATATATATATGCACATTATATATAATATACATATGTTTTCATGTACATCCCCATAAGGTCTCCTTCTTGTGCCCCTGGTGGCCGGCATCCCCACGACGGAGGAACCAGGTGATGCTGGAAAAAGCCAAGGACCTAGGAGCAGCATGGGCACCCAGCATGGGGGGAGTTGGACTCATTTTGAAAGTTGTGTATAGCTGTATATATCATGTGCGATATCATATGTATATATGTTATGTAGTATGTTATATATATATATTGTTAAATCATATATCACATATTTTTCACATGTTATGTCATATGTTATGTCATATGTTCAGCCATATTTGCCGTATACATGTACCTATATCTTTGCATATATATATATACACCCATGATCTCTAGATCTATATGATACATGTACATGTATTTATGAATCTCTCAGAAATTCCAAACAGAATCCATATATAGATCGATTCACAATGTATCTGATACGTATCTCAACGGATATTACATAATGGGCGACTTGTCCAATGCCCGAGTTATGTGACAAAAGGGTGAGGTTAGGCCCAAAGAAGGGGCCCAACAGTGATGCACCTCGCGGGGTAGCCTGATGAAATCAAACTTGGAGACTCTTTCATTCCATGACGAGAAGCCAGCATGTGAACTAGATTCATAGAGTTCATACAAATGTCACGTTGGATTGCAAATGAGGTATTAAAAGACGTTCCCTTAGACAATGCAGAGGCATCAGGAGTTTCTTGGAGCGTGGCAGGTGGCTGAAGTCGACCTCACACCTGAAATGCACAACACGTTGGATCTTTGCGATCTACGGAAATCAAGGTTGGTTCCAGGAACCAAGCGAAGCCCTCGATACTGTTTCAAGCTCTTCAATGAATCGCCCCTACTCACCTATAGGGTACCAGATTGCAACTTCGAGCTGAGCTTTGCCCAGAAGTTAGGGGGGATGTTGCGGCTCCATGTGCCACGAATACTCGGCCCCCTTCTGGTACAGTAAGTCGCTGTATATCAACCTCTCTGTTAGCGCAGTAGCAGGAATTCATGACAATTTGGTGTCTTAACAGGACCTTTTCAGAGTGAATAGTTATAACCGAATCCAGTTTGTGCTAGATAAAGCTAGTCGTGCTTTAGCAAGGAATAGGGAGCCGAAACCCCTAAAAGTTTCAAGGTATGGTAACATCCCACCCCCTTGTCGCCTCCTCCCCCTTGTCGCTGGAGTGATGTCACGTTGGGGCGTCATGATCAGCATCACCATCCCTTCGCATTGTATAGATTATGTTGCCTTGGTTGGCACTTCCTTCATAATTCATATGGTGTACTTGTTGTTAATTAATGCTAATTATCTCTCCAAAAATATCTCTCCTTTTCTCTGGTAATACATCCCTTTCCCCGTGTATTACCATTCTTTGTTTATGCAACAAGCCAGTCAATTAATGATCTGCGTTTTCTGTTTTGCGGGGCGTTATTCTATTTTACTAATGTTCTTGTCTCTCTTCAACTATGTCTTTTCGTTCCGGAGATATACACCTTTCTCTGGACGCTCGTTGGGATCTGATATGGTCATTCGTACCTTCTCCGGCCTCAAGTTGAATCCCGTTCTTTGATGATTCTCAAGAGTTGATGCTAATTCATGAATATCAATAACCCATTAAAAAACACACACACACCATTTTAGAAATGGATTGGGCTTAATGATTTGCATATTTCTGGGTGCTACAGTCGCCCAGTCCCAGTCGAGGTGGGCCCAGACGTGCCGAATGTGCGGCGGAAGATCTCGGGACGACCCAAGTGGAGCGTGACACAATGGGTCTGGGGGCCCTGGGGGCCCGGTTCATGGGGAACTAAAGATTCCAATCCCAGCTAGGGGTTGATCATGGACCCGGATATTGATCAGCAATCATGTGGATATATGGGGATATTGACCGTGAATAATTAACGTAAGGGATTTGTCCAACAATTGTGGAAGTACTTGAATTTGTCGCTTTATTTCTTGGGAAATCTTGGGAAAATGATGACATTTATGGGATTCCAAGGTTTGCCTTATTGGCATGGTTGGGTTAGAGCATATGGGCCAACATTCTACCAATGGCCTCGGGCAAGTTGGTCACAATTGGGGGTTAATTGCTGTAATTATCCATTTTTGGGTTTGTTGAAGATTGACCATTTTGAGCTACCTGGGACCTACCTATTTGTTGTCTGAACTAAAAACCAGAACACGGGGAACGAGATCAGCTTGGGTCACTCAGCTTGTGTTTCCAACATGGACATCCTTCGAGACGATCTGAAACCAAGAACCGACAAGGCTACTTGGAAACTGCATGGATTAGATATAGATTGCCATAAACACATGGATTGGGTTGGATATGATTAACTGAATGGATTATCTTTCATTTTGTTTGAGAATTGTCCAGCTAGCCACGTTTGATTAGCAGAGGGTATGTCCCATTAATATCTCAGTAATATACCCATGATTATTATTATCCCTATGTAACCATCTTAATCAATATGAAGCACCATAAAAATCATGGGAACCACCGCCTCCTTAGTGGTTTGACTCGACAGGTGGATGCGAAGAAGCGCTTCCTCTACTATGCTCAACAGGATCAGCAACTGGTAGCAGGAGTTGCGGAACTTTTCATGGATGTGGTGGTTTCCAAAAAATGTGAATATGTGACAATAATATATGATAACATCTTATCATATTTGAAAATATGTGACATCAGTTGAGAATGAATGATAACCTAGGAACATATTTGATAGAATTCGATTATATGGTACTGTAAAATATGGGAATATGAAGTTGAGTGTTCAAAGATTTGCCATGGCTTTTGGGAACCAAAAAGCATGGCGACATAGACTGTAACAGCTATGCCCAAGCAGTTTGGATTTGGCTATGGGGCCAGTGCATTTTTCAAGACTCCACGTGTTGGCAATGTTCTGGTTTGGTGGTAGAGTTGTTTAAAGATTGAATTAGTGTTATTTAGTTTATATATATATATATATGTGTACATGTATTTATATATAAATATATGCACATATGTACATATGTAAAATAATAATAAGAATAATAATAGTAATAATAGTCATAATAATAATGATAAAAAACAATAATAATGATAATATATATATGTGTGTGTATATATATATATCCTTCTGATTTGGCATGATGATCCAAAGTGCGCCCCTATCATTTGAGCCGCCCATGGCCTTGCAGATGACATGGCCCATTGCTACTCATGCCTCCAGGATACTTACTCTGGATGATTGGCTAATTGCTGGCTACAACCAGCCATTAAGACAATCCTGATTTCAGCTGAGGCAGAAGATGCTTCCAGCAGCTTCCCCAAAGCAGTTGGAGGCAATGGAAAGCTGAGATCCTGTGAATGAAAACCCCAGAAGACAAAAAGGGTGTAGATGTTTTTTAATATATACACAGGAATGAATCTTTTCGGAAAGTCACTTTTTGTTGATATGTTTCGCGGTTTAACTCTCATTGAGTTTCATGGTTTTCTCGGCCCGTCATGGTTGATTAAAAGAGAGGGGGGCTTGGAGCTTCCACTTCCAGGCTCATTGGTTGCCACTGACGCAGTGAGCGTAGTTCATTCATACCATGGATCTGTCTTGGTAGTTCAACATGGCTATGCAAAATGGTCCATTTGTAGACCTTGTGATTTCCCATAGCTATGTGAAAATAGCCAAAGGGTAACCAACTGTTCTACTGCCAGATGTTTGTTGCTGATCCCCATGTCTCTTCATTAAAACGACCCGTAGTTCTACGGAGGAGCCCCTTGGAAAATCCCGCAAAAAGGCATGTCCCTCCCTGCATTTTTCCAGGCCTCCAGTGCAAGCGCCGGTCAAAAACTCAGGAGCTAGCCCAATGAAAACAACCATTTTGTGGGGGAAAAAGGTGAAAACGCCATGGAAATGGTTGGGAAGTATCACTTGAAGACGAATTCAATATTCGATTGGGGATATAAAATGGAGATATGAAATAGGATGCCAATGGGTATATATGTGGATGTGAAGGGATACTGTAGCCACTCCCAAGAAACACCCACCTAACATACTGTATATCGACATTTCCTTAATTCCTTTTGAAATAGTGGCATATATGGTTTTGTGTGTATGTTTTTTTTTTTTTCTGGGAGTTACTATAACGTGCGCGGGGTTGTCCAAAAATGAGAGACGCCCCAAAATGGTATGTTTTCATGGTGAACGTGATGATTAACTTTGGGGTTTTGGGATAACTATATATATATATATGCTATGTTTACGTCAAAATCCGTTGTGCATGTGCATGCTGTTTTTGTTTATTATCATCAACGGCCAAAATTACCCCGTTATGTCGGTAAATATGCTAACATGATGGGGCATTCGAAGATGGATTCAGAAGTTATAGTTCAAGTCGGGTTTTTAGCACCCCCCAAAAAAGATTGTACTTGTACCGTGATAAAGTTGGAAGCTTGGAACTTGTCAGGTCAAGACCGTTCATATTGTGAGGGTCCCCTTTCCAGAATAGATTAAGGCCGGACAGGCATAGATTTAGGTCATCCCTTGAAGGTCGGGCCGGGATTAAAAGGAGCTGCAACATGGTGTAACTGATGCAACGTCTCAATTAGATATATTAAAGACTTGACGCTTTCCTTATGTTTTATTTATTCATATTTACAGATTTAGTTAAAACCATCATGATGGGGAAAGAAATTTCCAAAGACAACCATCATCAGGTATTCATAGACGATCTGTTTTAGGCCCTGCATCAATGCAGTCTTTGGGGGAAGGCCCGGCCATATCTTGGGTAATTTAATAGTTCTTAATCTGAATTTAATGGTAAGTTAATGGTCTTAATGGTAATTTAATGGTTTTTATGTTCGTAAAACAATGATTAGTTATGGTTAATCATGATGATGAGTGTTGGTAAAAGCAACGTCAAAACCTCCCATATGGATTGACGGTTTAGACCACCTAAAAATTGTAAAAGTGGGGATGGGATCCCATCGCTCTAAGATTGCTGCCATTGTTGGTGGCTTTCAAAGCTGACCATTGTATTTGGGACGTCACTGTTCTCCCTCACTGGAATCATTGTTAATAACAGAAATCATCCCCAAATGGCCTTGATTCAGGTTAGTGAAATATTATAATTAATTACCCAGGTGACATATCCAGGACGGTTAGTTTGAGTATGTTTGAGGACCTCACTTGGGTGTCGTGCTGATGCTGAAAGCGAGGCAAATTGAGTGGAGATCAATTTTATCCAACTGTTTCACCTCAGAGTGAGCCACAGGTGATGGGAAAAATCAATAAAAATCATGCAATATATAATATATATAGTAATTTCTCAATTTATAGATTTGGAATTATATGGGTGCAAGTCAAAATAGGAGGTCCGGAACAAGCTCCGGGACCACACCCGTTCCATACCCCCGTTCCATACCTCTGTTCCATACCTCTGATCTATACGTTATGATACATATATATAGTTATATATATATATGAAGAAGATGTGCAGTCTGATTTTACATTTGTACGCGCATACTTGAGCGCACATACATAGATGAGTATGTACATGCAAGAATACGTTTACTATGCCCAAGCCCTGTGATTGTGTTGGCACGTCTGTGCCTGCAGCGTTTGTTGTGTGATGGTAGGGATGTGCTTGGCTGTTGTCGGCTGGCAGTCTAAGAATGGATTGCTTGTAACCGGGCCTCCCTCTCAACCTGTGGCAGGTTTGCGCCTGCACCACTTACAGTTGCTGCCCGCTGTGGCACAGCTGTGATGTTTGATGGTAGAGATGCGCTTGGCTTGCCAGCTGGCAGTCTAAGAATTGCTTGCTGCGCTACTCTCGCTCCAAACTGCCAATTTTGATAAAGATGTGCTGCGTGGTGGCAGAGCTGTGCTGGAGTGGGCCGTTTCGTTCCAGACCCCGTTCCATACCATTCCATACCCGTTCCGTGCCCGTTCCAGACCCGGACCACCCATGTACCATCCCTGACCCACTTCCAGGTGAACAAATGGCAGGTTCTCACATAAACTGCTCCTAAGCCATCCTTTGCGCGTGGGTTTTGGCAGCCTAGAGTCTTGCGCGGGGACACAATCTATCCCATAGGGACCGGGACCTCTGAGTTTTAAGAGTAGGAGGTGGGACCTGCGTGACAGGTCTCAAGCTGAGTGGACAGCTTCACATAGTGGTCCTAGCTAGTGCACGAGCACTGGTCCGAAAGATCCAAGCAATAAGATCCGGAAGATGAGGTGGAGGAGGATGATGTTGTGGAAGATGAGGTGGGGGATGATGATGTTGAGAAGGAGGAACATAATGATGTTGAGGATGATCATGTTGAGGAGGAGGATGAAAAGGATGATGTTAATGTTGCGGAAGAGGAGGTGGAGGAGGAGGATGTTGCAGAAGATGATCTGGAGGATGACGATATTGAGGATGATGATGTCAAGGGGGAGGACGAGGATGATGCTGGGAATGATGATGTGGAGGAGGAGGAGGATGATGAGATTGAGGAGGAGGAAGAAGAGGAAAAGGAAGAGGAGGAGGAGGAGGAGGAGGAGGACCGATTACACGATTCCCGAGTGTATACATATTGCGTGGAAAATTCACATTGTTCCAGGGATTATTAGGACGGAAATGGATATAATTAATGTTTGCCATATTAATAATATTTAATAATTTTAACGTACCTATGTATTGTGTTGTAAAAATTATATTAAATAATAAATTATGTCGTAATTTAATCTAATAATTATATTATTTTTTTTGTATAACATATCGAGATGGGTTTTTACCTAATAAGAAAAATATAAATATAATAAAATTAAATTTATTAAAAAAAAATAATAATAAATAAATAAAAAATAATTTAATATATTTAAATTTAATTATGTTTATTATATTGTAAAAATTAAATTATAATTGATTAAATTATTATATATAAATATATATATTAATATAAATAATTTTGAAAATCCTAAATTTATAAATAATATATTTATAAATTTGGAAAAAAATATATTAATAATATTCTATTGTGAATTAGGGATGGCAGGGTGTGTAGTGTAATGTAGTGGAGTGTAATGTAGTGAAGTGTAGTGGAAGGTAGTATAATGTAATATAATGTAGTGGTGGGTAGTGTGTAGTATATATAATGTAATGTTGTATAATATAACGAAGCGAAGCGATATTTATACCTTTAAAAGTGGTCCGAACCCCCTAGTATGTTTAATATTTTGATATTGAAATGTATTTTGCGGTATAATGACGTATATTTTTTCGACATTTGAACCTCTTAAAATGACACGAACATGTAATAATTTATCCATTTTGATTTCGAAATGTATTTTACGCTACGACGGTGATTTTTTTTAGATTTTAATTGCCAAAAGTGGTCCGACCATGATGGATTTTGTCAAAGGAAATTGGGAAGCAATATTTCCGAGTTACGAATAATTTTTATTTGATGGAATTAACTATAATGAAGGGTGGTGCGCGAGTGAGACTTGACCTTGATAAAGGGTGGTGTGAGCCTTTGCATTACATGACAATACAAAGTGATGAACGGTGATGTGCGAGTGAGATTTAACCTTGATGAAGGATGGTGTGAGCCTTTGCATTACATAACAATACAGCAGAAAAGAACTGATTTTGATGAAGGGTGATATGAAATTTTACACTACATAACAATACATCAGAAAAGAACTGACCTTGATGAAGGGTGGTAAGAGACTTGACACTACATAACAATACATCAGAAAAGAATTGACCTTGATGAAGGGTGGTGTGAGATTTTACACTACATAACAATACATGAATGAAGAATTGACTTTGATGAAGGGTGGAGTGAGATTTTACACTATATGATAATACATGAGTGAAGAATTGACTTTGAGTTTTGCAGCGAGTGGTTGTTCCTGTGTGCGTAGTCCTATGCGGTTCTTGAATCTCTGGTTGCAGATTGTAATGGCATGGCTGCTTCATTATTAGTCATGGCTACATGAATATTGCATGGTCTATAATTTGGGGAGGAAGCCGGAGCACGAAACCGTGTTTTTTTCCGTGTAAAGTGGCTGCAGCCGGCGATGAAAGGTACCTCGTCTGTGCGGCGGTTGCGGCTGGGGTCGTTCCGGACGCGATTGGTTCCTTCTATGTGTTTTGCAGTAAGTGGTTGTTCCTGTGGTGTAGTTCTACGCGTTTCCTGAAGTTGTGGTCGCAGATCGCATTGGAGTGGCTGCAAGGCTATGTTTTGGGGAGGAAGCCGGAGCACGAAACCTTGTGTTTTTCCGTGTAAAGTGGCTGCAGCCGGCGATGAAAGGCACCTCGTCTGTGCGGCGGTTGCGGCTGGGGCCGTTCCGGACGCGATTGGTTCCTTCTATGTGTTTTGCAACAAGTGGTTGTTCCTGTGTGCGTAGTTCTATGTGTTTCCTGAAGCTGTGGTTGCAGATCGCATTGTAATGGCTACATGAATGTTGCATTAAAATGGTTGCATTCAATCTCTTCAGATCGCATTGTAGTGGCTACGTCAAGGTTGTTCAGTGCCGCGGCTGCATGCGTAATACTATTGTCTTTTGCAGTTGAACAGCGTAAATGGTATTGGAATGGCTGCATCCAGGCTGCGATAGTGATTTGTCAGCAGATTTTCGCAATTTTGGCGCTAGTAATTTTCCTTTTAAAAATATTTTTAAAAAGTGCTTCAAAATCGTCTTTTTTCTGGTTTGGCGTCGAGATCCGGTTTTGGAGCTGCAATTTCCGACGCCATTGCGCATAGTTCTATTGTGTTTTGCAACTCAGCCTCCGCAGATCGCATTGGAATGGCTGCGTCAAGGTTGCTTGGTGCCGCGGCTGCATGCGTAATACTACTGTTTTTTGTAGCTGAAGATCGTAAATCGTATTGGAATGGCTGCATCAAGGCTGCGACAGTGATTTGTCAGCAGATTTTCGCAATTTTGGCGCTAGTAATTTTCCTTTTAAATTCCTTTTAAAAAGTGCTTCAAAATCGTCTTTTTGTCGCTTTGGCGTCGAGATCCGGTTTTGGAGCTGCAATTTCCAACACCGTTGCGCGTAGTTCTATTGTGTTTTACAATTCAGTCTTTGCAGATCGCATTGTAATGGCTGCGTCAAGGTTGCTTGGCGCAGCGGCTGCATGCGTAATATTTTTGTGTTTTGCAACTGAAGATCGTAAATCGTATTGGAGTGGGTGCATCAAGGCTGCGACAGTGATTAGTAGTAGTAGTACTGGGAAGTGATTCATGCAAGCTTAGATGACATATGAGAAGAGATAAGATGAGAAGAAATAAGCTGGGATAAGGTGAGAAGGGCTCAGATGAGATGAAGTGTGGAGTGTGAAGAGTGCAGTGTGAAGTGTGGGGCGTGAAGAGTGCAGTGTGAAGTGTGAAGTTTGGAGTGTGAAGAAAGCAGTGAGAAGTGAGAAGTGTGAAGTGCGAAGTGGAGCTTCAAATGTGATATGTGAAACAAGACACCAGTTTCGCAGAGTGCACGCACGCACGGGCTTGGCTGGCGCACGGCGCAGGCAAGTTCTATAGATGAGAAAGGTCTTATGTATATCTTTAAGACAACTTCCGCCCCGCCTCGTGCGGGTACTACTGGTATATAATATTAATATATTAAGATCGGTTTGTTATTTCTAATAATTGGGAATTATAATAAGAATAAAAATTAATATATTTATTTTTTTTATAATTATAATTTATATTTTATAAGAGCGATTATTCGATAATATATTGTTTAATGTTATAAATTATTAATAAGTTTAATTTATATAGTTTTATATTAAATTTTAAATTAGAATTTTAAAAATACTAATAAAATATTGTTTATAAAATTCAAATAAAAGAAAAAATATAATGATATAACGAATATATTTAGGAATTAATTTAAATATATATATATAATTAAGGTTTCAAACCAAAAATATTTAGGAAATCAGGTCGGGTTTTGCTAATAACCGGAAACATAAGAAAAAAAAATTCAAGCATTATATTTATTAGTTCCAAATTACAATATAATAATATCAGTTAGGGTAGGCCTTGCCCATCTTCCTATCATCATCATAACCCTGCACCCCCCCTACACTTTCACCATCATTTCATAACAATCTCATAAAACCATTATTCAAAAACATCATTCAACCAAGATTTCAAAACAACATCTCAAAACAAACCTTCCAACCCATCATTCAACAAAAATTTCAAAACAACATCTCAAAAACATCATTCAAAAATAAGTTTCACAACAGTCTCAACAATAACCATAACAC